TAGTAGCACACAAAATGTTCAATGAGAAAATTGAGGTTTGTCTGCTGCAACCACCAGAGAATAGATATTTACATTTTAAATTTAAAATTTGCAAATGTGTGTGTAAATATTTTACACACATGCTAAATTATATTCACAAAATACAAAAAATTGAAATAAAAAAGAGCAACATATACGATTATTTTTGTATTTGAATAAATATTTTCTTGGATGCAAAACCTGAGAAATAAATTTTTTTGCACCGTTGGTATGTTAAATGTCACAGAAACGAAGAAATTAAGTTTTTATTAACGAGAAAAGTATTTTAAACCAATACAGATTTTTTACGAAAAAAAATTAAAAACTAATATATTTTAGTTCGCGGGCCACAAAAAAAGCTTCGCGGGCCACCAGTTGGAAACCACTGATCTAAACCAAATGAAAGAAAAATATAAAAAATCCACTGGGGAAGACTAGCAGGAAAGAGAAAAAATGGACTTCAAAGATAAAGATAGCTAAATAAAGTAGAGAAATTTAAAAAGAGATGAAAATTAAAAAAAACGGAAGATAAAGGAGAAGGTTCTGAAAAAGTGGAACTGTGTGTGAAAAAGGAGTACAATGTTCTTCATGGACTGTGGAGCCAAGGAGAAAATAAGCTCCGTTTTTTAAATGTTTGAAAAAGTGCTTTGTAACGTTTAAAGTCCTAAAATAGAATACATTACTGCTTTATGACAATATTTTTTCCACCTGGGCAAAAAAATCGTATTTTGTAAAAATGATTTTCTTTAACCAGTCCATAATTTTTAATGGGCAATTTATTCACTTTGCTGCTTTAGAAACCTTTTCAAATATTGCAGAAACGAGCTAAATTATAAGTCAATTTTTAGACTTTATGCGATCAAAGTATGCCTCGCATGCATTACAATGTTTTCGATGTAAAAGGTAAATGTATTTGAACATAATGTTGCTATTTTTAAAATTTTTCAGACAGACTAATTGACCCAAGGACTAGTCATTCAAGCTTTAATCAGCAACAACATCATCGGTAAGTTACTTTGCATTTTTTTCTGATCAATAATTAATTTAATAGGATGCTCAGTCTCACAGTCCGAAAATTTCTTTGTGGAAATTGAAAATTTAAAAACTAGTAAAAAATTTGATGTTAGTACTTTTAGAAAAATAAAAATTGCTTTCAGGCGAAATCACACAGGATGAAGTTAATTAATGTTGAAAAGAACAAAAATGATGGGATATAAGAAAGAATATACATTGTGGAATTATTTTCTATCTAAATTCTGTAATTTTCGACAACACTTTATCTCGAGCTTGCGTAAAACTTCAGGAAATTTCATATTTGAAATTTTTATTATTATATTTTTATTTTCACTAATCAATTTTTGTTGTTTTAAATCACGAAAAGTTTATTAATCTATAGCTTAAAAAATTATAGTTTCAATAACCATATTGAAAAATATTATTCTGTTTAAAATTTTCATGTTTCAAAATTAAATACTTCCAGCAATCTTAAATTCCATATTAAGTATTTCACTAATCAATTTTTTTCCTTTAAATCACGAAAATTTTATTAATCTATAGCTTAAAAAATTATAGTTTCAATAACTATATAGAAAAATATTATTCCGTTTTAATTTTTTATGTTTCAAAATTAAATATTTTTAACAATATTAAATTCCAAATTAAGTATTTCACTAATCAATTTTTGCTCCTTTAAATCAGGAAAATTTTATAAATCTATAGCTTAAAAAAATAATAGTTTAAATAACCATATTGAAAAATACTACTCTGTTTAAAATTTTCATGTTTCAAAATTACGTACTTCTAACAATATTAAATACAAAATTAAGTATTTCTAACTTCTTAATATGCCTACTATTCAGATATCTAGTTCCTAAAACATTCTATTTAAATGTTAAATCCAAATTTTATTCGGACAACATTCGCATAAAATATTTTTTTCTACCTTTTCTGAAATAAAAAATCTGTATTTACATTTGAAATTTTAATATTTTTTTTATATATATATTTTCCAGGAGTGGATACGAACAGCAGGCGAGGAGTTCATACGATTACGGCCAATATAATCTAGGTCAGAATTCCATTGATGAAGATTATGACTTCGTCGAAAAGGATGATGCCTTCCAAGTTGGATCAAGCCACAATGTTCAAAATCAATACGAAACTAAGTTGGAACGTGTCCCATCCCGAGAAGAGCAGGGCCTCGAGCAGTTTGACATAACGCAACACGAGAACGAGTTTGATGAGCACGGAAGCTATGGACAGAAAACTAACCGCAATGTTTATGAAGTAGTCAAAAAACATGAGGTAACGACAATTCGGCTCCATAAATATCACATGTTAAAATCTTTTTAAGGCATAAAGACTGTCGTTATCATTTTTGACAACAATAAATCACTTAAATTGTAATGATTTTTAACTTTAAAACTACCAGGTTTGTGGTTCGATCCCTGCCGGTCGAAGTCTTCTCGTGTAGTAAATGGTGAATGATACACGTTAAATTTGTCGAGTCTCAAAGTCCTCCATGTTCCCATAACAAATCAATACCTCTGGGGGTACTGAATTGGAGATTGATCGTTCTCTGATTCAGGTCAAAATTACGATCTGTGGATGAATGAATGGATGTATGGATGGGTCCTCCCTATAAACGGGTGTGACGCTTTGTGTGGCAGAAGTCGAATTCTTGGCCATAGATGGCGCCACTGGAAAACAAGAACAATTGCATCCCCTCTGCCTTAATGGCATACGTCAACAACCAGGTTTGTGATCAATCCTTTTAACAGTACTTTCGAAATTCTTTCGCAAAACGAAATTTAAAAAAATAACCACGGTTTAAATGTCTTACACTTGAGAAGAAAAGCTATGATTTTAAAATATATATACCACTCTGCTGGCTAATCCGTCTTTAGAATTGAAAAATAATCTGGTGATAATCTGGTGATATTTTTCAGCCTATAAGAAAATTATCAAAATCAATGAATAATTCATTATTTTTATGAGCCAAGATTATGAAGCGTTGGTTTATTTTTTAAAAATTTAAAAATGTATCTCAAACGAGATTTATTTTTACTTAATTTTTTTCATCGTGACGTTTTGGGCCCTTTTCAGAATTAACGATGGTGTTGCAGACTAAACTTAACAGCCAAAAATAACTCGCTGCAACCTCACTGCAATTTTGAAAGCACCATATTATGCACACAAAAAACGTTATTTTATGCGAAGATAGAGCTTTCAAAAGCAGCCTTAAATATCAAAGCATTTAAAAGCAACATTTTTGAACATACAAACAATTACAAAATTTTTATGGATTTTTCCTACTAAAATCTTCCTGCGTTGCAAAGTCATGTTTTAATAACTTGCAGTACTTTTTGCACTGAGCTGCTATTCGACTGTGACCACCTGATATTTTCACTCAAATCAGCTATTGCGTCACTGTTTGGATTATAAAAATCTAGTGTTGAGTCTTTATTTCGTACGCAATTGAGACTTAGACATCATTCCTAAAACTCAATTGATAAACCAGTACATCTTTTTACTAATAAGCGGTTCATCCCACTGTATAGGGCTTTGAACAGGTTAATGTGTGGGCTAATATTGTAATAATAAATGATTAGAAGAACTTCACTTTGCTTAGAGGGTGTTAAAAGTCCTTAGATCTCAAACCTATTGAGCATTTGTTGGATGGAATTGAAAGACGTATCCAACAACTATAATCACAATCATTCCGACATATACTGTTGGAAAGTTCTATTCATCCAGTATAATATCGCATGGTGCTTAAGATCTCAAACCTATTGAGCATTTGTGGGAGGGAATTGAAAGACGTATCCAACAACTAGGATCACAATCATTCCGACATGCACTGTTGAAAAGTTCCATTCATCCAGTGTAATCTCGCATGGTGCTTAAGATCTCAAACCTATTGAGCATTTGTGGGATGGAATTGAAAGACGTATCCAACAACTAGGATCACAATCATTCTAACATGCACTGTTGAAAAGTTCTATTCATCCAGTGTAATCTCGCATGGTGCTTAAGATCTCAAACCTATTGAGCATTTGTGGGATGGAATTGAAAGACGTATCCAACATCTAAGATCACAATCATTCCGACATGCACTGTTGAAAAGTTCTATTCATCCAGCATAACCTCGCATGGTTCTTAAAATCAACATCTAGTATATATCTAGTATCAACGATAAATAAAACATTAACTGTTTAAAAGAGCTTTAAAACGCGATGTTCAAGGGGTGGACATAATGGAGTAGCCACTTTGTAATTACTCTTGTCTATAACACACACTAATAAAAATCCAAGAAAATTTCTGAACCTTTTGCGTAAACGTTACAGTCAGCTTTTTAGTGTCATACATAAGAAACCACAAATACAACGTTTGCTTCAAAGTTGATTGCTGTCTGAGATTATGTTATATGTTTTTATAAGTTACGATTAAGTTATTAATGCAATTGTTAAATTTTTAATTCAAATATTTTATTTTTTAATTTAAATTCTCTTTCCAGGATAAAGCAAATGATGGTTTACCTGACTTCTTCAATAAAGAGAGTATGTATATTTGTTTTAAGAAAATTAAAATTATTATTTTCTAATTTTAAAATTTATATTTTTGTTCCACTTTATTCCACGGTATATCTCAAATTTTTACTCAATACAGCCAACTAAGATAGCCACAACAACGATTAAATAATATATAATTTAACTTGTGGCACATTTTTAAGGTGTAGTTTATAGTTGGTTTATTTTGCGTATCAGTAATACCAAATACAATACTTGGTTAAGTAAAACATAAATTTTAAAATGAGCTTGCTTAATCAAAATTAAATACCGTAACTAGTTACCATACTTGAAATTTTATCCACATTTATTTAACTTGCACATTTCACACTTTTAAATTAAATTTTATTGTACTTACCATTAGTAAATGTCTTAAAACAAACAGCATTTCAGAGAAATTAAGAAAAGAAATGCCTTATTAAAATTCGTAAAACATGTCATTTTTATATATTTGCTTTTCATTTTTATTTATATATTTAAATTTATTTATTTCAACTTATTTGTATATTTTATTAATTTATTTATATTTATTTATTTTCATTTATTTATTGTTTTCTTATTAATTCATTTATTTGTTTATTTTTGTTTATTTATTAAGTTTTGTCGATGAAAACGAAACACGTTCGATTTTTCCAGCGAACCACTGTTCATCTTCTATTCACGAAAGCAATGTTTTTTTGCAAATTTTTATCTCCATTGCTCTCTAATCTAGCTTGATTCGTTGTATTCTGGTAATGCTTTTTTTACGTTAATGTTTATTTTCAACCTTTTAATCAATACATAGTTTTCTTCAATTTTACGAAGATTCTAAAAAACCATATTTGAAAGATAGTGATTAGGAACACTCTGTTATACAATCCAGTGAAGGGAAGCGATTACTCTAAGTTTGACTAGTTGTAAACGGGATATTGGAATCTATTCGTTAAATAGTCCAGTCAGCTCATGAATATTCATGTAAACCCAGGTTTCAAGTACAAACCTAAAACTGAAAGTGACAACTCTAAGAACTTATTTTCGTTATAATTTTATATTTAATAATTTACTGGTACCCGTTAATCCATTTAAACTATAGGTTAATGGGTGTCAGTAAACTTTTCAGTTAACTACTTATCTGTGAACTTCTTTTTTCAAAAGAATTTGTTAGATAGAAATTTTGTTCCATATGTGAATGCAATTATCATAATGGTACAGCTTATTGTTTTAAGAGTGTTTAATTGAAATTCACACATTTTTCCAAGTTCTAATCATTCGATTATCAAATAGAATCATCAGATTACAAAGGTATTTGCTCAGTTTGGGGATTCTATCACTTTCGAACATTTGATGGCGAGGTTTTCACCTATCCTTCCACGTGTTGGCACGTAATCTCTAAAAGCGACGACGGTGACATCAAAGTCATGGTGCGAAGCAACTGCAACGGAAGTTTGCCATGTTCAAGATATGTTAGCATACAAGATGCCCACTACAAGTATGTTTATGGTATTTCATTTAGCGAAATTATGTAGTCATAATATTTGATATGTAGGTCATAATCATCTTATTCAAGATATTATATGGAATAAATTTTAAAGTATAAGGGTTGCCCAAATTGAGAAAGTGCAACGAGTGATAAAGTCAGAAATGAAGTAAGAATAGCAACAGCAATATTCAGAGTTAGAAAAGAGGGTAGGGGAATATTACTGCAGATTCCTTAAAACTGATCACCCAGTTCACATGGAAGCATACAAAGTGAATGTAAAATTATTTGCTTAGAACCAAACTGCGCATATATGTGCATTCGTACGGTTTTAAGTGACTAAACTTGATTACACAGTTATTGTAATCTGATGGTATGTTATACAGGCCGTGGTAGCCTAGTAGTTAGAGAATAGAACTCATGTCATAGGGCTGAAATTCGACCCATCGAGTACAAGCGATGTACGTGCATGTAAAATCTATGGAATCGAAAGCCCTGTGGTCGGTCGCCGATCAGTACCATGGGTACAGAGGAAACAAAATTGTAATTGTAAAATCTTTACCCTCCAGATTTATGTCTAAATTGAGGAAATGGCCTCACAAATGAGTGGTGCATTCATCCGTGGTGTTCTGATCTAAGAAACACTTTCACTATTGCATAAGTCTCTTGTCAATTGAAAGGCACACGTTCCTTACTTAATTTGCAAAAGGCCAATGAATAGCGACCTTGGCTTGTCCAATTGTCATTAGAAAAAAAACAAATGGATGCCGCGAATTGTGACCTTTCAATTAGCTCTAATCATTTAATCAACCAGCTATGAGTTAATTGCAGATCACATAGCGTTTGCTTATTATAGTTTTGGCATGTTCGATATTCATGTCAACCCATTTACGAAAATGTTTTCACCATTTTATTACAGCTGTTCGTCTTGCTACAGCCACAACTCGCAAATAGACGTCTTTATAATGTCCACTCTCTGCTACTAAAAACAATGCTACGATCGACTGATCGGTACTAGTCAAATTCATTTTTGATATGCCCTTACATTCACCTTAAGTACTCTCATGTGAACTGTTTATTCAGTAGTATGCTATCTGCAATACACTAATATCTAATTTCATAACTTTGAAAGGTTTCGCTGCCCTCTTTGCTCTGTTTCTGAAACTAGCAGGAATTTCCTTTTCAGTTGCGCAACCCATGTAATTAATTAAGTAAATTGAGTAACCCATGTAATTTTATGTTATGAAGTAATGAAATTTAGGGGCTGCCGCAACTATAATCTGTTACAACAGACAATTAAATGTATGTCGTTTACCAAATGTTGTTCCCCGATTGGTCCCATAAGGACTTTGATTAAAAAAAAGACTTTTTTCAACTTAATACACGCTTTAAAAATGTTATTATCTCTATAAATAGTGTGAAAATAAATACCTAAAAACCATTCATCCACAACTTAATTTATACCCTTTTCACTGACTATCGTGTACATAAAATTAAAAAAAACGTCCATCTAAATTGTGTTCTTTATTTATTCAAGTACTGAAATTAAAGTATACTAGTTTAAATAATTTATATAGATAAACGAATACTTGTTTAAATAAAGGTATATGATGCTTCTCTAAATAATGTATACCAGATTGGTATTTATTACTTTTGTCACTGTATCTAATTAGTTGTTTTAAAACCACTTGCGGCAGAAATTGTAAACAAAAAATTAAGATAAACCTACTTGAGATTCAGACGGAGAAGATTTCATTGTTCGAAAAAGAAAATACAAAATAAAGAATAATTAAGAGTAAAATTTGAACCAACAAACTTAATTAAGCATAATTAACTTTCTTTTTAACAGGAAAAATTGCTAACGAATTGGATAAGTTAATTAAGTCTAGAGTAAATCATTTTATAAAAGGATAGGGAAATAAGAAAAATTTACTTTGTAAATTACAGAAGGCGACATTTTTATAATTATTTTATTTTGGTTACATTAAAGAGATATTAAATAGCTTAAAGCTACGTGCGATACGATTTTAATTTATTTGACACTATACTGGAGGTTAAATAATTTTTAATTATGAATCTGCGAAGCGAAATTATACGCTTCAGAAATACCATTTTTACCTTCCATGAACATGACAAAACTTCCATGTACTCACAAAAAATTTCACTGAATCTGGAATGAAACATTTTGATAGAATTATACATGTTTCTAAAAGTTTTAGTATAGTTGAAATGACTGATTTTGCTAAAAGATGGCGCCACAATAAGTTTAAGATTAAATAATATATTTTTTGGAAGCATCGTTGTGTAATTACACAGTTTATGAAGATAAGTACAGAACTTATGAACACTCTACTTACATTTAGAACTTTACTAAAGGCATTAACTAATGCAGAGCACGCTGGGGAAGTTCATAAATGAAACAAAATTTGAAATACATTCATAAATAATTTTACAACTTCTAATAAAATAACACAAGCCTGCGAAATTGAACTTTTTGAAAAATACAAGAGAAGTTATTGTTGATTTATATGTTATTTGATGTGCTGATTTCGAAAATTACCTTCATTTTCCCCAATCACATCAGGATTTTTTTATAAAATCGATATTAATGTTTTTACTAAAATCCTATTTGGAAAGGAATTCTCTCAAATAATTTTGCATGCACTATCCGGTAACGGTTCTCGTCATTCATTTTGATCTATGCAAAATTTAATCTTGTGAAAGAAAATTGGTTTTTGAGCTATCAGCTAATTTTTTATAGGTTAAAATGAATAAAAATTACTATTACCAGATCGCATAAGTCATCTCTGGTCAGGAGAAAAACAATAAGTTCTTTGTGTTCAAACTTTTTACATCAGTTTCTAGAAGAAAATCACCAACATACCATTTTAATTTGTTTTCATTGAGATAACTTACGTAAAATTAACGATTAACCAAGAATAACAAATATTGTGTATGTGTATATGAAAGTTTGAAACAAAAAACAAAACAAATAAAGCAAGCAAAAAACAAATGAGAAAAGTTTCTATTTAAGTATATGCTCGTTTTCCTCTGAAACTTATTTTTGATGATCTTCTTTCATGCTTAATCTCAGGTTTATCCCGAGTTATCATCCAACAGTAGTCAGAGAGCATGTTCTTGTCCCATCTTCCTTGATATTTACGCTAAATATCTCTGATATCTTGATGGAACCTTTCCCCTTGTTCTTCACTAACTGCTACTAAATTTTCATGGAAAAAGTCCACATGTGAGTGAAGGAAATGCATTTTTACACTCATGGAGCAACCCAACGCTTTAAATTTGTCCAGCATTTTCATTACAACTTCCTTATAATCAGGATCCTTGTAATTAGCCAGAAATTTACTGACGACATCTTTGAAAGCAACCCAAGCTTCTTTTTCAGTTTCTGTCATGTTAGTCTCTAATTCTTTATCCTTCATGAGTTTGCGGATATCTGGACCAACAAATATTCACTTCTTTCAACTTAGCTTGGGATACAAATGAAAACTTTTTGCACGGGTATTAGAAAAAATTGCCATCTTTTGGAACAGCCATGACAGACTGCTTCATTTCATCTAATTTTATATGTAGCGGAGGTAACAATACTCTTTTCGGATCAACTAAGCTGTTTCGAATAACGTTCTTAGTGCCTGGGTTGAGATTTTGTCTTTTCGGCCATTCTTTTTTGACCCAATGTTGAGTCTTGTCACGGCTGTCTCACTCACAAATGAAACATGGGTACTTTATAAACCCCCCTTATTAACCAAGAAGCATGGAGATAACTTTCAAATCACCGCAAATGGTCTAACTGTGGTCGATATATTTTATTTCGTTCAGGACGAGAGCCAGGTTTAGATATTAGTCTTTGATTTTTTCGGTTATACCCACGAACATGGCAGGAACAAAAATAACAATCATCAAAGTGGTTTTGGGGCTCTCTCCACATCATAGGAATTCCAAATCGTAAAGCAGTCTTCTTTCCTTGATGCCATAAGCGTAGATCATTGAGACACTGCACACAAACTTTATGAGGTGCCCAAGATTTGTCCTGATCTCCGAGTTTCATGTCAAAATATGCGAGGTAAAGTTGTCTTACACAGTCTGTAATGCTCCTCATGCGATTTTTAACTACACTATATTCGCCGCATGTATAACAAAAGTCACCTGGGAAATTTTCACAATGTCTTGAACTCAAAGCCATGTTTCACGAAACCCACAGAAAAAAGCAAATTTTAAAATGACTCCCTATAACGCTCGCTAGTGTTTCTGTGAGGTCAGCGAACCTAGATAAGGATTCTCGCGAAGCTATTGGTAGAGAGAGATTGTTACAGAGAGAGCGACGGTGGCAGGAAGTAGTGATAGAGGGGTACTTTTGTAGATTTGACCAAAGTAGAATGATGGTCAGTCAAGAAAGGAAGAAATTATAAAATGAAAAATTTTTTATGCTAAATGTTCATAAAAATTCCAGTAAAATTGAANATTTTTTGGAAGCATCGTTGTGTAATTACACAGTTTATGAAGATAAGTACAGAACTTATGAACACTCTACTTACATTTAGAACTTTACTAAAGACATTAACTTATGCAGAGCACGCTGGGGAAGTTCATAAATGAAACAAAATTTGAAAAACATTCATAAATAATTTTACAACTTCTAATAAAATAATTATTTCTGTCATGGGTGGCGCCACAATCATTGACGTAGTAGTATTTTAAACAATTTTGACACGTTTTTGCAATATTTTTGAAAGAGTTTTGTCATTTCGGATGTATGAGTAAAACACTGTGATTTTTACAAACGTTGCGATTTTTACGTCAAACTTTTTTGCGTTTTGAATTTAGGTTTGCTCATAAATAAGCATTGCATAAAAGTTTTAATTATTTATTTTAGGTACATGCTCTCGTATGATGAGGGAGTAAGTCGAAACAGTATAGGTTTTGATGTTCCTTTCCAAGACAACAATGTAGTTGTAGAATATGTCGGCAGATACCTCGTAGCTAGAACACACTCTGGATATTCAATATGGATAAACTCTGAGGTATAATCATTATATCAATGACTTGTGAATCATTAACTTTTCTAAAATAATGATTTAAAAATAAATCTTCAATTTAAGAATCTGATTTAATCGAAAATAAAACTGAAAATATGAATCTATAATCAGGGTTCGAATTATAGTTCCACTAAAATTTAAATTATCCCTCTGAACGATTAGTGCTCAAACTCTGGTTATTTAATGTTCCGAAGATTTTCCATATTGATTTTTATCAAAGTTATACTTTTTTTCCCTCATTTAAATACTGTAAATTTACAACTTTTGATCAGAACTTGCAACCTTTATTCACTTTTTACAAACATTTTTAACATATTTTAAAATTTATTTACTTTCTATAGTCTTGTGTATTTTTTACAGCTCCAAACAGAAAATATAGCGTAGAAGCATTTCTGAAAACACTACTTTTTAAGCACTTTTTAAAATATTCTAAATTAAATTTCAAAACATTATTTCTTTCAATAAATTTGATTTGAAATCCTTTCTTTAACTTTCATCTTTTTATTCATTCTATTTTTATTAATTCTATTTTATTCATCATCTTTATTCTCTATTTTATTCATCATCTTCGAATAAGATCTGTTTGAGGAATACATAAACCTATTGTACTGTAGTCAAACTTACTAATTGAATTGACTTTTACTACATGAAGTCAGATTATGAAGCGGCTTTAAAAACTTTAGCTACGTTGAGTACGCGGTTGAAGATTTTAAGAATAAAATTTAATATTCAGCCGTAAATAATTTTAATGTTCATGATATAAAAATTATTTGATAGATGGCGCCACAATCATTTACGTAGCAATACTTGAAACTATTTTGGTGCATTTTTTGTAATATTTCAGACATAGAAAATAGCTCATAATTAAAAGCTTTTAAAACAAAATTATTCATTAATTAGAATACTGTGCTATTGGTTGCTGATCCTGTTGTTCAAAGACGTACGCAAGGCATTTGTGGCAATTATGACGCAGAATTGGAGGATGATTTTATTGCGCAAGATGGCACCCGAACTTCTGATATTTACTACTTTGCCAACAGCTGGAAAGAAGAAGATCCGAATATAGGCAAGTAATAAATCATATTTTGCAATTAAATTCGAGAAATTGTCTTGTTGGTGATCAAAAATATTTGCCGAAATAATTGAAAGCAAAACATTATTTTGATTTAAATTGCGTGTGACTATTAAACAAAGAGACTAATGTGTGTTTCACAATTTTACCTTAGCCATATTTTTAACCGAGTCTTACTTTGTTTTCTTAAGTGATTGAAGTACTTATTTCCAGTTCAAATGATCAGCAATCTCGTACCAGGTTTTTTTTTAAATAATACCGTATTTAATGATTAGCTTTGACTATTGCATAAGAACAAATCAATTGAAATCCCTCTATAAACATTATGAACCTTCTATGGGAATTAATGAAATATGTTATGAAAGATTTTTCTAACACAGCTCAATGGTTGAGGCAATGACGAGAAATCAAACGCGTAGAACAATGCAGGTGCATTGTTCTCAAAACGAAAAAAATATCGTCAAGTTAATACAAGAAGATATCATGATTTGAAATTGCAAGCTGAAAATAGTGATAAATGTACCAAACATTGAAAAATAGGTTGTTTTGTTTTTTAAGTGAAGAACTTTTTAAGGGCCAAGTTTAAAAAACTAAAGACTGCTTGTTGTGGCCCTAGCGGAAATATTCCAATGAAAAAGCGAGTTGAAAGATTTCGCTAGTTTAAAGTACCACTCAAGAGCCGTAAAGGCTCAGGGGATAGATTGGTCGCCTCTTAATGAGGTGACCCAGGTTCAAATCACCGCAATGTCTGGTCGATTCGAATTCTGCACCAGGCTCACTCCAACCGCAGTACTACCGTACTTATTTTCAGTGGTAGAAAATCCATATCTGGAGGAACTCCCTTTGCTGTCAAGCTAACCATCGGAAGTTTTTGTGGTTTTTCTTCTTGTAGCACAAATACGGGTTAATTCTATCAAAAAATCTTCAACGAAGGATAGTTTTTCCCCAATACTTAATTAAGGAGCTCCCTTTTTTTTCTTGGTTGGGTTCGAAATTACAAGGTTGCTAATTTGAACATAGGTAGTCGTTAACTTAGAACCGGATCGGCTATTCAACACCGGTTATAAAAGGAAATATAAAATACATCACACAAACAAAAATGATGAGGGTGCTGAAACTGTCAGTAAAAGACACGCGTGCGGAACGGAAAAAAAATTACTGAAAAGGATTTATTTAAGCAAATTAGTCATTTTCGGCAAATTAATAATAAAATATTAAAACTGAAAATAGAAAGAAACAATGCAACTATGTTTTCAAGTATAATCAAAAACTACAAAATAGGTGAAAGGAAAATCACTGGGAGCACCAGAAATCTGATTCTCCCGCTGTTTTGGAAAATTTTCTCTTTTAGACTTAAGTCCTGTTTAGACAATCCAATTTCTTGGACAGAGATTGATTGATATTGATGGAAACCTGTTTTGTTTTGAGCTTGGATCGTGTAAACAAACATCCAAGTACTTGGTCCAACTTCTTGGACGATAGTAGAGCATGTTCTACTTTCCATTCAAGTTTTTTCTCCCTTAGCCAATCAGCGTCTTAGGTTTTGTGACGTCAACAAGCAGGCAGCAAATTGTCATTTTCTTGTCGGTTTTCATATATTTTAGTCTAAATAAATTGATCTGTTGCTGTTTATTTGTGTTATTATGATTTTATTGGAATTTATTTAGTAATTTTAAACTTATGCAAGCATTATTTTATAACGTTGAATATGAACAATGCGCATGCGCGAGATTTTCCTTGACGAATCAGTGACATTCAAGAACTTGGACAGTGTAGACGAATCATCCAATTTCTCGGATTCNGGCCTTACTAGCTCTAACTAATATTGGATCATTTCTTTTTGCGAGATATTCTAAGACATTTGTTATTTTCTATAATGACTTTCCTCAGTTTTTGCAGTGAATTTACAAGAATTTAAAACTATTATCGAAATGCCAGTTTGCGCGATTGCAACTTACAAAAATTCTGATACAAAAACAAAAGGTAAAAGTATAATTTTTCGCGTGTTCCCTAAAGTAAATGAACAACTATGTAAAGAATGGATTCCGAAATGACACAGTTAATATAAAACAGCAATACGTTTATTCTGTCGTTTCTGTTCTTTCTGTTATTTATTTCGATTTTCAGGTTGTTGTGGCTAGAGATCAAGGATAGTTTTTCCCCAATACTTAATTAAGGAGCTCCCTTTTGTTTTTCTTGGTTGGATTCGAAATTACAAGGTTGCTAATTTTAACACAGGTAGTCGTTAACTTAGAACCGGGTCGGCTATTCAATGCCGGTTATAAAATGCAATATAAGATTCATCACACAAACAAAAATGATGATTGTGCTGAAACTGTCAGTAAAAGACGCGCGTGCGAAACGAAAAAAAAATTACTGAAAAGGATTTATTTAAGCAAATTAGTCATTTTCTACGAATAATAAGATATTAAAACTGAAAATAGAAAGAAACTATGTAACTACGTTTTCAAGTTTTAACAAAAACTACAAAATAAGTGAAAGAAAAATCACTGGGAGCACCAGAAATCTGATTCTTCCGCTGTTTAGGAAAATTTTCTCTTTTAGACTTAAGGCCTGTTTAGACGATCCAATTTCTTGGACAGAGATTGATTGATATTGATGGAAACCTGTTTTGCTTTGAGCTTGGATCGCGTAAACAAACATCCAAGAACTTGGTGCAACTTCTTGGACGATAGTGGAGCATGTTCAACTTTCCTTCCAAGTTTTTTCTCCCTTAGCCAATCAGCGTCTTAGGTTTTGTGACGTCAACAAGCAGGCAGCAAATTATGTCATTTTGTTGTCGGTTTTCATATATTTTAGTCTAAATAAATTGATCTGTTGCGGTTTATTTGTGTTATGATTTTATTTGAATTTATTTAGTAGTTTAAAACTTATGTAAGCATTATTTCATAATGTTGAATATGAACAAAGCGCATGCGCGAGTTTTTCTCTCGACCAAACAGTGACATTCAAGAACTTGGATAGTGTCGACGAATCTTCCAATTTCTAAAACAGAGAAATTCTTCCAATTTCTCGGATTCAAGAACTTGGACCGTGTAAACAGGCCTTTATACTGTTTGTTATTTTTACACACTTTACGTATTCAGGTTAATCAACCATAACCAGGCAGCTAGACCCTTTTTTCCGTTATCTGCCTTTCGTTGATAGGAAAGACACGTGATTTTGACACCGCGCAAATGACGCGAACAACGCCTTAGCTGGTACCTCTCTCCCTTTCAATTTTCATGTCACACAATGTGCCCGATTCAAAATTTACCCTGAATGAAATATTATGCAATGTTAAGAAGGGATTTATACTGAAAAGAGAGCGCTTAACATATTAATCTGGAATAGTTAACGAGTTAAATCTGGAATAGTTGAGGAAAATCTAAGAAAGTATGTAAAATACTCCTCAGTCATCTAGCCATAATTTCATCAAAAAATGTTCAATGTTTGACAAATTTCACTCTAAACAACGCAGAGTAATCTATTGCCTGTGACATTTGTTTATGTTACCGTATTGAAGTATTTACCATTTTCCACTGTATTTGTCTGTTATAACATTTCGTAACCACCTTACGTCAAATCTGAGTCAAATGCTTCATCTTCGCAATTTTAATTTGCATCTTATTCTGTTGTAGTTGTGTAAGCAACGGTGACTAAGGTTTCATAGTTTGATAAGATGATAATTATCAATTAAAATTATAAAATAGAACGTTTGTGTAAGTTAAGAATAAGGAAAAGTATTTTAAATGAGACAAAATTAAGAACAATAATCTGTAGCGTGTCAGTTATATTTTTTAGGACCGCTAAGGACTCACTTTGAAAAAAAAATTTCAAAAATCATACATTATTTTTGTGCCGTTTTACCAATAACCGCTAACTATACTAGAAATCTTTGAAAACCTGGCACTAAATATTTAGTAAAGTACTAAATTTGTTTCTAATTGAAAAGTACTATCTTTTCTTATTTTTTTTATGCATTTAATGCAGTTGAAAATTAAGTACACTTATGTCGAACATTTTTCTAATAGTAATACCAAATGTTCAATGCTATGGTTAAAATTGAATATTTTTTTAAGATTTTTTTTATTTCATATGCATTAATGAAATTGGTTAGTTATGTAAAGTGAAACAATAAGTGTCCTCTAATATGTGGAATAATTTAAAGTGTGCCCTTTTTAGATTATTAAAAACAAGTTTTAATATGAAGTTGTTTTAAAAACTGTAATAGGCAAGAGAACGTGATTTTTAATCACAAGAATTGTAACTATTTTTTTTATTAATAAGGCATCGTAAATCTTGAAAATCTTAAATTATTATTTATTTTTTACTCTTTATTTTTTTTTTAAAAAATGAGAAAAATTAGAGTATTAAAAACTTTATTTAAAATTTTTGCACTTAAATTTTAACACAAAAATGAATGAGACTAGGTCACATTTTGCACTTTAGTTTAGACAAATGCATAATTTTTGTTTTTGCTTTTCTCTTGAGGAAAAAAATAGTCATTGTTTTAATAAATCGTTAGTATATAATAAAAATGTTATTTCGCAGGAAATTTCTCGTAACATAATATTCATATTAAGTATATTTCACTTCGTAAAAAATTTAAAGAAAACTCATCTATAGATTTAAGAATTTTTTCGCGATAAAGTAAATGTAAAATAACCTTTCACTGTTCAAATTAATTATTAACTATATGTTTGTATTTTTACAGCTTGTATAGATGAAGCCGAAGCCAAGAATCCGTGTAATTCTGCTACAGCTGAAAAGCGTGATGTTTCCAATCGCGCCAACTATCAGTGCGAAGCTCTGAAGAATATGGATTTTCAACAATGCGCAGAGGTAGCGTTAATTTTGTATTAATAACTTGTGCGAAAAAAAAAGTTTAAATATTAAATAGAAAAGAGCAACAATGTAGAGAAACAGAAATAATGCTGTTAATATGCGTAGAATATCATTTTAGTACTGCTGAGCAAGTACCATCGTTTGTGGCAAGAGCTCTCCTTCTTGTAACTAATGATCACCTTGTCATAGTACCGAAACGATAGTCTCTATTTGCTACATTATTTTCTTTCTTACATATTGTCAAAGAATGACTCTGTGCCGAAAATTCTCTTCTTCGATAGAATTGCGTTACTTATTATGGGACCGAAACCATAATCTCTGTTAGCAATATTATTTTTGTTCGTATACGTTGTCACAACATGACTCAGTCAGTAAAAATTTCTGCATCTCCATACTAATGATATACGGAACTTACTATAGTATCGAATTGATATTCTCTGTTTATTGCATTAATTTTATTCTTGTGGATTCTCAGAGAAAGTTTCGGGACCTGAAAATCTCTGTTTCGAAATTAAAGGTCATCTTGTTATAAAACCGAAACAATAGTCTCTATTAATTACATCATTTATTCTCTTATGATTTGTCAAACAATGACTCTGTGCCGAAAATTCTCCACCTTGATGCAATTTATGGTACTTATTATAGTACCGAAACCATAATCTCAGTTAAATATAGTATTTTTGTNTTGCAGCGCCCTGGGCTGGTTTTTCAGCAGCACAATGCCAGACCACATACGGCACGTGTTGCTATGAACTGTCTGAAAGCTTGTCAAACTCTTCCTTGACCCGCCAGATCACCAGATCTCTCTCCCATCGAGCATGTCTGGGATATGATGGGAAGGCGATTGCATCTGGCACGGAATGTTGATGACCTCGTTCGACAATTGGTAGGAAATACCGCAAGAGACCATCCGGGAGCTTTATCGGTCTATGCCACGCCGTGTGGCAGCTTGCATCCAGGCTAGAGGCGGGTCAACACCTTATTGAACTTGTTACTGTAACTCTACAATAAATTATTCAATTGTTCTGAAATTTTAATCATTTACTATTCTGTACATTGTCTTCCTATCCACCAATTTTCGTTTCAATCGGACAACTTCTTCTCGGCGCGTTTTTTTTTTTTTTTGTTATAGAGTGTAGTTTTTGTATACGTTGCCACACAATGGCCCTAAATCAAAACTTGTGTGTCTCCATACTAATTATATAGTACTAATCTTATCGAAACGATAATCTCTGTTTAGTAGATTATTTTTGCTCATATACATGAGAATGACTTTGTTCTTAAAACTATCTGGCTCAATATTAACTCGTTGAATGCCATGGGACTTACCGGTGACAGGCAGAGTTTGTTCGTAGCGACACGGGGGTCATCGGTGACCGGTGAAGTCAAGATTATTCGAAACACAAAATTCGAGTAAATTTTTAATTTTTTAATATTATCGTTACTAAAATGGTTTGTTTTGAAGAAATGAATGCAATATAGAACACAAAAAAAAAATACTTTTACTTATATACACAGAGATGCCAACTTGCTCCAGACAGCGAATAAATGTTTTCAAGTGGTAGTTTATTAATTGTGATTCTTGGTTTAATAAATTCAATTTAGCAGATTTTTGTTCACCATTATTTCTAAGCAATTCGTAAGCTTATATAATTCACCACTTTTTTCAGATATGTCATGCTAAACCTTTTGAAAAGCTTGCACAATCTGTCTAATATTTGCAAATTTAGTGTGTAGTTATTTGGCCAGACGGGCAAATCATGTAAAATTAGCGTGGCATTTAACTAGTTAATGATTATATTATAAAACCAAAACGATAATCTTTGTCAAATATATTTTTCTTCCCAATTTTGTCACAAAATGGCTTCCAGTTGATACTATGATACTTGTTTTAGTACCAAAATGATCTTCTATATCTGTCAAATGTGTTTTTTTTTTTAAAGTTTTTCAAAGCTTAACTTCTAAAATACAAAATTCGAATTTAAAATTTGGTTCAATAGAACACATTTCGATCAATAAATTGTAACAGAAATTATTCAAAAATAATAAATAACTACTGAATAAATAAAAAAAATTCCAGGCGTATAGTGGCCCTGGACTTTACACGGAGGTAATACATTCTTTCCTGTATAAATATAGGGATAAGTTAGGAAAATATATCGAAGGAGTAGTAATCACTCCACGTGAAACAACTTTTTCCTGAATAACAAAACAGAAAACTGATTCGTAGGTTAGAAAAACAACAGACGTAAGGGCACCTTTAGACATTGCAATCGTTATGCGTATTTCTAAAATCCGGGTTTAATTCCAATAGTAATTTCTCGAGATGTAAATTAGATATAAGATAACAATGAAAATACCAGGTACAGTGTGCAAGAGACGATATGACCCTTGGTAACTTTTGCTCTAATGATCGAATTTTCACGAACTAAATATTGTTCTTAATGGCTCAAAGGAGTGACCTCAAATATGCTTATCAATTAATATTGAAATTTTTTTTATTTTCTATGAGCTGCACAATCAGTCTTCCCGATGAGCAGACCTAGTGGGGTTCTCCAGAAGTGGTATCCACTCCTTCAGGACCACCACAATGGGTGAGATACCGTTGGCCATGTTAATTTGGACGTCTAGTTTCTGCCACACTAGATGGTAGCATCGAGACTCTATTTAGATGCTAAAGTGCACAAGGAATTTAATTTTGCCGGAAATGCTTAGAGCCAATAAGGCACTCCAGGAATCTTTTACATGCCGCAGAATCATACAACGTGGCCGTTGAGGATTTTCTGCATGCCGAATGTCCGGTGTCTGGGCCGGGGATCGAACCTGCAGACTTGGGCTCAGAATGCCGACGACAAACCAACTGCGCCATCCAGTCACAAATAATATATACTTATTACGAATGATATTTTAAATTAAGGAATGAAACGCTAAAACGCACTTTCTCTGAATGGTCATAATTTTTCCTCGAAGGAATTGGATTTTCACACATTGAAACTTATGTTTCTTAAGGAGTTTAGAACTCCTTGCCATGTGATACATTGAGAATTTTTTTTTTAAAAAATAAGGCAAATACAATAAATGTAATAAGTTACTACATATTTGTTAACTGAAACAATGAAGCGTAATTCGAATGCTAATGCTATTCTAAGGATTTTTGCGGCTTAGTCTATCGAAGACACATTTCTTATAACTCAACTTTAAAGAACAAAATGATATTACACGACTCAGGAATAAACTCAGATTTACACAGTTCCCATTGAAAATGTTATTTACAAGAAAATAGAATTTTGTCATACTGAACCATATTTTTAACTCAATACATCACATTAATTTATATGCATCCTGTATATTTACGAGAATCATATATGGTACAAGGAACTAAAAAGTGAACACACTGAATAACTTTTGATCTAATGATCATATTTTTAATTTCTAGGGTTCAATCTTATTAGTTCTAATGCCTAACCAGAAATATTCATCATTATTTTAAGGATTGAAATCAGATCCCGATAGAGGAGTCGACAGTTTGATCTGTTTAAAGATATTTCAAGTCTTCTGTATTTCACTATAGCTCGAGAATATTTTAAGAGGATCGAAAAATCATTGCACCCAATAATACTATGTAAAAATACGACTTTAAAAATTATTTAAATTTTTTTGTTAAATTATTTATTAATGGTACAAAAAATGCAATTTTTATATTATATAGTACAATTATAGTATAAAATACAATTTTAATAAATAATCATTATAATTTATTTTGCTTGATAATAATTTAAAAAAATTTGAATTGATTGGAAAAGCGAAAATAATTATTAGAAATAATTATTAGAAATAATTCTTAACAAAGAATTTTCTTTGGATAATTAAATTCTACAATTCCATGAAAAAAAAATTTCGATTTGCTCATAAAAATTCTAGAGACATGGTGAAATACCCAAAAAGAAAGATAAACGTTAAGGATTCCAAACTTTGAATTTCCTCTCGACAGAACTATCTGGACCATATTTTCCAGAATGCTGCTACCCCCTATATTTTACGGGTAAGAAATCCATACCAGTCGAATAAAAGGTATTAAAAATATCATCAGGGCTAATTAAATAACATAGTTTAGGTCACCCCGTTATACCATTAAGATTGAATCCCTAGTTCGCGAAGAACAAATCAATGAATCCAAAACTATTCAGGGTGTTTCGTTTATTTTTTGCATATTGTACATTAACTATTTAACCATGATAACAATTTTAGAATAAGGTTAGATTAGACAATAAGATATGAATAAAAGCAATATTTCGTATATGTATATCTGATTGACTATAATAGTAAATGCTATATGCCATCTTTTAACAGTTCGTGGATATCAATTTGTACTACACGAAGTGTCAAATGGATTGCTGCAACGTAAAGTCCACCGAAGGCTGTGAGTGCACTACTCTCTCGGAGTTTGTACTGGAGTGTTCTCGCGCTGGAATAGATATGTCAGCCGGATGGAGGCAGCCAGCACTGTGCCGTAAGTGAAATCAAACAACCTGATACTAATAACTGTAACTCTTCATTGTACGTATGACAAAACAGAAATTTAATAAACACAAATAGCTGCAAAACTAGGAAAGAAATTTGGGAGAATTAAAATTCAAGAAAATAGATTAAGTGTTACTTAACTTTTGATCAGTAGTTGACAGCAAACTTTGGGTACTGGTTCGGACCTTTACAACAACCTTTCAGACAACAGTTCAGTTTGAATTGTTTCAGATGTAGTAAAAAGCATGGTCTTATAGTTTCCCCGGTCAATAGCGCCACCTGATGACAATATTTTCAACTAATTTAAAATTTGGGGAAACACAACACAACGCAGTGCTTTATACTAAATCACGTTTCCGTTTATCTATTTATAAAAAAATCTTATGTATTTAACGGAATAGAAAGAAAAAAAATCTGAAGCTTTATTTAAAGTGTAGCGTGTGTGTAAAGTGTATTTGTGGAACTATCATTATAAAAGCTCATAACTGCAAAGAATGTAAGAAATTAAATAATTTTAATATTTTTAAAGTTGATCCTTATTAAGAATACGTTTTAAAATATTTCAAAAATTTAAATCTTCATGAAATGGCCAATTGAATCAACTTCGAAGTTTTATACAGAAATAGTAGTTCACCTCAGCCAAAAAATAAGCCAAAAATTCACCAAAGTGAAAATCACTTTGACTTTAACTGTTTATTTATCTTGATGAGACTTTAAACACACATCCTTAAAACAAATATTTTCTTGAATCCGTACTTTTTCTTCATGGATAGTAAATTAATTTAATCCTTTAAGCAGAAAATATTGTTAAACATCACGCTTTCATATTTTTATTTACATAAGAAATTCCAAGTAAGAAATCTTTTATTTTGAATAAATAACACGCATTGCTTTTTAAGAGTAATTTTAAAAAATCCCTATACAAATTATGCTGTAAAAATAATGTGATTTTTAAAAACAATTTTTTGAAAGAAAAAAAATTGCAATAAAAATAAATTTTGAAAATTTTATACTGACAGTAAATAAACGCTCATAATTAATTTAATAAGAGTTTGTTGAAAACAACTTTGCGAATAGGTTTAGAAAAAAAAATGTTTGACTTTTACAATTTTTTTTACAAGAAAAAAGCATTGCAACTAGGTTGATGAAATTTTGCAACAGTAAAAACGGTTATTTTTAAAGTTGTTTAAATATTCTAACTTTTACAAATATTTAAAATTATCGATGGTTGATTCACTTCTTTCACGACATTTTATTTAAATTTTTAGAACCGTAAGAATTCCGAATTAAGATTTCGTTTGTACTTGTTTTTACGAAAAAAACATTATCATTACTTCATAACATTTCTTTTTCGCTTTATATTGTTTCTTGGTCGCGCTTATTTTTATAGTTTCCTATTCTGCTTCCATGCTCTTTGCGTTTACATTTTTTCGCGTTTTGAAAAATTTTTTAACACAAAATAATTTATTGATTAAGGAAATAAAAAAATTTTATACCTAGTTAAAATTTTTAGCTCTAAAATGCGGAAACAACATGGAATACAACGAATGTGGTCCACCTTGTCCAGCAACTTGTGAAGATCAGCAGCCAGTCTGTTTCCAAGAGAAATGCGTGGATGGATGTCATTGTCCGGCAGGAACTGTTCTGGATAATGGAATTTGCATTTCAGTGGAAGAGTGTCCGTGTCGTCAAGGGGAGGCTATTTATTCGGTTGGAGATGAAATTCAACTAGACTGCAATACTTGGTATGACTTAATTTCTTATATGACAAGCAGATTCCCTATTTTCCAGATTTTTACTAACTATAATACTTGGTATGATCAAATTTCTTCTGTCCAGAGAAAATTACAAGCGGTGTCAAAACTGGCCAGATTAGATCTAAATTAACACTTGTTATACCCAAATTTCGTTTTACTAAAGAGAGCCATTGCAAGCAGTTTCAAAACTGTCCAGATTAGGTCTAAATGTAACATTTGGTCTACCCAAATTTCATTTAACTAAAGAGAACCATTGCAAGCAGTTTCAAAACTGTCCAGATTAGGTCTAAATGTAACATTTGGTCTACCCAAATTTCATTTAACTAAAGAGAGCCATTGCAAACAGTTTCAAAACTGTCCAGATTAGGTCTAAATGTAACATTTGGTCTACCAAATTTCATTTAGCTAAAGAGAGCCATTGCAAGCAGTTTCAAAACTGTTCAGATTAGGTCTAAATGTAACATTTGGTCTACCCAAATTTCATTTAACTAAAGAAAGCCATTGCAAGCAGTTTCAAAACTGTCCAGATTAGGTCTAAATGTAACTTTTGGTCTACCCAAATTTCATTTAACTAAAGAGAGCCATTGCAAGCAGTTTCGAAACTGTCCAGATTAGGTCTAAATGTAACATTTGGTAAGTCTAAATTACTTTTAACTAAATTCAGCTACGACAAGCAGTTTTAACACTGTCCAGATTAGATCTAAATGTAAAACATGCTGTGTCTAAATTTCTTCTAACTAAAGAAAGTCATGACTAGTAGTTTCAAAATTTTAGAAATTGGAGCTAACTGTACGATTTGATATGACAAAATTTCTTCTGTCTCATAATTTTATTCTATGCATGCTCTGAACTTCTGCGTTTTCAGGAAGAAAAAAAATTTAAAAAACCTTTTTTATAAATATATATAGACAAAGATGGGTTTTTAAAAGAAAACATGGCATTTATTTTTAATATGGAACCACTTTCAGGAAAGTCTTACAAAGCAAAATATTTTTAAAAAAACAAAACGTTGCAAAATAACCTTTCTTATATTACCTTATATATATAATCCGAACTTCACGTGTTTTGTACAAAATAAAATCGTTTAAAAAAATTTTTTTATAAATTCTTACTATAAATAGGTGTTTTCGGAAAATGGAAAAATTATGAAACTGTATCAAATGAATTTTTAGAATGAAATTATAAAAATTCATTTATTACCCATACTGTAGTATGGGAGACAGTATCACCACGTTGAAAAAATAGTATACAAATTCGTAAAGTGTTGTTGTTTCAGCCAACGCTATCTTTTATCGGAATAATAATGTACAAGAAATTTTTTAAAAAAAATTGACATCAGAAATATTCAGATTAGAAATTGTGAAAATAAGAACGTTTCATTAATATATTAGCAGCTTATTTTTTTAAAAATTATTTTTAGTGTATGTGAAGGCGGCAATTGGCAATGTACAGACACAGTATGTGCGTCCACTTGCACATTAGCTGGGCCACATATTACGACATTCGATGGCCATGCTTACGATTTTTATGGAATTTGCCCTCATTACATAGTGGAAGCTGACAACTTCAATGTGCAAGTAGATTATGACCAAAACTGCCCTGACACTGAAAGTAGCGTCTGTGTGAAGAGCATAACTATTCATACAACTGAAGGAGCTGTAGTTAAGATGAAACCTTCATTGGAGGTGACTATTTCATAACTATTGCTTTGTGCTTCATAACTATTGTCTATGCTCATAGTTTGCAATTACTTTCACAACGTACTTTAAGTCACTATCGAGTGCTATGAAGTTGTACTATGTTTTGAGTTGTTTAAAAAAATTCTAATTGAATTTAATGATTATATACTAAATAATTTATTGTCCCGCAGTGGACTGATCGTTAAGACACGGTTCCCAGCAGATCACCGAAGTCGAGCATTACTGGCTGTGGCCAGTATGAGGGTGGGAGACCACTTGGATCAGTCTGGGTATGGACCAAGGGTGTGCGGTATTGGTCATCGTTAAACTGCTCCACCGTAAAGTGCTCGACTTCGCGTGCTGGTTTTCGGGTTACCGAGGAGGGCGAGCCATCCCCTGATCAAAGGATCAAAATTGTGATGGCATGTCTTTGGATCATCCTCAGCGATGTTTCCCAGACTGTCGCCAACAGTCCATTGTGCAGCTCTAGTGCGACGTAAGGGAACTACAACTAAATAATTTATTGATAACTTCTTATGTCATAACTTCTAGTTATTTTAATTAAAGTTTGGCATTGAGTTTTCTTTTTATGACGTAACAATTGCGTGCATAAAAGTGAAAACAAATTCTCAATAACTTCATTTTAAAACTTTTCAGCGTAACGGTAATGCTATTAAAGCGATAATTTGCCCTTCCTTTTGCTTAAAACTCTTTAAAAAATATATATATTTAGCAAAATGAACATGAAAACATCAAAAAGTTTAACATTCAATGATTAGGCTATAAAAAAGTTTTGTAAAATGATTTTAAATACCCTAATTTTCATGAAGGAAGCAGATAAGAAAATCGATGAGAGAATAAATGAAAAGTTTAACAACTTACATGCATCATTGCCTCCTACAACTGAAAGCCTTCACACGGTTTTTTAAAGGTAGTCCGATCAGACCACTCTGAAGGCAAACTAGTTTACGAAAGCGCCATTTCATAGATTGTCTAATAAAAATAAGAAACTGGCAGCAAATATATGTCTACAAATTAATGAATATGATTGGTTTGTCTTATTCACTTGTCAGATTCAATTCTCAAATACATATGATAAATTTCTCATAATTACTTTTAAAATGGAATGTGGGTTCATGCGCACAACTGGTTCACTTTTTAAATAGTCTGCGCAGACTACTTATAACCGTGAGAAGGATTCCGTGAAGAGGCCTTCTGATGTAGGAGGTGATAAATGTATACTTATTGCGGGTTCATTTTTTTTATTCAACAACAAAATATTCTAAGTAGAAATTGGCACATATTCCTAAGTCCTAAAATTTATAGAAACGTATTCTCAAATATATGGGCTATTTTTCGTGTAAGATAATACTTAACTCTCAAAAGTATCAATTTTAAATAAAATTGAAAATATTAATACGCTTTTAGAGTTATAAAGTATATAAATTGTGACTCAAGCAAAATTTTAAAACTTATTTCTAGAACGCAAAGTTTTCCTTTTTACTTTAATATTAAGTGACACACTCTTAAAATTTAAAAAAAAAGAATGTTTCATCTGAAGTTTTTATAGTTTTGCTTCATGAATATAGTGTGTCTGAAACTTCCGAAAATCGATTCACTTTTCATGAATAGTGACAATATCGAATGTATTTCCGACATCTCGGCCGAAATCTGCAATTCCAAGAAGGCAGAAAGATACGCCCCTTTAAAATTTTTAGCTCNTAGTAGTTCACCTCAGCCAAAAAATAAGCCAAAAATTCACCAAAGTGAAAATCACTTTGACTTTAACTGTTTATTTATCTTGATGAGACTTTAAACACACATCCTTAAAACAAATATTTTCTTGAATCCGTACTTTTTCTTCATGGATAATAAATTAATTTAATCCTTTAAGGAGAAAATATTGTTAAACATCACGCCTTCATATTTTTATTTACATAAGAAATTCCAAGTAAGAAATCTTTTATTTTGAATAAATAACACGCATTGCTTTTTAAGAGTAATTTTAAAAAATCCCTATACAAATTATGCTGTAAAAATAATGTGATTTTTAAAAACAATTTTTTGAAAGAAAAAAAATTGCAATAAAAATAAATTTTGAAAATTTTATACTGACAGTAAATAAACGCTCATAATTAATTTAATAAGAGTTTGTTGAAAACAACTTTGCGAATAGGTTTAGAAAAAAAAATGTTTGACTTTTACAATTTTTTTTACAAGAAAAAAGCATTGCAACTAGGTTGATGAAATTTTGCAACAGTAAAAACGGTTATTTTTAAAGTAGTTTAAATATTATAACTATTACAAATATTTAAAATTATCGAAGTTTCATAAATGTCTTTTACGACTTATTATTTCAATATTTAGAAGTGTAAGAATTCCAAATTAAGATTTCCTCTGCACTTGTTTTCACGAGAAAAACATTATCATATATGTTTACTTCTTAATATTCTTTTCCATATTATGGTATTTCTTGGTCGAATTTATTTTGATAGTTTTCTATTTCATGTATTCTATTCTGTTTTAATGTGCCATTCTTTTATATTTTTTGGTGTTTTCAAATATTTTTTAACACAAAATAAGTTTTTAATTGAAAAAGAAAAAATTAATTATACCTGGTTATATTTTTTAGCTCTGAAATGCGCAAACAACATGGAATACAACGAATGTGGTCCACCTTGTCCAGCAACTTGTGAAGATCAGCAGCCAGTCTGTTTCCAAGAGAAATGCGTGGATGGATGTCATTGTCCGACAGGAACTGTTCTGGATAATGGAATTTGCATTTCAGTGGAAGAATGTCCGTGTCGTCAAGGGGAGGCTATTTACTCAGTTGGAGATGAAATTCAGCAAGACTGCAATACTTGGTATGACTTAATTTCTTATATGACAAGCAGATTCCATATAGTCTGGATTTGTGCTAACTATAATACTTGGTATGATAAAATTTCTTCAGTCCAGAGAAAATTACAAACGGTTTCAAAACTATCCAGATTAGATCTAAATGTAACATTTGGTTTACACAAATTTCATTTAACTAAAGAGAGTCATTGCAAGCAGCTTCAAAATTGTCCAGAGTAGGTCTAAATGTAGCATTTGGTCTACCCAAATTTCATATAACTAAGCAGAGCCATTGCAAGCAGTTTCAAAACTGTCCAGTATTAGGACTAAATGTAACATTTGGTAAGTCTAAATTTCATTTAACTAAATTTAGCTACGACTGGCAGTTTTAACACTGTCCAGATTAGATCTAAATGTAAAACATGTTGTGTCTAAATTTATTTTACCTAAAGAGTCCCGACAAGCAGTTTCAAAACTGCCCAGATTAAGTCAAAATGTAAGATTTGGTATACCTGAATATCGTTTAACTAAAGAGAGTCACAGCAAGCAGTTTCAAAACTGCCCAGATTTAGTCATAATGTATGATTTGGTATGCCTGAATTTCGTTTAACTAAAGAGAGTCATTGCAAGCAGTTTCAAAACTGTCCAGATTTAGTCATAATGTATGATTTGGTAAGTCTAAATTTCTTTTAACTAAATTGAGCTACGACAAGCAGTTTTAACACTATCCAGATTAGATCTAAATGTAAAACATGCTATGTCTAAATTTATTTTAACTAAAGAGTCCCGAAGAGCAGTTTCAAAACTGCCCGTACTAGGTCTAAAAGCGACATATGAGATGTCTAAAGTTCTTTTAACTAAGGAAAGTCATGACTAGTAGTTTCAAAATTGTAGGAATTGGAGCTAACTGTACGAATGATATGACAAAATTTCTTCTGCCTCATAATTTTATTCTATGCATGCTCTGAACTTGTGCGTTTTCAGGAAAATAATTTTTTTAAAAGCCTTTTTCATAAATATATATATATATAAAGATGGGTTTTTTTCAAAAAAAAAAAAAACATTTCATATAGTTTTTAATATGGAGCCACTTTCAGGAAAGTCTTACCAAGCAAAATAATTATAAAAAAAAAACAAAACGTTGCAAAATGACCTTTCTTATATTACCTTATATATACACCGAAGAGGCATTACATTATGACCACCCTGCTAATAACATGTAGGACCACCTTTAGCCCTCAAAACTGCTAGCACCCGCCGTGGCATTGATTCCACAAAGTGCTGATAGGTAGTCTGAGTTATCTGGTACCAAGCGCTCACCAACTGATCCTGCAATTCCCTCACATTGCGAGGGGGTAGCATGGCAACACGAATTTGGTTTTTCAAGTAGGACCACAAATGCTCTATTGGATTAAGGTTAGGTGAATTTGGGGGCCAAGACATGACTTGAAAGTCACTGAAATGTTCCTCGAACCAATCCATGACGATTCGACCCTTATGACATGGTGCATTATCCTGTTGGTAAACACCATCCCCCGCAGGAAAAACTGTTGCCATGAATGGGTGAACCTGGTCTGCACCTATGTTCAAGTAGCTTACAGACGTCAGGGATTGTTCTATGAGGATTGTGGGTCCTAATGTGCCCCATGAAAACATTGTTCCTGGGAGAGTCCATTGTTATGGATGGAGAGTGGTCATAATATAATGGTTCTTCGGTGTGTAATCCGAACTTCACGTGTTTTGTACAAAATGAAACCGTTTTAAAACATTTTTTTATAAATTCTTACTATAAATAGGTGTTTTCGGAAAATAGAAAAATTGTGAAACTGTATCAAATGAATTTTTAGAATGAAATTATAAAATTTCATTTATTACCCATAATGTAGTATGAGAGAAAGTATCACCACGTTGAAAGAATAGTATACAAATTCGTAAAGTGTTGTTGTTTCAGTCAACGCTATCTTGCGTAGGAATAATAATGTACTGGAAATTTTTTTAAAAAAATTGACATCAGAAATATTCAGATTAGAAATGGTGAAAATAAGAATGTTTCATTAATATATTAGCAGCTTATTTTTTTAAAATTATTTTTAGTGTATGTGATGGCGGCAATTGGCAATGTACAGACACAGTATGTGCGTCCACTTGCACATTAGCAGGGCCACATATTACGACATTCGATGGCCATGCTTACGATTTTTATGGAATATGCCCTCATTACATAGTGGAAGCGGACAACTTCAATGTGCAAGTAGATTATGACCAAAACTGCCCTGACACTGAAAGTAGCGTCTGTGTGAAGAGTATAACTATCCATACAACTGAAGGAGCTGTAGTTAAGATGAAACCTTCATTGGAGGTGACTATTTCATAACTAGTGCTTTGTGCTTCATAATTGTCTATGTTTATAGTTTGCAATTACTTTAAGAACGTGCTTTAAGTCACTATCGAGTGCTATGAAGTTGTATTATGTTTTGAGTTGCTTAAAAAAATTCTAATTGAATTTAATAATCATATACTAAATAATTTTTAGTCTCGCAGTGGACTGATCGTTAAGTCACGGTTCCCAGAAGATCACTGAAGTCAAGCATTACTGGCTGTGGCAAGTAAGCGGGTGGGTGACCAACTGGATCAGTCTGCGTATGGACCGAGGGTGTGTGGTATTGGTCCTTGTTAAACTGCTCCACCGTAAAGTTCTCGACTTCGCGTGCAGGTGGTCGGGCTACCGAGGAGTGGGGTCCATTCCCTCATCAGAGGATCAAAATTGTGGTGGCATGTCTTCGGATCATCCTCAGGGATGTTTCCCAGACTGTCGCCAACAGCCCATTGTGCAGCTCTAGTGCGACGTAAAGGAACTACAACTAAATAATTTATGGATTATAACTAATAACTAAATAACTTCCGATTTCTCTGACTTTTACATTGATCACGGTTACATATATAAATGTCAGTATTACATCACCGTTACTTATCTTATTTATATATATTTTTTAATTTTTGCTGAAAATGAATTATCAAAAAAAGTAACAGCTTAATTTCATTATGTCATAAAAGATATCCTACGAGTTAGAGAATGTTATTTCGAAACTTTATAAGCTTATTTGGCATTATAAAATGAAATATTCAATTAAAGAATATTCCATAAATAACAGAATGTTATGTAAATTTACAAAGCAACTTATTTATATGTTTTTTATTATGAAATAAAATATTCAAATAAGGAATATTTCATAAATAACAGAATGTTATGTTAATTTATAAAACAACTTATATTTATGTTTTCCATTATGAAATGAAGTATTCATGTAAAAAATATTCCATAAGTAACTGAATTTTATAACAATTTTTAAAACATCCTTATTTGAATACTTTATTTAATATGTTTCTCGCTATGAATTTAAGTTCTCAAATAGGAATGTTCCATAGGTAACAGAATGTTATGCTAATTTACAAGACTTTTCATTATTTTATGTTTTATATTATGAAATGAAGTATTCAAAAAAGAAATATTCTATAAGTAACGGAATGTTACATCAATTTATAAAACAACATCTTTATTTTAATACTTTATTTCACATGTTTTTTTTTTATTATGAAATTAAGTACTCAAATAAGGAATATTTCCAAAGTATCAGACTGCTTTTTAAATTTATAAAACAACTCATATTCATGTTCTTCATTATGAATACATGCTTTTCATACTTATTTTAACAAAGAATATTTCATAATTAATCTTAAGTACTTTAAATTTATAAAATTAATAATAAGTATATTTGTCATTATGAAGCGAATTATAAAAACACGAAATATTTCAAAAATAAGCTTCTGATCTTTTACTGCGTTTAGTTTCTTTTTTTCTCTGTTATTAGATTACTAAGCAGACAATATGTTATCAAAAAATACAATTTATACGTAAAATTTGGTTTTTATAATAGTATGTTTTCACTGATTCAGGTATCAGTCAATGAAAAAGAAATGCCTCATCTGCCTGTCATCGCACCAGGAATATATGTTGGGCAAGCCACATCTTCATACATGAAGGTAAGTAATAATATTGTCACAATAAAAAAATAAAAAATAGCGCGTGGAGTCCCTCCGCGCGGAAGAAGTGAAACGTCGTAATGTGGAAATGAAAATAGGAAGGGGTAGAATTTGATTTTTAGTGAAATCATATTGTTTCTTTAAGACAAACTTTATTAACATTGCTTACAATTCACAATGGATCGCATCTTTTAATTATCATTTTCGAGTGGAGAAATATCCAAATCTGTAACATTTACAATGGGATTATGATAACTAAAGTAAAATACGAAATGTTTGAGTTCTATTTTTTCAATATTTCTTGCAAAAACTGCATCAATGGTAGTTACCCCTTTGGTTGTTGGATCATTCCTACCATTTATCATTTCCAATCCAAATTTGTCTTTAAGGAAGGTTAATAATGTTTCAGCTTCAGGTAACGAGAAATTCACATTAAAATCTCCTGCAAGGATCACAGGCCGCTCACAATAATCAATTTCTTCACCAGTAACGTCTGCCAGAGCTTGTGAACCTGCAGTGGATAGTGGCAATAAAGATTTTGCAATAAATAATTTAATATCCCTCATGGCTGCATTTGGTGAAATATAAATGGCAATTAGAAAAGAGAAAACCTAACAATCAATTGATATTCACAAGAGACGTACCTTGACATAACCTTAAATCCGTCGCATTGTCCGTGGGATTGTTTTCACTCATTTTTTACAATTGTTATCCACTAAGTTTGAAAATAAAAAATACTACCCTATTAAATTATATGTGTATCAAATCAAACTAAAATATTTATAGAAAAACAATACTTTTATGACTTTTATTATTTTTATGCTAGTGAGAACCAAAACAATATGGAAATGAATGAGGGAAAACTGGATCCTACCACGTGATTTCCCGGCCAATAAAAATGTAGCGTTAAGCGTTTAACGCAACCTTGTTGGAAGTCGCATAAGAAGTACAACTTCAAAAAATTATTACAAATTCGAACAAAAGAATGTTTTAATAGTAACTTAAACAACATTCAGTTATTGACAAAGACGATTATCCAAATACTGTGATATTTGGTTTCTATTGGACTTAACTGCTGTTCTCGTTTAAGACTTATCGACTAGTTTCTCTAAAAGTCCAAATAAAAATTCTATTAGAAATAGTTTTCTATGGAATCAGTTGAAATTTTGATTTATTTTTAAACTCTATTCATAGTCTAAATTCTTGGATTGCTGAAAGAATAAATTTACTAAACTTGATCTTTTTCAATCAAAAACGAAATTATATGGAAAAAGTATTTCATTAAATAATTAAATAGAGATATGGATAGAGATATAGATAGATAGAGATATAAATAGATAGAGATATAGATATTGAACAAAATATAAGATGAAATAAAATAATTTATTACCTCATAAGAGAACTAAAAAGTATCACCTTGATATAAAACAAAGTTGTTTGCAATACACAAATTTTGGGCTGATAATTGTAAGTTGTATTTAAATAAATAGGGCAATTCATTATGCCATCAATATATAATAAATTACCTTATCCTAATGCTGACAAGCACCTAGACATAAGGATACCACCACCATGCTTAAATGCCTGAACTAAGTTGTTGAGATAAAGTTCTTCATTTTTTCTGCTCCATACAATACATCGAAACCCATTGTGTTAAATTTGCTTTAATGCGCCAATAAAACATTTTTAGATACGTTAGAGATTTATTCATTATTGATTTTACGAAGTAAAGCCTGAAGTTTCCGCTTTTCATAAAAACAAGACACTTTCTGCAGGCAGAACTCCCATTTAATCTAGCTGCTTTGAGAACTTGTCGAAAAGTGTAAGGAGAAATTTAAACTGAATATTTTTTTACTACATTCTACAGAAACTTTTCAAAACTCTTACGAAGTTTTTGAAAATTTTTTTATGAATTTTATAATTTTAATCTTTAATCACGCTGAACTAAATTCCTTCTCTGAAGCGTTTAGTTTACTGCATTGTAAAATAGGATAACATAAGCTATTACAGCATAAACTATAAACTAAACAATAGAAATATTTATTTCTGATTTGCCTCTAACAAATAATCAACTTTCAAATGTTATATTACTACTATGAGCAATTTTTAAATGATAAAAGAAAATATTATGGAGTTGGTTATCAAACAAAAATTGAAATCCAATTTTACTACTATGATTTTGATACCAAATTGAAAAAAAGAAAGATAAATAAATAACAAAATAATAATAATAGTAATAAATGAAAAATAAATAAATGAAAAAAATAGAGTAATCGACGATAATTTTAATCATGAGTTTATCCAAAAACATTTAAAGATGCATTTATTGACTTTGTGAGGTAAATTTTTTGTTAGTTTTTAATAATTAATTTCCTAAAAAATTTAATTACTTTTACTTCTTAAAATTTTACATGCAGTTTGATTAAAAATAGATTATAGATCTCATTATTTTATACCCATTCTGAACTATTCATTTAATAGAGCCTTATTTCATTGAAAGTCATAGGTGTACAAACACTTTTGGGAGCCACTGCATATATAGATATAATTTTTTTCCTCCTAAATAGCATTTATGTTGCACAGAAAAAATTATATGTTCAGGATTTAGCGATATCAGATCTGGATCGTACTATAAATAATACATCCGGGTAATTGGATAAGTATTGGTTTCGATGACAAAAGGGAAAAACTAAATACAAAAGGGTTTCTTAAAGGGAAAAACTGCATGTGCTTTTAACCTATTGCTTTAATGGCGTCGAAAACATTTTTTTTTTTTGACATTTCTGCTTTGTCTCGGCTAACAACAAGTTAATACTAATCATCGTGCGTTCTTATGGCTTCTAGAAAGTAAACTATAACATTTCTTTTCTTGTATTTTTATTCGTCATCTCAGATATATAACGGGTAAATGCAGTAATGAATGCTTCTTTTTTCACATTTGATAAATGCATAGAAAAATCGAGAACAGGCAAAAAAAAGATTCTTAGGCATAATTTTTTCAAAGCAAAGCAATAAGCAAAATTATTATTACATTAAAATAACTGTTAAATTAAAAAGTATATAGAAACTATTAATGACGACACTAAACTAAGCAACTAAAAGCCATAACTAGTTAATTTAAGTAATATCATTACAAAAAATTTAATTTTCAAGTGAGTTCTGAAGAAATTAAAATTACGAAATATTATGCATTTTTATTCTATACATTAAAGGGCTTTTAATTATTTAGAGAGCTTTTAATTTTTCTATTTAATTATACTTTTTTTAATAACAATGCCTTAGTAATAAAAAGAGGTACCGTAATACCTTAGTGTTTTAGTTAAAAGTATTTTACGTTTAAAATTATTGCTGAAAGCAATTTAAAAATATTTTCCCAAATTTTTTATTGTCTAATTAAATTTATGCCAGCAAGAGTATTTTTTTAATTAAAATTTTAGCATTTCATAATTGTTTTTGTTACGGGACTCTTCTTTTTTTTAAATATATATTTCATACGTGCTCGAAAGCTGCATCTTTCAAAATTGGAAAAAAAATTTAATGCTTTAAACTAATTATTCAGAAATATAACTTTTTTTAAACCTAAATATTGACTTCCTTAAACTCCTATTCAAATGATTTTTCTTAATTTGAAAAAAAATAATGTACCTATGTTTTATGTTTCAAATAATCAAGTTATACCCACACTTAAAATATTGATTTCCTTAAAAACGTTAATGTTTTTTGTTTAAATCATAACACAAAGCATTAGTCAATAACATTGATTTTCAAAATTTGAATCTAATTTTCTTACTAATTATATGATAAAATTGCACTCCTTTTTTTCATAAAGAATAGAAAAACATATTCTTTTAACATTTTATAAATGCTTTTCTGTCTTAAAAACATTTTAACTGATTAACAAACAAAGCAAATTAAATTCACGACAGATGACTGCAACTTGATATTATGCTTGTGGTAAAATTTGTATTCTCAAAAAAAAATTTAATCGTTCATCTAGAGCATATGCCAATTCAATTTTTTTAGTGAAAAGAGTTAAATGATTTCTTCAAAAACATAATATGCTATTTGAGGGGATAACTGAGAATATAGTTAACTTGCATATTTTAACCTTAATATGATCAATAAAAGCACAAACAATTTTTAATTCACTCTTAATAAAAGAGTATTTAATAAAAAACATTTTGAAAATACACTTAAGGACACAGATGAGGTCCCCTTGACAAATCGCAGCAATGACTTAGTGAGTCATGACGTGCGTGGTTCGAATCTTAGCTCTGTCAAATTTTTTGAATTCAATTACAGAACAAAAAAAAAATATTTTTTCCCCTTTTATAGTATGTAAACGGAAATAAGATATTCATTTATTGAATTTTTTTATTATTTTTAAGTGCAATCATTGATCCCCTATTTTTTGCCTTGACTCTCTGAAGTGCCACGTAAGAGTGTCATTAAAAAACTTCTTTTTTTTTCTAACGTTTCAAATATAGTAGGAATCTCTGAAAACTGCTCGCTCCGCTCCCCAACTCCCCGTGGCGGTCTCTCATTCCGCTTTTTCCCCTTTAAATTTTGATAATTTTAAAAAATATTTTTTTTAGATAATAAATTTTTATTATAACTTAATGTAAGAACATTTTGGTTATATGTTTATCGAAATAAAATGAACTATTCTTTGGATTTGAAAAATAACTAACTGTACACGAAAAAAATTTAAGCTTAGTAACGCAGAATGGGGGACACAATAGAAGTACTTGTACTTGTTATCAATCTTCAGCAAACCTTACATAGTATAACAAATCAAAATGCAAACGATGTTTATATTTCTTGGGACATTTATCTTTTCAAGAAATTTAGTTACAAATGTTATGATTTATATCTGGCAACATATTTTTTTTTATTTCTTTACTTTTGGCATCAAGTTAAACGCAAGCTAATAAAATAATGATACAAGAGAGATAAATTTTTCGACACAATTTATCCTTGTTTAAGGAAATGAAAAAAAATTCCGCAAAAAATAGCACTTAAATTTGCAATAATTTCCGAACGAATTGCAGTTTTGAAAAAAAAAACTTACATTAACCCTTTCAACACGTAAAATTTCAATTCGATATTTGCATTTCAGTGAGCAGTTAGTTCTGCCATGCAACTGAAAAATCAACGTAAGCGACAAAAAATTCAAAATTAAGATTTTTATATATTTGGCATCTTTACATGGTAAGTTACATACATGAATTGCAAAAAAAAATTTAACAATGCATTTTGTTTCATCAGTTTTTTCTTTTAATTCTATTTTACCACTTATAGCATTAGTAATAGAAAAATAAAAGTTGTCAAGGGAATATTCACGGAATCAATGGTGAAGCACTTGCGTTATTTTTTCAACTGCACGGCAGAATTGGTCAACATATTTTTTTTTTTTACTTCAAGTTTAACATTTAATAAATCTCAAACTAATAAACTTAATCTTTTTGTTTCATCAAATTTCTTGTGAATTTTTCTACTTATCATTGTATTTTAAAGTATCTAATTATTAAAAATTTTACTCAGCAAAAAAAAATTAACATAAATGAAAAAAATCGCAAAATGGCATTTAAAGTTACAACTATTTTCAAACTAACCGGAATTTCGCAAAAAAAAGCTCGTGTTAAGTTAGCAACAACATGCCAAACTTTAACTCTGTAGTTGCATTCTTGCGGGTTGTAGATTAGCCTGAATGTTATTTTTTACTATAAGTTTAGCAGTTAATTATTATCGAACTAACTATCGAATGTTAAATATTTTTATTCCATTGTACTCCGTGTACATATACCTTCTTAATTTCTAAGTCTTATATATCAGAACAGCGTTTAGTTGAACACCCAAAACAGCGGCGTTACCTGTGATGGCTCTTGCTATTTTATAATATATAGAGAAATTTTTTCTGCTTTTTAATATTTTGTTCGTAATTTTTGATGACTGAGTACAATTAAAAAAAACACACCATCTTTCAAAAACTTCGGTAAGTAAAAACTTTGCTTTATTATATATAACGCTCATAATTTGCTTTCCTTTGAAAATATACGACATAAGGTACTAAAGTGTAATATTCCCTTAACTGTAACATTTAGAACTAATTCCATTCATTTCCAATACGCGACTATCTTTTGGTCTTAAAAACGGTGCAAGAATATCTTTTTAGCACGTTGTACCCAAACGAAAATTTTACCCCAAAATTATCATTACTGAATATGTTTTTATGGAAAAAAAATCTTTTGGACAACAGCATTAGGAATATAAAGGTTACAAGTCCAAAGATCTCTAATCTATCAATCCCCAAAATCAAAATTTTAATACAATCGGAATAACATTGGAGCAGAAAAGTCTGTACAAAGTAACTAATATAATTCTCTGAGAGCGTGGGTTTTATATGTGTTTATGTGGGTGGTAATGTTTTTTTTTAACATCAGATGTACTGAATCTATCGCTCTACACTATGGAAGGTGCGGGAAGTGTTGCTCATTTTGCGTTGAACTGGTGGCCACCGCGTGACCAAAGTCACGGAGGCGAGCAACATTAACCTCCCACACTGCCACCTGTTCATGTCCCGCAGTGGACTGATTGTTTAAGACACGGTTCCCAGCAGATCACCGAAGTCAAGCATCACTGGCAGCGGTCAGGGTGCGGGTGGGTGACCACTTGAACTAGTCTGCGTTGGGACAAAGGGTGTGCGGTATTGGTCCTCGTTAGACTGTTCTACCGTAAAATGCTCGATTTCACGTGAAGGTCGTCGGGCTACCGAAGCGGGGGGTGCCATCCCCTGTGCAGAGGATTGAAATCGTAATAGCATGTCTTCGGATCATCCTCAGGAATGTTTCGCAGCCCGTCGCCAATAGCCCATTGTGCAGCTCTAGAGCGACGTAAGTGAACTTCAACAAGATACCTGTTTAAAATGTGGGCCATATTCACACATCACACACAACAGAGGACATCACATAAAGAGAGTCCTGAGCGGGGTTCGAACCCGTAATGAGGCCCTCTAACTGCTCGATAACTATGATTAAGGAAAGAGGCTGACCGACCTGTGTAGGGGTCAGGGAACTAGCCTTGCATCAGAAGCGTTTTGGGTTCAATTCCAGGGCAAGGCATGGCTGTCCTTTTCTTCTGAGTACTATCTGTCCTCAATGTAGGAGCAACGTTGGCCCACCTGATATGGTGCCTCTGAAAGAGTGACCAACAAATCTGCCCTTCAGATGCCTGTATGACGAAATGTTATTCTGCAGGTGGGAATTGGGAAAGAAATGATTAAGGAAAGATTAATGACAAAATTAAGTTGCTTATGATAAATTATGTAATTATTTTTTCAGCTAGTGTTTCTCTTTGTATATTTTTTCTAAAAAAGCGATCAAGCAGTAAGTGTATTCAAATTAATAAGCAGCGGCTTATATGAGATTTCTTATGAACCTTAGGTAGAAAATCGCAAAAATATGCAGATGATTTTTCATTCAGTATATGTGACTAGACCATATTCTAAAGTACACAAAATATATGTTCCAATTTATTCTAGGCCCGTCTTAGAAACGGTCTTGAGATTTTCTGGGATTTACATTCATCCATCGAAGTGTACGCACCCGAGACCCTCTTCGGTCTCGTGAGGGGTTTGTGCGGCACTTTCACCAAAAACCTGCAAGATGAATTCTTGACTCCTGAAGGAGACGTCGAATCTTCGGCTGGAGCTTTCACCGAGAAATGGAGGGTGGAGGAACGATGCGAAGACGTCAAAGAAATATCTATAGAAGGTTATGAAAGAGCCTGTGACGTCCATCCAGATAGACGAGAAAAAGCTGTGGAAATATGCCAGTCCTTGAAGAACCCTGAGTTTTCTGGTGAGTTGTTGAAAAATCAACTATATTTTTATCGCCCATACAATTTTGTCAAATGGAATCAAGTTAAAGATTCCGTGTGTTTCACCTATTTCTCATAAATTTTAAGTTTTTAAAAAGTAATTAGTAATTAATAAGTTTTTAATAAGTAATTAGTAATTANTAAGTAATTAATAATTAATAAGTTTTAAATAAGTAATTAATAATTAATAAGTTTTAAATAAGTAATTAATAATTAATAAGTTTTAAATAAGTAATTAATAAGTTTTTAAAAAGTAATTAGTAATTGATAAGTAATTAGTAATTGATAAGTTTTTAATAAGTAATTAGTAATTAATACGTTTTTAATAAGTAATTTATTAAGTTTTCAATAAATAACATATATAGTTCGTAAATATTAATTGTTTTTTTAATAAATTTTTAGTTTAATTCCTTATAATTTAAAATTTAATTTGAAAAAGAAGTTTTATAGAGTCCATAGTTTAATTCAGTGCAAAAATAGAATAATTTGCTTTCAAATGTTTAAAAGGAAACCTTTCGCACTCTCAAAATTCGTTTCAATAATGCACCACTATATTGGTATTTTGAATCATATCATCATGCAAATTTACTGCTGCAAATTATGGGTAATGTGTAAAGTAATGGATAGTATAAAATATATGGATAATATGGAATGTATGGATTAATGGATTGTAAGATATCAGTAGAAGCATGTAAGCTCTACTATAGCACCCTATATGTGGTGGTGCAATATGGCTGTTACTATCTTGGTGCAAAGGCATAGAACAATAAAAAGATAAGAATACATAGAGCGCTGAGGTTGAAAATGTTAGAGTACGCAGCTAGGGGCACCTTCCTTTTAGATATTTGCTGTTCGTGTGTCTTTGAACTGGTATTTACAACCAAATGATTTTTATTTTAGGTTTTTTATTAATCATCGTTGAGATTTGCTTTCAAATAAGCTCAGAAATAGATATAATCAGGGGTCTGTTCAGACATTTTGTGAAAGGTCCGTTTTTGTAAAATTGTGAAAAAATTACTCGTATTTTTGTGAATATAAAATAAACGTTAAGTCACATTCTTTCAACCACGGTCCGCTTTTGTGAATTTGTGCAAATAGGGTCCGTTATTGCAAAAAAAAAAACTTTTTCAAGGAGTTTTTAAATTTTGAAGGCATACAAAAATGTGCTGTAAAAGTATAATTAAAAAAATTAAATTTCAAAAAATAAAGAGCAATTGTAGTTACTAAATTAGCGATGCAACATATAAATATTTGATATTTAGCCTATACTGCTGAACGCAGAATATTCTTTTCGGACGAATAAAGTAAGAAGCGTTTGCGGAAGTAAAAATTTAGTTTGTTTACAGCTGTCTTTCTTCTTGGGAAAGGTTTATTCTATTAACAAAACAATAATGAAGATGAACAAATTTGNAGGAAACCTTTTGCACTCTCAAAATTCGTTTCAATAATGCACCACTATATTGGTATTTTGAATCATATCATCATGCAAATTTACTGCTGCAAATTATGGGTAATGTGTAAAGTAATGGATAGTATAAAATATATGGATAATAAGGAATGTATGGATTAATGGATTGTAAGATATCAGTAGAAGCATGTAAGCTCAACTATAGCACCCTATATATATGGTAGGTGGTGCAATATGGCAGTTACTATCTTGGTGCAAAGGCATAGAACAATAAAAAGATGCGAATACATGGAGCGCTGAGGTAGAAAATGTTAGAGTACGCAGCTAGGGGCACCTTCCTTTTAGATATTTGCTTTTCGTGTGTCTTTGAACTGGTATTTACAACCAAATGATTTTTATTTTAGGCTTCTTATTAATCATTGTTGAGATTTGCTTTCAAATAAGCTCAGAAATAGATATAATAATGAATGGTTCAAAATTTGTATATAAAATTACATTTTATTCATTGAGGAAACAAAATAACGTCTGAAGTGAGCTGGTTGCATTAAAGCCACCGAAATGCTAAACTGAGAAGTATTTTAGAAGCAACTTAATCCTTCCTCCATACTTAACGTAATGAAGGATTTATGAAAAATATTCGCTAAATACAGTTTATCGTAACAATTGTAGATTATTTCTTGATATGAGTAAATATTTTCTGACACACTGATATACAAAAGTGCAGTTCATATTTTAGGATACAGCATCTTTGATCAGAAACAGCTCATAAAAAACTTTTAAATCTGAGTATGAAATTACGTTTCACATCTTGAAGAATTATTATGCCAGATTATAATTTAATGTTTTATTACTAAATGTAAATCTAAAAAATAAATTTTTGTAGAAAACACTAGCATTATTCGAATTAAGGAGAGAGAGAAGCTAAATTTTTAATTTTTTTTTGGCAAATAATTAAATTTTTTTTCTTAACACGCCTATATTCTTTCTTCTATTTTATAGTTCTATATGTTCCAACAAATAATATGTATTGAGAACCTGATTGCGCGGAATGCATAAATTATTTTTATTCTGATAGAAAATGCATCTGAAGTCAAACATGGTTTCGATTTGTGTCCTTTCTTGCATATTAAATTTGTCAAAGACTTGACTGGCGGCCATTTCTGTATCCTAAAATCTTTGTTCATTCTTTCAGAGTGTCATGCTTTAGTGGATTACGGTAGCTTCTACGAAAATTGCCTGGAAGACGTGTGCAGCTGTCTCTCTGATCTGGAATGGTGCGCGTGTTTATCTTTCTCACATTATGCAAATACTTGTGGAAGAAAAGGAAAACCGCTCTCTTGGCGACAAACTTTTCCCGCCTGTGGTAACTCATTTATTAACTCCGTGAATCTGAATATGTAATGTGTTTATTTAAGATTTCAGTTCCATTAAGCTGTGTTACCTATTTAATGTACATCAGAACGGTTACTATCAATTTTAAATCATTTTAAATAAAGCGTATGGGGTTTATTATCAAGCGTGTGTGTCCTTAACCTACAACGCTGAAAGCTTCCTGGTGCACCGACTATAATTTTTCGTTCTTTATTCTTTAATCCAAATGTGCTTTTCAAAACTGCAAGGTGAAAAAGAAATAGAGACAAAAATTACATTTTATTTACGATGTTTTCTTTATTTTAATAAAAACTGACATGAATTTTAACACTAGATTGCCTAAGGAAGTCATTTTGACTGCTTTTTAATTTCAATTAGAAAAACAATGATGTATATAATAACACAATTTCATAGAATTTTATGACTTTTTATACAATATATAATTTTTTAATTTTTAATATTTGCTAATTGCTTGTTATCTAACTGTAAATAATATAAAAATTAATTTTAAACCTATTTCTTTACACATTATTCTTTTACAATCCACTCATTTTGACTGCTTTTGGGCAATATAGGTATATAATAAATTTCAGTCTTTCTAGTGTTAAGTAAGTATTTTGACCAAGCAAAAAAAAATGCCCCCTGTCAGCTATAGATTATTTAATGCTCAAATACGTACGATTTAGTTTTTGAATATTAAGCAGATAATTAAAAACACTATAATTGCATTGATTAGAGCCGCGAAGGCTCAGGGGATGGAGCATTCGCCTTCGTGAAATATTCTCAGTGGTAGACAGATTATGGGTTAGTCCCCTTGCCGTCAGGCTAAACATGGGTGGTTCTCGTGGTCCTCCTCTGCATGTAACGCAAATGCGTGTTGGCTCCATCAAAAAGTCCTCCACGAAGGCAAATTTTACTCGATCCAGGAGTTCCCTTGTCTTCTGGATTGGGTTCAAAATTAGTAGTCGTAAAACCATAAAGTTGTGTCGGCTGTTCAACGACGATTATATAAATATAAAATTGCATTGATTAAATATTTTGTTCGATCAAGGGAACTAATTAAATCAGAACTGAAGAAAAAATAAAATTTTATTTTAAGGGTGCTTTCGAATGTGTGAATCACAAAATCTTATGAAAAATCTGTTATTATTTTTTTCTCCTTAAGTTTCTGAAAAGTATTTTCCGCTAAAATTTATAAATATGACTCGACGTAATGTATAGCACAGTTTGTGAAAGGAGTTAAACTCTACACCTTTTTTCATCATTTATATCAAACTTTGTATAAACATAATTAGTTTTAATATTTTTTATTTAAAATTAGATGTATTTTTTTTATTCAAATGGAAATGTTTTTAAACCTATTCTACAAGAAAATTATCTACTGCGGCTGCAAGAATCCGAATGGTTTCTTGAAGGTGGTCTGCTTGGAGTACATGAGTGAGCCAGATTGCGCAGTAGCCAACTTTTATTGGAAAAAAACTTGTAAAAACAAGAATCAATAAAACTTGTGGAAATACGTGCATCAAAATGTTTTTACAAGAAACAATTCTATGTAGTGAAGGGAAAAAATTCTTAGAAAAGATAATCGCTTATTAACCAAAAGAGGAAATCCAAAATCAATCGGAAAAAAGTAGAGAAAATTATTTTTGAAATTCATCTCAGTTGCCCATTTACAATAACAGAAATTTTGTCAAGAATTAACCCAGATTATTTGGTAATAACAGACATTTTGTCAGGAATTAACCCAGATTATTTGGCACAATTTTCTTTTAACAACGCAGTGTTTCCCAGTTTCTAAGGGACGAAAAAAAAGATTTTTCTCTCATCCTTTTTAATAATAAGAAGTAATATGTTAATGTAAGTAATATGTTAAGAAAAGTGTTATTTAAAAAAAAGATCATATTAAAAGTTGATTTATGTGTGAAATTATCCAGCTCAAATAAGACAAAATTTACTGACACCCGTACAAATATTTCAGGTAGAGAGTATTGTTTACAGCCTATAGCAATACTACAGAATAAGGTTTTTACGGATATCAGAGCCATCTATTATTGAATTTTGTAATTAATTTTTAAAACTTAGCACGAATGAAACCCTGTTTCTTAAGGAAACGTTTTACTAACCTTACAGTTACATCTTCTTTAATTGATTTTCAAAATTGGTATAAAAATTATTGGTATATATTGGTATTGGCATTTATTTTTAAAATTGCCATCAATGAGTCAACCTAATGTAACCAGTGCATGACTGTTTTGATGTGTTACACAAATAATCATCCACAAACCAACAATTCCTAATCTCACAAGTGTTTTTATTTCAGGTACTGCGTGTTTCGGAGGTCAGATTTATACTCCGTGTGCCAATCCTTGCTCCTACAGTTGCGGAGAAATTGCTCATGTGTACTCAAATTGTAGAGACACTTGCATAGAAGGTTGCGTGTGTCCCCAAGGCCACACACTCAATGAACACAAACAATGCGTCTCTGTATCTTCTTGTAAATGTCTTCACAGTGGACATTACTATCCACCAGAATTTCTCCAAAGAAGAGGGAAGGAGATGTGGTGTGTAATTTGATCTATTTATGATTTTACCTATGATCAAGGCTCGAAAAACCGCCCGTCCTCATCGGTCAAAAATTCTCCGCGGACAACGAATTTCTCGAATCCGACGTCCGTTCGGACGGCCATTTTCCCGTTAATGTTCGTGATACTTTTTCAATTTTAAACTCAAGAAACGCAGTACCCTCGGATAAATTGACATTACCGAAAACTTGACCTTTGTCATTTAAATTATTTCATAAAAGAAATACTAGGTTACTATTAGCAACCTAGAATTTCTTTCATTACTGTATAATGTAATCCTGGTATTTGTCATCCTAGTAACTACTAATTTATAGTGCAATTTATATAAATGTTTGTAATAAATAAGAGAAAATTATATTTTTATATGTTTAGAAGCTACGGGTTAGTTTCAAAGGAGGACGGATACATTGTTGGACAAGCCGTCCTCGGGAACGGGTGAAATTTCCGAGCTTTTTCGTGCCCTGCCTATGATCATCTATGACTTTACCTATGATTATATCTATGATTTTACCTATGATTATCTATGATTTTAACCCTTTCATACCAAGTGATGATTATTTAAGTCCCATTGCAACACAGATTTCGTTAGTTCTTCGAATTTTTTTTTTTTTTTGGAGAGAGGGATTTTAATGGTATTATTATTTAATGGTTCTGTTTTTAACAAATTATGCCATTATTCTTTTCTGTTAACTACTTTTTTTATTGTGGTATTCACCCTGATTTTCTAATTAAAAATATTTTCTGGGAAATTGTCTTACAGTTGTTGGTAAGAAGATTAGAGACAAGGGTAAGTTTTTTTTCACTCTTTTGAAATAGAATTTCTTTAATTTAGAAATTTAAACTAAAAATAGGTTTTAAAAAGATGGAGTGAAGTGATATAAATACAGCAGAAAACGAAGTAGAATTGATTAGAGCAAGCGAACAAAGCTAAAATTCAAATGATTTAAAATATATATATTAATCTATGTTATATTTTCATTTGAATAAAGCTCAAAACGGACAAAGCAACTAAACATTTCGTCGTTTTCCCATCTCAAATAATTTTTAGTGTGAAAGGGTAAAATGTAAACAATAAAGAGCTCTACAAGGTCATTTTAAAATTTAATTTATTCCAAACTTATTTTTTATTCCACTTAGTGAGTGCTCACAAGGCCAATGGGATTGTCACGAGGCATCTACAGCCGACATTCTTTTGACTCCACCCCCACGTGTTGCGTCAGAATGTGACACTAGTGCACATCAAGTAGCCACTGATTGTCTATCCACGTGCCCTGCAACATGTGCAAACTTTCATCACCATGAACCTTGCACAGTTGATGTTTGTGTTCCTGGATGCAAGTAAATTGTTATTTTTTATTCTGTCTTGCGAAGTATTTAAGCATTTAAAACATATATTTCATCTTTCGTTCCTTTTCTTGTTCACTTACAAAAAGATTACAAAAAAAAAGTTTATAAAATGGATCAAATGTAAATATTTGTAGGATGACGACCAGATTTATTAGCGTTGTTAAAAAAATGACTTAATTTTTCTTAAAATATTTAATATTCTTTTTTTAAATGTATTTAACAAAGAAAACACTTGGTAATATCACTACTATAAAAAAATTTTAAGGAAAAACCTTTTTTGAGTTTTTTGTAATTCAATAGTTGCGCAAATTTAAAAATATTTTGACTATCAAAATTTGAGATTTATTCGCGAAAGATCTTTTAGTTAACAAAACTTTTACAGAAACACCAACTTGCTATCTATTTTTAAATTCTTTGTTAAAATAAAGTCAGTGTAGTACGCACATTAAGGCAAACGCGAATAGATATTTAAGCGAGGAAACTAACAAATGTTTTGAGTAATTGAATCAATTGAATATTTTCTGAGAAATCTAATTTTAGAAACACGACTTCTTTAAAATTCAATTTCTCAGCTGCAACCGATCTCGCACATTTTTTTATTATTTTGCATTGCAAAATTACCTACTTTAAAATGGCGTAAAACTTTATAGAAGTTACAATTCAAAAATGTTTCGACTATTATTAAATTAAATAATAAAAAATGATATATAATTTAATTTTTTATAATAATCCCTCTGAAATCGTTGGACAAACGAATTTTATAACTGTGTGCAAAAATTTTTAAATTCGCTTAAATAGTTCTCGAGATATGACGAAATACGCAAAAAGTAAAATTAACAGTAAGCGGTCCAAACTTTGAATCGCACTCCTGACCAAACTATGATGGTGACCAGTTCTCCTATATCGCAGCTACCCCTATATTTTGGGCATTTAATTAGCATATTTGATGCTACACCCACAAGCCATTAAAATTTTGTCATATAACGTAAACATCCTCAAAAGATCAAAAGTTATTCAGGGTGGGCTGTTTTTTTGGCTCACAGTACATAAAATATATCTTATTCTTTTGAGCAATTTCTTTGTATATCAATCATATTCCTGTGAATAAAAAGTTTTCTAAAGTTTTCCCATTCTCGTGTTAATTCTTTAAATGTAGCAGAGGTGAACTACCTTCAAACTTATCCAAACTATTGCTCGTGTATATGCTTTTCTTTACCCAGTAAAATTTTACAGTCTTGGTCAGATTCACCCTTTATATCTTATTATTTTCCTAAAGTAGTTAAGGAAATGTAGAGACTCGTCATCATCATAGTTGGCCAGACAGCCCAATGTGGGCCAATGTCTTTCTCTGAAGAATTATCCACAACGACTTCCGATTTATCTTTGATCTCCAATTCTTTTCATTAATGGAAGGAAAATCAGACTCCACCGAGTCAGACCATCTCAACCGCTGCCTTCCGCGCTTTTTATTCCAGTTGGTCTAAAAAGCAATTTCTTTTTTGTTTTATTTTCATCACTTATTCGAATCACGTGGACCATTCATTTCATTCTGCTTATTTTTATGTATTCAATAATATCGGGTTGCTTATACATCTTGTACATTCAATGTTAAATCTTCTTCTGCAGTTACTGTTTCCATTTACGCCACCAAGTATACTCCGCAAAATCTTACTGTCAAATATTGCGATACAATTTTGATTCAGTTTTGTCATTGTTTGGGCTTCAGAAGCATATGTCAAGACTGGCCTGTCAAGAGTTTTTATAATAAAAGGTTTCTAAAGCATATTTTTCCAATTCTCGTGTTAATTCTTAATATGTAACAGTAGTAATATGTAATATGTAACTACCTCTTAAATTCTCACAACTTGGGTTACCATCGTACATTCTATGACAAATATTTCTCGTGTAGATGCTTTCCTTCACACAGTAAAATTTTGCCATCTTCTTCAGACTCACCCTGTATATCTTATTGTGGTCCTAAAGTAGTGAAAAAAATGTAGCGACTAATGAATGAAGAAACATATACCCAACGTCTTTCGAAACAGTAGATTATCGTATTTATTAAAATATGTCTAATATTGTAGATGCGAACTTGGATATATAATGGATATGTCAACCGGAAAGTGTGTCAAACCACAAAACTGTCCCTGCCACCACGCAGGCCGAAGTTACTTAGAAGGCGAACAAGTTACAATGGATTGTAACCAATGGTAAACAATTTTGCATTTATTTTTAAAACATATTCGTACGAATTAATATTTTTAAAAAAAAACACTTTAATATTAAAATGATATTTACGAAATTCTAACGAATATTCAAGCTCCAGTATCTTATATGTATACAAAATGTAAAGCAAAGAAATGAAAAAATTTCCAATGAAAAAGGAAGCAAAATACGCCAACATTCATTTCTGTCATTTATCACTAAAGTCCCAAAAATTTGGTAAAATTATTATTTTAAAAAGTATCGATTCACCAGTGAGCTATATTATCGTGTATCGTATGTAAAAAAAGTGTAATCTTAAAAGGACAATTTTTTTAAGTGTAATCATAATATTGTATAATCAAGTTTAAGACTTTATGCATGTGACTCAGTTAGCAATACAGTAATGACTCGTGGGCTGCGCCAGCTGCTCGCTGACGCTCACCAACCACCGAAAATTGCTACGCAATCTTATATGGTTTGCTTCGCAAAAAAAGCTCGCTTCGCTCGCTACTAACTTTATCCATTGCAAATACACAAAATTCTAAGAATTCAAAACAATCATTCAAATCCATATAACAACTTTTTTTTTTAAAAAAAGTTTCATCTTTTTAGTAAATACTAAGTCATTAAAATAAATTTGAATTCAAATAAATGACATGTAATTCGTTAAACCTATTAGAAATGTGCTATAGTATAAAATCTTAAAGCGTAACAGCACGACTGAGACTCATTTTTCAATGAATAACTAATAACAATAATAAAACAAATAAATTCGTGATATAAATCAAAAATCGTCAAATAAATTCGTAATATATAAATTCGGGGAAAAAAGCGCTTTCGACAAAATACTAAAATAGAGATCTATCGACAAAGACTACTCACTTCTGCCTAGCTTAGGGTTATTTCAGTTTCGGTTCTTAAAAGCGCTATACGTTGAGCCACCTCAACTAGATTTGGCATGTGACATTTTTAGCGGCAATCATTGGTCGATTTTCTAGCGTTGCCATTCGGGGAGTTATAATGAGGCTTTTTTGTCGCCGTGTAAGAGAAATATATATATAGATGCTTACAGTTATCTCACAAACAAAGACAAAAATACCTATAGATATAAATCAGTCAAGACGAGGTTTTGTCAAAGAGGTTTAAGAGGTTTTGTCCAAATAAGCAAAAAAAGTACACAACTTTGACACATAGTTCATTCAGTGAAACACTTGATGCAGGAAATAACAAAGGAAAAATAAAATTTCTAATTTTTTAAATCCTAAATTTAAAATTTTTTAAATTTTAATTTCGCTATGAGCCGCCTTCAATGGTCAGTTTTATGCTTGAATGCTGAAACGTTCAAGCCCTCTCTTCTTAGTACAATGACTCGTGTTCGAATTCCAGCGGTGGTTGGTTAATGCGAATTCATCTACTGGCTCGTACCGACCATAGTTCTGAAATAAAATATCCTCAGTGGTTGACGGATCATGTGTCAGAATCCTTTGTCATCTTGCTAACCGTGGGAGGTTTTTGTGGGTTTTTCTCTCCATGCAGCGAGTTAGTTTCATCGAAGAGTTATCGACGAAGACTAGCTTGACACATTGTTCTATCAAGAAGTTACGTGCCTGGGTTCAAAATTACAAGGCTACGGAGTTGAACATCGGCAGTCGTAAACTCAAAATTGGGCCGCGCGTTCAATGCCGGCAATGTCATAAAATAAAGCCATTTCATTGTATTTAATTTATTTCAGTGTCTGTACTGGTGGTTCTTGGAAATGCGATGCAAATCCTTGTCCTGGAGTATGCAGTGCATGGGGCGATTCTCACTTCGAGACATTTGATGGGAAATTATATGACTTTGATGGACATTGTGATTATGTGCTAGTTAAAGCACGAGTGTCAGACAAATATTTCTTTACAGTGGCTTACCAGAACGTTCCTTGTGATATTGACTCAGCAGCAAGTTGCGGGAAGACGCTAACTATAACCTTGGGTACGTTATTTGTCAAACTCAAACTAATTTATTTTTCTAAGTTATTTGATGCGACATATTTTTCAATATCTCATGGTAGCTAAATAATGAGTCATTTTCTGAAGTTTTTATAAACAATGTTGTTAATTTAGGCATACTAGAAGACTAACTCCCAATTCCTGTTTCCTTAATCAAACATGCCTTGCGGCTTAAGAATTCCGCTTTTCTGTGCGGATTTCATATTTTGATAAAGTTTTAGCTTTTTCTCTCTTAAATGTAATTTGCAATTCCCCAATGAGTGTACTTTTCAATTTTTAATTTTGATAGGGATTTTAAATGTTTATATTAAGAGCGGTCTTTAAGGAAATTATATTGTACATTCAGAAGCTTCTTAGAAAACTAAATCAAGAAGATGTGTATATTTTCTTAATTTAATATTTTTATGTTCGTGATTACTTAGAGGATATAGCGCTCGCCTTTCAATGAGGTGAACTGGGTTCGAATCCCGGCGATGGTTGGTCGACACGAATTTCACATCCGGCTTGTACCGACCACAGTGCTGACGTAGAATTTTCTCAGTGGTAGAGTCCCTTAGATCATGGGTTAGAGTTCCCTTGCCTTAAGTGTGGGAAGTTTTCGTGGTTTTTCTTTCAATGCAACGCAAATGCGGATTAGTTCCATCAAAAATTCCTTAACGAAGGCAAATTTCTCCCAGTACTTGATCCAGGAATACCCTTGTCTTCTGGATTGGGTTCAAAATTACAAGGCTATGTAGTTGAACATTAATAGTCGTAAACCCAAAATTGGAACGACTGTTCAACGACGGTTATAAAATAAAATATATTTTTATGTGAGCCGTCGTGGCTCCGGGGATTGAACGTTTGCCGTTCAATGAAGTGACCAGGTTCGAATCCCAGTGCTGTATGATCTATGCAAAATGTGTCCACTGCTCGCAACCGACAGCAGTGCTGATATAAAATATCCCCAGTGGTTGACAGTTCTTGGATTATAGTCCCTTTGTAGTCGAGCTAACCACGGGAGATTTTTTCGTGGCTTCCCACTCCATGTAACACACATGCTGGTTGGTTTCTTCAAAAAAGTTTACTACGAAGGCTAATATCTCCGGATGCTTGGCAGAAAATTACAAGGCTATGCAGTGAAGCATTGATGGTCTTAAACTCAAAATTGGGTTGGCTGTCATAGAATAAATACCTAAATAATAATAGCAACGTATCATAAATTAGGTTAACATTAGGTACGATAACGTAAGGTTTTTGTGGTTTTCCTCTCCGTCTAAGCGCAAATGAGCACTACTTCCATCAAAAAATCCTCCACAAAGGCTAGTTTTTTCCAATACTTGATCCAGGAGTTCCCTTGTTGGTACAAAATTACTAGACTACGTAGATGAACATTGATAATTTCAGAATTGGGTCACCCGTTCGTAAACTGTAATAAAATAAGTAAAGCAGATAATTATATTTCATTCTTTTTATATTTCATTATTTTTTTGCATTTGAATGAGATTTAAGACTGTATCTCACTTTCATAAACTATTATCAATATCGAAGTAAATCAGGAAATACAAATCGTTAAATATGGTGTATTTTATGATGAGTAACAGTATAACACAACCGGGCAAAAGCAATAGATTATCATTAGACGACTCGTTTTGGTTGATATTATACTTCTTTGCTCTGATATATTTTTTTTGTTAATTTAAATATTATATGGAGAATGCTGATAAAAATATTTTTTTTAAATAATATGGTAATTTTGTTTTGTTAGACCATATCTAATTTTGTCGCAAAAGTAATAAATTTACATTTATCAGATATCGTTTTATCTAAGAAATGTGTTATTCTTAAATAACTTTAATTATAATGTCTCATTCTAACTTAAGAAGATGAACTATAACTCGTTTTTCTTCTAAACTGAAAATTTCTTGCTGTAAAATCGAATGAAAAAAGATATCTGAAGATAGAAAACTGCTTTTATTCTTAAAGTAGGCATGATCGAATGTCTAGTAGTCATCCTTAAGGAAAAATCAATACTCATTCGTATTCTAAAGTGCGGACTTTAGTAACTCAAGAATCGTTAGATGAGTAATTTAAAAAGAAAAAAAAAGATGTAGACACTTCAACAAAACCAATATCTTTTCTATTTGCTTCCGAATAAAAATGTTTGCATTTCTTTTAAAGTGTCTTGAGTTTTATTATCAAGTAAAATACTTCTTTCTTCATTTCTCAATTTGATGTAATTTGATATCTTAATAAAATTATAAATGATATTTGTCATTTTAGCTAATAGTTTCTTGTCAAGGGAAAAATTACAGAATAATGAGAATAGGGGGAAAAAGAAAAATAACAAAAAACCAGAGGGGGGAATTTTTTAAAAATCCAGAAAATAAAAGATGTAATTTTTTATCAGCTCACACGATTATATCCGCAAAAAAGAGTGCTTTCTAATATTGTATCAATATAGCCAAAGCAAAATATATCTGTAACGGTGAATGACCAAAATCTGGTGAATGTCCGACACTCACCGGTGAATGTCAACAATCACATAGTCGCTTAGGTGAATGTCCGAAATATTAGCTACATTTCATTTGATATGGATATAATTACATTTATTCTATATTTTAATACTTACTGACGATAGATCAGAAGAAACATCAGTGTTTGGAGTATCGGGCCATACATTTATATTTGCTCGGTATAACCTACACTGATGTTTTTTTAAGGTTAAGTGCCACTGCCCGGTATACACCAAGTATCGGGCAAATATATACCGGGCAATGGCACTTGACCTTAAAAAAACATCAGTGTAGGGTATACCTGGCAGTGGCACTTAACCTTAACTGGCTCGGTATACCCTACACTGATGTCTAATCTATTTGTCAGTAAGTATTAAAATATACAATAAATATAAATATATCAAATAAATATAATAATATTAACGAATAAATTAATATAAAATTGGATATAAAAAATATTTCGGACATTCACCAAAGCGACTATGTGATTGTTGTCATACACCTACGTTTTTGGTGTTTCTCCAAATTCACCGGTGAAAGTCAACAACCACCTATTTCGATTATTCACCGTAACATATCAATACGATAGTGTGGGAAGCACACAAAAAATTTTACAAAATATTACAACAAATAAAATAGTAAATATAAATAAAAATATCACGTAAAAATAGAAAATAAAATATAAAGAGAAAACAGAATAAAACATGAAATGTAAGCTGAAAGCGAGTAGCGGATTCAAATGAACTTACATCAACGTGAAATTTTTAAGAATGATTTAAAATATTTTCGTAACAAGATTGCCAGAGTGCAAAAATTGAAAACAAAAGCGTAAATTGAGCTAAAAGCGTAACTAGGGGAGTTTTGTATTAAAGTGCGTTCTTGCTGCATTACTGAAGTGCGTTTGCTTTGTTAGTAACCAAGGATGGGTTTCGTGTTTTTTGTTTTATTTATTAAGTAGCAGGTAAATATTCCAATATCTTTTTATGTAAAAATTGAAGAGCTCAATGTTAAAAGGGGAGGGGGTGTAACACTTTTACGAAAATAAGTTTTATTGTTTGTTTTTGAATATCTATCACCGATTATCAAATACGAAGTAATTTTCCAGTCTCCCTGAAGAAGAGAATCCAGAAATTTGGGAGCAATTAAAACAATTTTTCCAAAATTGAAAAAAAAAATTTTGCGATTTTTCTCGAAAGTGCAGATTTGTAACATACCCCCTTTTAATATTGATCGCATTAATTATTTTTAGTGTTTTTAAAGAAATAACCAAAATTACGCATTTCGTTTTGTGTTGTTACAGAAAAAAATCCCATCTTTCTATTTGAATTCTAAATACATTATCTTACAGGGGATAATTCTGTGTCCTTAACAAGAACACATCCACTGCCTATAGTTCCCGAAAATTCAAAACTTTCTGTTACTTCCTTTGGAATGTTTGTTCTTGTGGATACAGACATCGGGATATCAGTTCAATGGGACAGAAATACAAGAGTTTATATCACCGCTCAACCTATTTGGAAAAACAAAGTAAGTTTCAAACTTAAAATAAGATATAATAACACGTTTAACTATATTAATTTAACAAACAATAATTCCGTTTTATTTAATGTGTCTGTGAATAATTTAAAATCTTGCATAATATTTATATTCTGAACTCTTCGAAATTTACAGTGATATTTGACTTCTTCTTCTCTGGTCACTTTTGTAAGTGACTCCTTCTATTGCGTTTTCTATCTAATGCCAAGGTGTGCGATGCTAGCAGGACTGACCCGTTTTAGACGAACGATATGTCCTGTCAACCTCCATCTTCTTTTCAAAATTTCCTCGTGATTGGGGAATAATTTTTTCCTTTATTAGTAGATCTTTATATGAAATAGTGTTAGGCCAGAAAAATTTTTTAATTATTCTTAAGCTCTAGTTCTGGAATGTTTCCAGATTTTTTATTTCGGTATTGCGGAGGGGAGCAGAAAAGAATGTAGCGATCAAAAGTATGCAGCGAACAAAGGCATATCAAAACGAGGGAAAATTTAACTGTAACCCGTAACCACATAGATCATCGTACGTATCTAGAGGCGCTTTTCTGCTATGTACTACTTCTTCGTGTGCCTTCAAGTTTTTTTATTTGTCTGAATTATCTTAATTTTATGTTTTCGAATAATTATTGCCGAAAATTACATTCTAATAGATTCAGTATACGTTCTTTTATAGCAGTTTAATAATTTAGCTGATAACATGATAAGCTCCCCAAATCAATAAACTACGTTCACCAAATCATTAACGGATGATTCTCATCCTTTCAAGTAGTTTTCAACTATATTTACCAACAAAATTGGCTACTAATTTCGCAGAACTTAGATCAGAACCGGGCAATGGCCTTTGCACTTAAAAAAAATGGTGGAATACAGTGCATTTTATAACTTCATATAGCTGCAAAAGAAAGGCAACAATTCACTCACCCTAGTGAGGCGAGGTTTGTAATTGAAGGGATTAACGCTGCAGGCTTGTTGTTTTGTAATTTCGACACCTAGAGTACAAACTTTCAGATCCTATCACAAGTAATGTAACCTGGAGTATTGGGATATACACACAGACGAGCAAACTTTCTATTCCCATAGAAATCTGCATCTCTTGCCTAACAACGCTTTGTAATATATGGTTATGTATTCTAGTTGCAAGGCCTCTGTGGGGACTTCAACTCTGATGCATCTGATGATTTCCGATCCCCATCAGGTGGATTGCCACTCGTTCTTTCAAAAGACTTTGCCGATAGTTGGCGAGTGCACAAATTCTGTAAAGCAGCCAAACAGCCAAGTGATGCATGTCAAGCTAACCCAGAGCGTCGCAGCTGGTCCAAGGAAAAATGTGGTGTCTTAAAGTCGGATCTTTTCAGATCATGCCATTATCAAGTAGAAGTGGAAGATTACTATAGGAGGTAAATATTTTGCAGCATTTTTTACACTTTAAGATGATCAATTGTATTCATTGTTGTTTTAAGAGTTAGTTATGAGTAAAAATAGTAGAAAAACGCCATTGTACGCCAAAATTGCCAGTATAAAATAATAATGAATTACAAACTCATGAAAATGGTGTAAGCCGACATATTTCGAGCGATGAAAATTAGGAATTCATTCTCAAAACTCGCTAGGTGTGAGTCTGGATCATTAAAGACAATCTTATTTCCAATGTGACATCAGCTTCTCTTGATGACCTGGAAACTTAAGTTTCCTTGTTTCCTTAATATGAATGCCGATTCTCTAGTTAATGACATGAGTTCTTCACCACTTTTCCATTAATGCATTCTGTGAAAAGGCATTCTTCCCAGATTCCCCTCCTTCGATCACTTCAGTTTTTTTAGTTTTGCTTCTTCACGTTTATTTATATATTTTTTTTATGTTCAGTTGGATGCTTTCATCTCTTTTGATCTTTTCATTCATATTTATCAAGTTTTAAAAATGGAGAGTTTAATGTTTCAGAGTGTTCAAAACATGTCAAAATGTACCACCTTCATAAGTTTATGAGGAAAAGGAAGCTTTTATAATATCAAGCATATGTTTCTGCTTTAGTTTCTTGGGATTACTCATTTAATGGAAATATTGTTTAAGATTAAAAAAACACATATTTTGTTTTTTCCGATGATTTATTTTTAATGATGAGATACTAGCAGAAAAGAACACTGTGACCTTAGCAAGAAATTCTTAACAAAAACGTTTAAAGTGGTTTTCCAGCATAGATGTTCAATCAAGCATCATTTTTTAAATTTTTTATCAGTGAAATGAAAGGATAATATACATAATGATTTGGTGACTTTATTTCGTCATCTTTCAGCTACATATTTAATTTTTTGCTGCTCAAATAAATTTTGAATTAACTTATAAAATTGATAGCCAAGATGGCAGTGCATGCCGAGAACTAATAGACGGATGAAGCTGCATCTCCACACTGCTTAATCTGAAACAGACAAGACCAAAATTTAACGAGTATGTATGATTGTAGCTATAATTAGAAAAAAACAAAATTTGAAAAAAAGTTTCTTTTTCCCACTAAATGGTGGTTATTTGAAAGAAAAAAAGATCACAAAAATTTATTTTTTGGCATTTAAACGCACATCAAAAAAACTGAATTTCGTCAAATGTTCTATTTTTGCTAGTTCCAACCATATTCACAGCAATCCGTTACAAATTTCCAATGCCACATCAAAATCGGACACGTAATTTTTCTGTAATCCAAATGTCCAACGAAGAAGACATAACTTCTGGTAAATCTCGTTTAAAGTTTTCACAACTTTCATTTTCCGTTTTTTTGGAACTTACCCTCAATCGGTGAAGCCTAAACCATGACAATACGATTTCCTCGAATTCATACATTTCGTTGGTATGTACTGCTTCCTCCCGGTACGCAGATTTGACTTCTTTGCTGTCGATTGGAATACGGTGCCCCGAACGTACGAACAATACCTCCTTGAAAAGAGAAGGCCCTCAGCTCCATGAACATGAAATTTCATCATTCAGTAGTCCAAACGTAATGACATATTTCGTATTTCAACCACTGCTCATCTTAGTAGCCCGAACGTAGTGATATCTTTCTTATTTTTCGTCCACTGCGCAGTTTATATTCGTTACGTCGAACTACTAAATTGATCTGTGCTGAGGCCTTCTTTTTTCTAGAAGGTGTTAGTACAAAGCGATCTGCGTTACTCCTTTTGCAACACTTATACGTCGCGTTGCCAATTCGCATAACCATGACATTCATCATGCTGCTAATCCCCATGATACCGTCATTAAAAATCACCGTGCACAAATAATTGGTAATTTCTACCACATCTGAAACGGAATAGATGTGTTTTGGAGAAAACGTCCAAATAAGCGAATTTAACTATTCATTACTGTTCATACTGTTCGCTTCTACTCAGTAAATTATCGCCTGACTAGTTTTTATATGTAGGGCTTCTACGAAGCAAAAGGTCTGATCTGATCACGTTTGATCACGTCAAGAGTTTTCGGAAAAACGGTTTCACCCACATGTACTCCATAGTATTAAATATAGAAATACTATTATATATCTACAATAAAAAATTGATTTTTTTGAAATTTCCAGAACTGAAAATCCACTTAAATTTACATAATTCATTAAATTTACATCTAACAATAAGAAAAAAAAAGTAATCACTTTAAATAGCTTGCTATCCATTGGTGAGATTAATACTGAGTAAATTAAAATTAATACTATAAGAGATTACAAGAGATTACTACTAGCACTCATACTAAGATGCATTTGTTTCGGTTTAGTGAGACCACTTAATGGTGTCCAATAATAAGCCAATTAGTTTCTTAATTTGCAAACTCAACTCTTCTGCAAAAAAAAAATTAAAACTCTATCGTAGTTCAGAATAATTAGTGATTTTTTTTCACTGATCCTTCTAAATCACTAATCCTTTTAATCGGTGATTTTTTTCCCTTTGGTAAACATAATTGTGGGCAGTCAGACGTAAAAAGCTTAGACCCGAGAATTCAGAAATGTAAAATAAAAATTTTTATAATAATATTTCGATTATTATTTTTTAAGGTGCGTGTTGGATGCATGTGCCTGCAATTCCGGTGGTGACTGTGAGTGCCTGTGCGCAGTTGTTGGAGCTTATGCTTTAAAATGTGCTCGTAAAGGCGTAATCATAAAGTGGAGATCTCAAGAATTGTGTCGTAAGTACCGAAACGTTCGTAATGTTATAACCTACTATTTAGCAATACACTAGTACAGTTTAAAATTTTATTGCAAATTCAATTGATAATTTGCTGAATTTCAGCTTTTAATCTATTCATATCTGCGCTTGAATTTGTAAGAAACGTAAATTTATCTTGTTCTAAAAAATACATAAATGCGTAATAAAATTGAAATTAATAATATCAGTTTAATTATAAACTATGAAATCTCAAAACATGCATTATTTAAACTTTTTTTAGATTAAAACAGTTAAAATTTTTAATTTTTGGAAAGTGTTATTTCTTTCTTCCATCACTGATTTTATCATTTGATGCTTCTAATAAGAAAGATGAAAACATGTCAAAAATAAACAAGTTGATGCATTTATTTTAAAAAAAGTTACTTTTAGAGAGTTAAAAAGAACTATATAAATAAAAAAATATTTGATTATAATTGAAAAAATATTAAAAATATTTAAAAAAAATAAAAAGTCAAAATTACTTTTTTTTTATTAAACTTCAGCTTCTAACGGCAGTATCTATAGTGTATGTGTAGCTCTATTTAATGTTGTTTGAATTATTTTTTATGAGATGATAAAACAATCAGATTTTGAAAATTCAAAGGAATCTAAGAAGTTAAAGAAAATTTTAAAGAAGTTAATAATTGTGGGGAAAAGATTTGAATTAGATATTAACTCCATCATGAAATAAATAACACATTAACTTGATATAATTGCAATATTCAATTGGCTCAATAATTTTGCACGCGTTTGTCTCCTTACTTTTCTACTGCCATTTTGCGATTAGACACAGAGTAAAGTTCTTGTTTTCACCCAAGTCAAAAATTGTTTTGGTTTTCCATTGATCGACCAGCATACTGCTGATGGTAACAATTTATAATTCCATCATGAGCCGTTATATATTTTATGGTATTCCACTAAGTAAAAATCACCCCAATGTAGGAAGTCGACTTGATTTATGATGATCCAACATAAGAATAGCAACTTCTTTGATGGTTTGTTCATGTTGAACCATAGTAGTTTCTTAGAAATCAAATGTTGGAACAACCAAGAACCACCATCACCCCAATGTAGGAATTCGGACTGATGTTTGAAGGGCCAACATGAAAAAAAATTGCTTTTATTGTGTATTCCTGCTGACCAACAATAATTATTATTAAACTATCATAGAAATGGATTGTTGTACCATCATGGATCATCATGGTTTGTTGGTCTATGAGAATCAAACTTCTCTTCATGGTTAACCAACATATTATTAAAGTAGCATTTTCCATCATGGAATGATGCAAGTTTGTTTGTATATCAAAACCATGAAGGCATAATGGAAAATATTGGATGATGGTGACCATCAAATGATGTTGAACCATCATGGATCGCACTGAAACCAACATAAACCATCAAAATGTTTTGAGGAAACCACCAAGAATTTTGAGTTTGGTAGAAACAACGTAGTTATACCATGTCTATTTTAGTACCTTTATTTCCGCTGTATTCTCGTTGTTTTGCTTTATTCCTTTTCAGCACTAAGTATACCCTATCCTCATTTGAATATATTTACTTTATTTATCCTTACAGCTGTTCAGTGCGAAGCCTGTGACCGTTACTCACCCTGTATTTCTTTATGTCCTCCACCAAATTGTGAGAACTACCTAGAACCAGCAGAATCCCAGTCATGTTCCAGAGAATCTTGCGTGGACGGATGCGAACCCAAACCTTGCAAACCAGGTCAAGTTCACAAAAGTGCCATCAATAACACATGCGTCCCCATAGAGACGTGTGACGAGAAACCTTGCATAGTCATCGATGGCGTGTCTTACAGAGAAGGAGAAAGAATAGAAAATAAAGGGGATGCCTGCCAGTCATGGTAAGTTGCAGTACCTTTTATATTTTTAAACGGAATAACTTTTGAAATGTTTTAAAATAATATTTCTGGCAAAATTTCCGGACAGAGCAATATCTGAGAAAATTTTATAATTCGTTATTTAGTGTAGGAAATTGTTAGATGGCAGAAGTCAAAATTTACAAATTTTATTTTCTATGCAATTTCCATTTTAATTTATTTGAAACTGGAACTTAAGATGTAGCAATAGTCTTCTGTTGTTCGTTTAAGAACTTGTCAGAATGTCAAAAATTGAAATTTAGGAACCTTCACAGGTCTCCGGGTAACAAAATATTTCTTGACAAAATTATTTCTTCTAGGGATTGAACCAATTTAATTAATTTATTTTTTTAGGTTTTTAAAATATTTTTTTCGATTCGTTGCGTTAAAATCAATGCTTCGGCATTTCGATATTCTTAAAAAATTACGATATACTAGCAAGCTGAATTATTTGCTGAATTATTCAGCTTGCAATTCAAAATCATAGAAATAACTTAGACAGTTTTTTAAACTATTATTTTTTAATTTTTGCATGTTCTTGCCCTGAGTACAGAGATACCGAATGCTCCGGAATCGACAAAATATATTAAGAAACGGTAAAGAACTACAAAATAAAATTGACAGATTTTCAATTAATTTTGCCAACTTTTGAAAGGGCTCAACATGGCTTAGCTGAAAGTAAGTGGCGCATCACATTAGTCTTTGAATTATTTAGATAGTGGTCAGTAAAAATCCAATAAATCGAATTTACTAAACCAAGAATCCTTCATTAAAAGTCTACCACTCGAAAACATTTATTCGTTGCCCGGAGCAAGTTGGCAACTCTGTGAATGACCTATAAGACAGTTGCTTTAGTCATTTTTTTGCTTAAGAACTTAACATACTTCCTAAAATAAAAATTTCAAAATCCAATAAATGTCTCCTGGTGGAATTTTTTTCCAATTATAAGCCCGCTAAGTATTGAGTTATAAGCCCGTTAAGCTAAAACACATGAAGAGTTAATTAAGACGTTTAAAATAGTGTTTTTAAGGTATTTTTAAGATGCATGATGCATTCGTTGTAAAATATAACACTTTTTGGCAAATACTACGCCATTATTTGAAGCAATTTTTAATAATTGTAAGAATTGCTACCTATCTTTAGCCAGCATCTTCTATTCTATGCTGATTTAAAATGTTGCAAGATTTTAATTTGAAGAATGATAAAATTAAAACAAAATTGAAATGATATTCTGATTTGTTTTTAAAGGTTTGGAAAGAAATTTCTATCACTGCGCTTTTTGTATTCAATAAAATATGCTGAAATTGGGAATTTTTAAATATTTTTTATCTAGCAAAACTTCGACAGATCAGTAATTTTTTTTAAATATTTTAATAATTTTTCAAATATTTAAAACTAAATTTTTAATTTTTCAAGGCATTCAATTTTTAAAATATTAATAATATATTCGTTTTTGAGTTCATTCATTCAGTCGGTTACTTTGGCAAGATAATATTTAAAANTACATCTTTTTAGTAAATACTAAGTCATTAAAATAAATTTGAATTCAAATAAATGACATGTAATTCGTTAAACCTATTAGAAATGTGCTATAGTATAAAATCTTACGATAAAATTTCTAAAACTGATATCTCTTTAAAAAGGTTTAAATTTTGGCTACAATTAAGTCTATTAAAAACTGAAATAAATTAATTGCAATGTAAAAACCTGCATAAACAAATAAATTCTAGTAAAACAAGTAAATTCGTTATATAAATCAAAAATCGGCAAATAAATTCGCGATATAAATCAAAAATCGTCAAGTAAATTCGCAATATATAAATTCCTGAAAAAAAAAACTCTTTTTCGACAAAATACTAAAATAGAGATCTGTCGACAAAGACTACTCACTTCTGCCTAGCTTATGCTCTCTCTGGTTATTTCAGTTTCCGTTTTTAAAAGCGCTATATGTTTAGCCATCTCAGCTAGATTTGGCATGTGACATTTTTAGCGGCAATCTTTGGTCGATTTTCTAGCGTTGCCATTCGGGGAGTTGCAATGAGGCTTTTTTTGTCGCCGTGTAAGAGAAATATCTATATAGATTATTTTTTAATTTTTGCAAGTTCTTGCACTGAATACAGAGATGCCGACTGCTCCGGATATATGAAAATATATTAAGAAACGGTAAAGAACTACTAAATGAAATTTACAGATTTTCAACTAATTTTGCCAACTTATGAAAGGGCTCAACATGGCTTAACTGAAAGAAAGTGGCGCATCACATTAGCCTTCGAATTATTTAGATAGTGGTGAGTAAAAATCCGATAAATCGAATTTACTAAACCAAGAATCATTCATAAAAAGTCTACCACTCGAAAAAATTTATTCGTGGCCCGGAGAAAGTTGGCAACTCTGTGAATGAACTATGAGACAATTACTTTAGTCATTTTTTTAAGAACTTAATATACTTCCTAAAACAAAAATTTCAAAATCCAATGAATGTCTCCTGGTAGAATTTTTTCCCAATTATAAGTCCACTAAGTATTGAGTTATAAGCCCGTTAAACTAAAACACATGAAGAGTTAATTAAGGCGTTTAAAATAGTGTTTTTAAGGTATTTTTAAGATGCATGATGCATTCGTTGTAAAAAAATAGCCCTTTTTGGCAAATACTACGCCATTATTTGAAGCAATTTTTAATAATTGTAAGAATTGTTACCAATCTTTAGCCAGCATCTTCTATTCTAAGCTGATTTAAAATGTTGCAAGATTTTAATTTGAAGAATGATTAAATTAAAACAAAATTGAAATAATATTCTGATTTGTTTGTGAAGGTTTGGAAAGTTTTTTCCATCACTGCGTTTTTTGTATTCAATAAAATGTGCTGAAATTGGGAATTTTTTAATTGTTTTTATCTAGAAAAACTTCGACAAATCATAAATTTTTTTTTAAATATTTTAACAATTTTTCAAATATTTAAAACGAAATTTTTAATTTTTCAAGGCATTTAATTTTTGAAATGTTAATAATATATATATAATATATAGTCCATTCATTCACTCGGTTACTTTAGCAAGATAATATTAAAATATAAAATATAAGCATAGAGATATATAGCTTATAGCATAGATATATAGCATAGAGATAAAATATAAGCATAGAGATATCCAAGCAAGAGGCTGAGCTACATCTTTAAGTAAATCAATCAGCTGTCGTAATTCTGTGGTTGTCAATTATCAGCTAGCTGTTCGCACTATTCTTTTTGGACGATACGTATTCTCATCCCAATAGAAAAGTTTTCTTTTTAGCTGCTATCTAACTGATTGATCATTGATGGATTGCCAGTGGACAGATAAGTGAAGTGACATTAGCTTAGACATCCCTTTTAATTCGAGTTAAAGGTTGAAACAGTTATGAAACACATAGGCTAATTTAAGCAATAACAAAAAGCAGTAAAAAAATCTGTATTTCAAAATGAAAAAGCAGACGACATTTTTAGAACTCTTGAGTGAATTTAAGCATTGTAGAAGATATTGTAGCTACGAGCAGGTTTTCTCAAATTCGAAAAGGTAGATACTAAGACTGATTCTCCATTATGGAGACCATTTGAGTTTTTGGAAAGGAAGAAACTTGACCATAGGTTGCCAACAAAAGAATTGGACATTTGTGATTCGAGATTAAGCGAAGTGATTAATTGGATACCTGTAAGTGACGCAACGCGTGTATGTCGAACCTGATTGGCTTCTAAATAGAAAAATGTCATGATTTATCTAGGATGAGGTCTGCTGCCGATATCTAATTGCCTACTAGTCATTGTGAGACATAACATCAAGTAATATGCTGAAATCTATAGTTATTCTTCTTTTAATATCAACTTTTGAATAATTATTATTTATTTACTTTCTAGAGTTGTCCATCGACGACTCGGAGCAATGTATGTACATAAATAGTACTGCTTTGAAGCCCTGAGAAATGAACTTGTTAAATAGTTGCATTACTTTGTTTTCAAGACATTGTATTGCGGATGTTTTCTTTTTCTTCCAAATCATACTTACGTTCACTTTGAGTAATTTTGTTTCATTTTTCCAGTTACTGTCAGCAGAGAGAAATAAATTGCATTGGAGTACCATGCCAGGTGGTTACAGTGCCAACCGTACCAAGATTGAGCACTGATTTTGAATTCATTGAATGCAAATTAGGGTGGACAGAATGGATCAACTCAAACAATCCCAATGACAATGTAAGTATATGCATTATTTTTTTATACTTATACCGTTCGCATTTCTAAGTTGAAATCTTTTAAAACAGTGTAAAACGGATAGTTCGCATATCTTAGCTACATGGAATGACCGTAAACCAAATTTCGCATGAATCAGAATCTCCAATACTCTCAATATTTTGTCTCTGTAATTCAAATAAAAATAAATGATATTAAAAATCATTATACAAAGTGTCCGTCGTCTAACGTGATTGCATTAGTACTTAATGATATCGGTTCCAATAAGCTGTGGAATGTCTGTATTGTGCTAGCAATGAATTTTCTCAGTTTTTTTACAGCATTACGAGTATAAATATACAATAAAATTCATTAAAGCAAGTTTGCGTACATTTATTACGTCTAATTACAAGTTATGAATTTTTACTAAAGCTTACTTAACTAATTTAATTTTAATATAATTGGAATCAGTTTTGAGATACACAATACAGAAATTTAAGTCTACTCTCTTCTTTGTTTCTTTCACCATCATAGTTGGCCAGATAGCACAATGAGGGTCAATGCCTTCCTCTGAAGATATCTCCATAACGACATCCGATTTATCTTTGATCTCCAATTATTTTCATTAATTGCAAGAAAATCAGTCTCCACCGAATCAGCCCATCTCAACCGTGGTCTTCCCCGCTTTCTTGTTCCAGTGGAGGCTCCTTTATACCAAGATGTGGACTTGTGTTTATTCGCGTATGTTTTGCTCTTCCTCGCATTCTGATATGAGAGTAATACATTTTGGCTGCGTCTCTGCATTCATAAATATACTCTTCGCTGTTGTTCTGTATTTTGTTTGATTACTGAATGTAAAAGAGAAAAAAAAACGTTGTTACGGTAACTAAAATTGCTTGTATCGAAATCTGCATTAGTGAATCTGTTTGATATTGTTTAATTTAGCCTTGTTGAAAAGGCTTTTAGAGAGTGGCAAGTGCGTGAACAATAGAATACCAGTGAAAGGATAAGGACAAAAATAAAAAATAATAAGACTAAAATAAAAAACAAACAGGGAAATTTTTGAGTCATTGCACACGCATTTTTAATAGAAATTTGGTGATTTTCGCATTTAAAATTTACCTACTGTATTATTACTTTTTATGAAATATCTTTGTAATAATTGCAAATTATTTTTACCAAAAAAATGTGATAAGAAACTAATAAAAGTAAAAACCGTCTTTTTTTTCTCAAATTTAATTAGAATGGTCATGATGTTGAAGATCTTCGATCCTTTATAAAAGACGGAAGGATCCCTTGTTCACTGGACAAAGTCCAGGACATCCATTGCAGAGTAGCTCAATCGCAACAACCAGCTGAACTATCCGGCCAAGATGTGACATGTAACATAGAAAACGGTTTCATATGCAACGGGGAACAAGAATTCTGCTATGATTACGAGATACGGGTGTTTTGTGAATGTTTCGAGGAGGTAGGAAGAGAGGAAAAAGAAGGTAATCACATTTAACTTTTTAACTTCAATGAATTATAATAGTTTACATTTCATTGTTAAACCTAAGTTGCAAAATGAATAACGTATAAGAATAAGCTCTCAATTTTATTAAATTAAAAATAAAAAGTGATAAAATTATTAAAATAATATTAAGAATCTAATAAATAATATTTTTTTAATAAAATGTGCGTTTTAAGGAGAATAAAAAGAAGAAAACTAATTTAAATTTTTATGACTCGTGAAGCAAAAAGGGTTAGGAATTTTAGGTGGTTAATGAAGTTTATTTGAAATTATACAGCGGCCTAGGCCAATAGGTCCATACGCCAAATACAATGAATCATTAAAATAGGTCAACAGACCCTTATATAAATAAAATACAAAAATTATATATAGATAAAATACAAAAATTACTAACCATTATATAAATAAAATACAAAAATTATTAACCCTGAGACAGCCAGTAAAAACTGAGTGAGCTGTGAGCCAGAGCTGGTGGACTCCTCAATACAAGACAAAAAAATCCAACAATTGCACCAAAAACAGCCGTAAATACAACTCATAAAACCACCAAAAGGTGAAAATCTGAAATAACATAAATGAATATAGTGCTAAAATTGATAGGTAAAAACTGAGACAAAATCACAGGTGCATACACTTGCCAATAGGGCATTGAAAGGATCAAGCCAGCTTGAATAGTGCTGGTAGAACCAAAATAGTGAGGGTGAAGTAGTAACAGGTAGTTAAAATGAAGAACAACAAGTAAAGCACTGTAAATTCAATTAAAGTACAAAAAAATACAGATGAATGAAGTCTATTGTGAGAGTAATTTATAAGTATTTTTTTGCGTAAAATTTCAGACCTAGTGTATTCATTAAGTAAATAATATCAAGAAACTAAAACGGTAAAATAATACTTAATTAAGAACTTCGTTCCTAACTCAAAAACGGTTCAAAACTTCTAAAAATTAATTCTTGATCGAAAGCTTCGACCTCAAAATACGCACATTGGAAAGAACAGTCGACATGTTTCTAGTGCTCAAAAATAGGCACTCATTTTTAGAACCGACTAGAGGTGAATGAGAAGAAACAAAAGTAAGTTTAAATATAAAACCTGAAGTTACCAATGTAAAAAAAGGGGGGTAAAGTGAAAGAACAAGAAAAACTACAGTGGTATAGAGGGGCAAATCAGGGTAAAATGGATTTCCACTTGCTATTGAGAGGTGGGGAGGAATTAATGTCATTAACAAGAGAATCAGCATTCATAGGATTGAAACAAGATGAGATGATGTGACTAAGGTGGAAATAATTTTGGCATTGTCAAATTGCAATTAGTGTCGAAGATTCCAACAATGTACAATGATAACAGACATATCTATCTTTTTTTTTTACCTTTGCTTAAGTTTTAAAGCTCGTCTAGTTTATTCGATGCAGTCAAGATTGCACTGACAAAGAATATGGTTAATGCTCCAGCGATTGCGAAAACTAATTGGATCTTTAAGAGACTTAAGTTTAATTTTATTTGCAGACCTAAAAATGATTTTAAAACCAAAACGGGAGAAGATGCTAGCAATTTTATGACAACACGAGAGAAAAAAAATGGTAAAGTAATAAGTTCGCTGTAAGAATTAGAAGATGAAGGGTGTTTGGATCTTGTAAGTTTAGCAAGAGCTGAATCAACTATGGAAGGGTTAAATCCACGGTTAGCAGCAAGCGAGCTGAGGAAGTTAAGTTCGGAGTTTAAAAGAGGTGTAGCAAAGGTGTAGTAAAACGAAAGTATGAAATGCAAACATTTTCTGACAATTAGGGTGATTAGTATTAATACGAGGGGACACAGAGACTGCAAAATGTTTACGATAAACTGAATTGGAAAAATTATTAGGTATGTAGTTGCAAGAATATCTAAAAAAAGGTTACATTAATTTCCGTGTCTAAAAAATATAGAATGTTGAGATCAACCGAGTTAACAACAGAAAGTCAGAACAGAAAATCAGTGTCACTGTCTACTAAGACAAACGTATCGTCAACATATTTTCCTCACCATAAGAATTATAAAATTTTAAAAAGTTTTCTTCGAAATTGTTATTTCGTAACAACCTTCTTTTACTAAATAATTTTAAAATCCTAAATAAAAAAATTGTAATTATATGACGCAAAACAATAAATGTAAGATAACAATTAGATTTAATATACGTCAAATTGAAACAAAAAAAAAACCTTCATTTAGTCTTCGATTTAAACTTGTTTAAATTTTAAAAAAAAAAAACTAAATTTTAATGAAAAACTTAAAATAAATGTTGCTTTAAAAATTTTGATAAATAATTTTATTACTATCCTAAAAGCAAAAAAAGAAATTCATAGTTATATTTTTTTTAAAATGCTTTCATAAGAGCTTAATTTTCCTTACTCCTATGTTTAAATTCGATTAGGTTAAATCTTATTTCTCGTCTTTATTTATTTATTTATCATTTTGGTTCTCTAATCATTTGGGAAATTTTCATTTTTTATTCTTTTAAAAAGAAATAATGAATCTATATTTACCTAAGAAGTAAATGATCAAAACAACGTTAAATCGTATTTACGAATCCATTACTTAAAAAGCGTTAGGGTGAAAGATAAACAAATGTATTTAATGCTATTTGAAAAAAAATTGCGACGACAGCTATTTCCTATTTTAATGGTAGGAATAGTTAGCGAGAGTAAATCTCCGTACTCAAAAACGAGCGGCATAATTGGTTTTATAAACATGTTTGATGTATAAATAATATTTTTATTTGTCAAAATGTTATTTGAATTTGGTTTTCAGTTAATATTGGCTAAAAATAACTCTACGAATAAAGATTAGCTCTTAAAATATTGACTCTTTTTTTTTAAGTAAATTTAGTTATTGTGATGTAATGTAAATTGTATATGTGGTTGTAATTTCTTCTTGGCATAATTAAATTATCACGGTAAAAGATTTTAATTAGTACTCGAGACATACTTTTTCTACTCTGAAAATAGTTGAGTTACTTATTATCTCATGTTAAAGAAAACAAATAAAAAACTCGTTATGGAAAATAGAATTACGAATGAAACATTGTATCTTTTTAGCTACGAATTAATATTCCATGTGTAACAAAACTGTTTAATCTGTATGAATGTACAATTTTAAGTAGTTATTTATTATTTGAAAGAAATAATTCTTTTTATTTTACACTATCATGAATGTTATACATATTAAGAATGCAGAATAATGTTGAAACAGTATGCATTTTAATTTTTTTCAAATTCAACAATATGCAATAATGATTTGGCATCACAAACGACAACATCATCATCATTAGCACCATACCATGGCCAAGCACCTTGCCCTGTTTTTCACAACTATGTATTTAAATGGTCACATTAGAAATGGCACGTAAGTTTCACCTAGGTCAGACGACGGGAACAGCATCTGAGCTAGTACCCCCCTTCCAAACATTAACATTACAACCATCGAGAGAACTTTCAACCATGACAGATTTAACGTGCTCCTCGCTGCTTGTACAAGCTGGTTGTTTAGTAATTTAGTCGGATCCATGAACTACAGCTTTCCACCAGTAGCAAGCAGTAATATTGAAGTATTATGAATCACAACAATATTTATAAACCCTAATATATATATGAGCTGTGCTGGCTCATGAAAATAGAGTGGTCGTCTCCCAATGAGATAGCCCAGGTTCGAATCCTAGGCATGGTTGAGAGAGGGAGATAAATTCTGCATCCGGTTCGCACAGACCGCAGTGCTGGCATAAAATATTCTCAGCGGTAAACGGATCACGGACTAAATTTCATTTGTCATCTGGCTAACCGTGGGAGTAGCACAAATGCTGGTTAGTTCCCTCAAAAGAGACTTCCATGAAAGCTAATCAATCCGGATGTTTGCCCGAAAATTACAAGGCTATACAGTTAAACACTAATAGTCATAAACTCAAATTGGATCGGCTGTTATAAAATAAAACCCAGAATAATAATGGCAAAGTGTCATAAATTACGATAACATTCATTATATACATTAATAATCAATCATGATAAAACATCATGGAGTATTTTACTACTTACATACAATGTACTGCAATAATGATAATAGACGATTGCTAGAAAATAAATTCAAGGTGTTGTCACAATTATCTTAAACCATAAGTAGAAGTCGTTAGTTAGTTTCTACTCTCACGTAGACATGGACATCATTACCCACTTGGGCTGGTGCTGGAGTACTTTACTCTTTACTTAACATTAGACAGTATACAATTAAATTTTTCTTCGCAAATTGCTCACTTGTATCTTTGTTCTAGGACACTTGGATTTCTTGAAGGATTCTAGATTCAACATGTTGAATCTAGAATTCAACATCATGATATGTTTTCTTTGAACCAAATTATCATGCGCTTTTGCTGCAGTTTTAATAATTGGTAAAACTGAATCATATTATTAAAACCAACTTTTATCCATTTTAGATTTTTTTAAGTAAAGCATAGAAAAGAAAATACTTTTTATAGTGAGTCTCACGTAGTGTAAAAATAAGGGTTTTTTTTCAATAGTTTGATTTTCTTTTATTCTGCATATTATTTTCTATCAGTTATCATTATTTAACTGCATCTCGACTACTTAACATTAAGTACTTAATATTGTTAGTTTAAAAACATAAAATAGCATAAAACATATTAAATATATTCTTCATAACTTTAATTATCATCGTTTACTATCAAAATACTAATTTTACTGTTGACATTAAATCTCTAAAATATGGTGTGCCAGGATTATTAAACTGTAAAATTTCCACTGCAGGAATTTGCCCTCCCGGTAAAAAGTTCACAGAATGCGCGTTTGACTGCAAAACGTCTTGCAGTTCACTTCTGTATGATCTGAGAGAGAAAAATTCATGTAAGGAAGGTGAATTATGCGCCCCTGGCTGCGTGAAAAAAGAATGTGAATACCCTTTCGTTTCCAGAGATGACGTCACATGCGTCACACCTGATCAGTGTACTTGCAAACTTCCTACTGGATTTCCTTTAGCAGTGAGTATTATATTTTACAAATTTTTGAAATGTATTTTAATTTGCTTTTATTTTTAGCTTTGGTGCGCAGTATTTACAGAAATTAGATAATTTCTGCTGATTGGAAAGGTCATTATCAGAACGAAAAAATTTTTGTAAATCAATTTTTTCCACCCTCCATCTATAACAATGGGCTCGCCCAGGTTTTCATGGTTTCTCGCCCAGGAACAATGTTTTCATTGGGCACATTAGGATCCATAATCCTCGTAGAACAATCCCTGACGACTGTAAGCTAGTTGAACATAGTTGCAGTCCAGGTTCACCCATTCATGGCAACAGTTTTTCCTGCGGGGGATGGTGTTTACCAACAGGATAATGCACCATGTCATAAGGGTCGAATCGTCATGGATTGGTTCGAGGAACATTCCAGTGACTTTCAAGCCATGTCTTGGGCCCCAAATTCCCCTGACCCTAATCCAATAAATCATTTGTGGTCCTACTTGGAAAATCAAATTCGTGCTGCCACGCTACCCCCTCTCAATGTGAGGGAATTGCAGGACCAGTTGGTGAGCGCTTGGTATCAGATACCTCAGACTACCTATCCGTACCTTGTGGACTCAATGCCACGGCGGGTGCTAGCAGTTTTGAGGGTGTATATATATATATATGTATAGGGAAGTTAGGGTGCAGCATCAGGATAAAAATTACATACGAACCCCATGCCCGAAAATGTCGCCATACGTTACTAGAGGTACTTCATTATTAGGAACTGTTTCTTCTTCTTCGAATACTTCTGAAGAGGTCATTATGGGAAATCTTTCCTAACGGCGTACAACGACATTTCCGAGCTTAGGTTCTCACACAGTTTTCAACCTAATGATGCGTCTTAACTCCTCTAGATGTATATCAGAACATTTAAGTGACCCCCTGTTATATATAACATTTTTAAACTTCTGCGTTTCGGCAAAAATTAGGCAAAATTTATCATTCGAAAAGTCTATAACTTCAAACCCAATTTCCGGTTTAAAATCTTCACAAGCAAGATCAAGTATTTATATAAAGGCATCACAAGATTTGTTCCTCAGTGTAATTTAAAATCACCCTGTACAACTCTCGGAGTTATAACAAAAGTAATAAATATCTCAAGTGAACTTGAAAAAAGTTGCTTTATCGTACATTACTTTTTTCATTAATGAATTAAAATTAATAGATGATTGACAGTTGTAAAAAGAAATAATTTTTCGAGTATTTTTTTCGTTTCCAATAAAATAACTTTTGGAAAGAGTAAACTGGTGTCGTAATTGTTTTTCAGATTTACAAAACAGTGCAAAAATTTCGTCTTTTAGTAAGATTCATAATTGCGCAAATTGTTTTGTCACAATACTGCCCGAGCAATATGTATATAGTTCGTTCACCAGGAGTTGACACTTGGCTCCGCCTTCATCACGTGGTATCGGATGATACTATTTCGCTATTTTGGGGAGAAGGATGTGAACAAGGCTGCTATTTGGCGATCGTATGACAAAAATATTATTTCGCAATCTTCATGTGCATATTTTGAACATGTGCATTTTATTTCTAAAACTTGTTGATATTTCTCTCTTTTTATTGGATAGTTTGTTCTTTTTGAGATATTTTGCTGGGAAAAAGCTTTTAAATATAAATTAGCTAGAATAACGAAAAGTATAATAGCTGATGATAAAACGAAGTAAGTGACTGAAAAAGAATTCAGTGTTTGTGTTTGGCCATCACCTTCTACATCAGAAGCTCATGAAAATAGNCTATTTTAAAAGTGACTGAGAGGAATTTGTAACATATATTTGAGAATTGAATCTGTAGTGGTAAACAAGTAAATAAGACAAACTAATCATATTCAAAAATTAAACAAATTTTTAGACATATATTTGCTACCACTTTTTTATTTCCACTAGATTTTCTATTAAAGGGCTCTTTCGTAAACAGGTTTGCCTTCATAGTGGTCTGATTGGACTACCTATAAAAAATCGTGTGGAGGCTTAGTGCGCATTAGAGGTTATCTCGATTTCAAGCGAGCAAATGATTTTCCTCTTACTCCCCCTTGCTGAAATGAACTCTGCGTCCGAGGAGGTGGAGCCAAGTGCCAACTCCTGGTGGACGAACTATACCCGTAACACATTTTTTTCATGCCAATACCAACAAACATAAAGTAGTTTTGTTTTATTTTTAAACATATTTATCAAGTTTTCTGCTTGCGAATTACCTAAGTAAAGGTGTGTATCTGTGTTGCGTGATATGACAACGGCAGTATTTTTTTTTTCATTTGCAACTCATTTATTTTTGTTTGTATTTAGCCAGGGCAAGTTGTGACAAATGGTTGTGAAAAATGCCAGTGCCTGAACAACACTGTGATCTGTGATACGATTTTAGAGTGCAAGCCTACAGAGGGAGAGAGGACCGAAGTCTTAACGCCTACTATGAATGAAAGTAAGATGGATACAGAATCAATTTTTTTAAATAATTCTTTGAAATAATTAGGATATTTTGAGATTTGTACGTAAATATCTGCGAAGTTGCTTCGTGATCACAGCTCCTTATATATGTTTTCATAATTCTTTTCAAAAATGAAATAAAAAATGTACGCATTGAGGATTACAATATTCAAGATAGAAAAAAATTTAAATCTCCTTGAGGAAGAAAAATTAGCAAATCACTATAAAAGAAAGCGTGATCAACAACATTGTTAAAATTGCGTGTGAGTGAAATAAACTGAGATTTTAGAAACACCTTTCAACCAGCCATCTTATAGATTTTGATGTATATGATATTTTCTTTAGCTATATAAAAATTTTAAAAAGTCATATTTTTAAATTTTTACTACTCAATGTCGTTCAAATTTTGTATATCATCTTTGAAAATTGCATTTTTCTAAATGATATAAAAAAATATCTTACAATTAAAAATATTTTGACTTTTGTTTTAAAAAGCGAATGAAAAATTCTTAAAATTTCAATTTTTTTGCGAATGATGATTGAAAAAGTTTTTCACATCTTGTTTCTTTCGATGCCATCTTTCTACACTCATAAGGAAATTTTACAATTGTATACAAAGCTTTCTATTTCGCGTAAAAATCTTAGTTGTGACGAAATACGCGAAAAATGATATTAACCGTTTGAGTACGGAGAAGCGCTATCGCGCTTCGCTTGTTTTGTACCGAAAATGCGGATGCGCTGCTGTTGGCTAGTATAAGTTAGTTAGTAGTTGATTGGTAGTAGTTAGTAGTTGGTTAGTAGTGTTGTACGCATTTCATTCCGCACTAGCAGTCCAAATTTCTTAGATAGTGGTTGCTCTCCTTATATTAAGGGTTGAAAATTCAAAACCACCAAAACAGTAGGGGAGAGTGGGGTGAATTGTAACATTTTTTACTTAACTATTTTTAACTAACAAAAAATCCAATATATTATTAGTATTAATTGACAGACGAGTAAAGTAGACTATCCTCTACTAGAAAAAAAATAAATACCTTATTTTAAATGTTATTATATTAGTTATTAACAATTTTTGACAGTCGTGCACTTGTTACAATTGTCCCCACTTACGGGGTCAATTGTAACAGTTCATAAATTCAACTAAAACATAGTTAATTATACATATTATCATAGTTGTGATATATTTTTTTATTGATCAAAATAGTAGTGATATTTTAGGAGTAAAAATAATAATGAGCAGAGACCTAAAGGGTTAAACTTTTAACTTTAAGGGGTTAAAAATTTTAATTTATGCTGTGAAAGGTGACAAATAAAATAATGCACATGCAACATAATATAAATGATATAGGAAACTATTGGTGGTTCTTAAAGAGTTAAGTAATGGTTTGTAAACATAAGATTATTTATTTTCAGCTGTTACAATCGTCCCTTTACTTATTGTTACAATTGTCCCCAAGACGCCATTTCAGCTTCATTTGTTAAAAACAATGCTAGTTAATTAGCAAAACTAATTTTTTTTTTATTGAAATGTTAATTAAGGTGTCCACTTACATATTCGGTTACTAATTTTTATTTGTTTAAACAAAATTACTTTGTTACAATATAATATTCTAATACCAAAAAAAGTACTTACGTAGCGTGAAAATATCTTTTGTGATGTAACTCTTTCAAAAGTACATAAAAATGATTGCCATCAGGGGTGTACATGTAGATTTATTAAATACACCTTGTGCCCCACCTAGGAACCAAATCTAGAACCCGACACTCGAAATTTTTGCTCTGTTACAATCGTACCCTGTTACAATTGACCCCACTCTCCCCTACGTTTATTTAGAGGTACATTTTAGGTCTGATTCCATAGAATATTTGAGGAACTTTTGAACCACAAGAATTTGTTTTTCATATGAGAAAATTCGATCGTTAGAACAAAAGTAGATCTGGGTGATATCCTTCTTTTAGTTCACTATACAGTCCCTGGCAAAAATTATTAGACACACCAGAAAATTCTTTGTAAAATCTTAATTATCAAGTTATACTATGCAGCTTTGTTTTTACGCTTCTGAAACAGGTTTGCACTTGTTTACGTTCGGATAGCAATTAGTTAAATTAGGCGATATATAATATAAATTCGACGATAGAATAAATTAGACGATATATTATATAGATATAGAATATTTATTATATCAGGTATTATATTGTAATAATTAGATTAAATTATTAGACGCACTGCAGTTTTTTGATACAGTCAAACCTCGATATCTCGAACTTAAAGGGAGAGGAGAAAAAATTCGAGATGCCGAAAATTCGAAAATCGTATGTTATCGATGGTAGAATAAAGAAAAATGCTCTTTACATACCTTATTTACTATTCCATATTTATTCTAAAAACACTTTGTTGTTTGCTTTAGAGTTCAATTCAATTGTTGTTTGCTTTAGAGATGTGTAAGGAGGTTTGTCTGTAACACTTTCTAAGTGGACTATAGCTTTAAATGCCTCCTCTGACATATTCGGCTGCCTCTCAATAAACCTCCTTACAGTGTCCACTGTAGAAAGTGCTTGTTTGTTAGTAACATTGGGTGGTAAATCCTCAATTTCCTCATCCTCTTCTTCTGATAGTTCACCGGAAGCGTTCGTTTGAGCGATGATATCATTGTCATCCCACTGACCACACACTGTTACTGCACCAACTACGTTTACAATGTCATGAAATTCCATGTCATCAAGTTTCATGAGTCCGGTCAATCTGCCCCAATCATTTTCGGTGTAGTTTTCAGCAGAATTAACGATATTGATTGTTTGAATACTTTGTGATCTTTAATGAATCCAGCCTTCTTGAAGCCATTCATTATCGTAGAGAAAGACACATCATTCCAATGCCACTGACGTCTTTATGTCCATTTTTTAAAAAAATAGTTTATCATTATGAGAATTGGTTTTCTATTCTTAAATTTTTCTTATTTTTTTTGGAATAGTTTTTTTTGTTTTCAGAAGAAAAATCTGCACTATTTAGGAAAAAAAAAATTCAAGTTATCGAGGGATTAGAAAAAAAATTCGTGAAATCAAGTTTTTTTTAACATTGAGGGTGCAGGAAATTTGAAGAGAATTTTTTTTTTCTTCGAGATATCGAAAAATTCGTGAAATCGAGGTTCGACTGTAATTACATGTTTTGCACGAGTTTATATGTAATAGTTTTATATTTAAACATACGTGTAATGGGTTTTTATTCAGGAGACTTTTTATGTACTTCCTATTTGTATTTATTTTGATCGTATTTCATTACAATGTAAACCAATTGAGACACAGACTTAAGCAAGTGCAAACCGGTTTCAGTCGAGTAAAAACGGTAAAACTGCATAGTATCACCTGATAATTAAGATTTTGCATAGAATTTTATAGTGCGTCTAATAATTTGGCCAGGAACTCTATAGTAAAGTATCAATAAAGCTGATAACGAGAATTCGCTTTCTTATTAAGTAAATAATAGGAGATAAGAGAAAAAAATCAAAGTTGTAGATTATTGAAAACTGGAAACATTCAATGTTCAGGAACAATAACGTGAAACCATTAAGCAAGAGAATGACGTTTTCTTTGGAAATTACCTCTAAAAGTGTGACGTCACTGAAATTTCACATAAGTTTTTTATTCTATCTGCATTAACTTTTGAAATTGTAATATTTTTACTAGCATTCAGGGTTTTCACAGTGAAGCCCAGAGTCCTACCAGTCACTACAACTTCTACTCCAGCATTAACTTTTAAGCAAACTACTCCAGCGTGCTCCTATTGGTCAGATTGGATAAACAAGAAAAAACCAAGAAGAGGAAAGAGATTTGGTGACAAAGAAACTACAAAACCCTATGTCCTAGCTCAAACGGAGGGATTTTGTATAGAGGTAAAAGAAAAATTCCAATTATCAGATAGTTTTCGTCCAAAAACAACAACAGGGAAATAATATATGAAACTTTTGCTTGAGTGACTTAAAAAAGTCTTTTAAGGATATTTTTCTTAATTTTTTTTAAAATTTTGACAATGAATAAAGTAGAAAGCGTTTTTCTCTATTCACCGTAATTTACCCCTTAAGGGGAATATTATCTTCATGTAAATACGCATTCTATTTTGTTTAATTTTGCTGTTACATAGTTGAATTAAAATATACTTTAATCCCATCAACACTGATTTCACACTGTTTAAAATTGGAGTAGTATAACTACATCCGGATCGCAAAACCTTGAACTCCTGGCCAACCAATCAGGCTGCCACAATTATTAAGTAATTCCTTGTTTTTGAGTTTTTAAAAATACTTATTATAATTATCTTAATTATTCGAAAATATGCCCCACTATAAATTACAAATCATGCTTAAGTTTTATCAAAAATACTATTTTTACGCTCAGTTTATATCGTTATAAATAAAGCCTTATAAAATGAGTGGAAAACTTTTTAAAATTAAGTATTAATGATGCTAATGACTTAGAAAACAACTAAAATTGCGAGGAAAATAAAAAAAAATTAATTTTGAAAATGAAGTACTCTTTTAATTTTCCTCCTTAGTTTAATTTCTTTCTTTCTTCCTTCCTTCTTTCCTTACTTTAAATCCCTCTTCCTTTACCTTTTAATTTAATTAAAATGTTTTTATTATTACATTAAAGATTTTAAACTAAATTAACTAATATCCTTATTCAACTTCACAGCAATTAGTAAAATTCATTAAAATGAAGTAAAGTTGTTCAGATTCTTAATATACTTCCAAATTTTTATTTCGTTATTTTATTTGACCGTAATGAGATGTAGTTCTCTCATAGTCTCATGAATCAAGTCAGCGCGGAGATCACTTATTGAACTTTTCTAGTAAGTTTTGGAACCTATCTCTCGATTCCATATATAATTAACTGCTCTATATTAGATTATTCTTCATCTTATGCTTTGTACGCCGCCTACTCACTCCTAATAGATAAGTCACTTGAAATATTATTGATCATACATTCATCCTCAATATTTAAGTTGGGCATTAGTCAGTAAATGAATTTCTCGTGAAATATCCTCGGTGAATATCCTCAATGGTAGACGGATCATGGGTTAGAGTCCCCTTGCCGTCAGGCTAACCGTGGAAGGTTCTCGTGGTCTTGTCCATGTAACGCAAATGCGGGTTAGCTCCATCAAAAAGTCCTCCGCAGAGATAATTTCTCCCAATACTCCATCCAGGAGTTCCCTTGTCTTCTGGATTGGGTTCAAAATTGCAAGGCTACGGATTTGAACATTAGTAGTCGTAAGGCAAAAAAATTGGGTCGACTGTTCATCGATGGTCATAAAATTAAATATAAAAAATAAATAAATTCCCAAAATTAAAAAAAAGCAAAGTTGCATGGTAAAGGTACTCTTGTATGGGTAAAACGCTTAAAAATAGTTTCTTTATGTCATGTGGGAAAATAAAAATTATGGGCAGATTTGATAAACATGCAAACATTTTCAACCTTTTTTTTTTTTTTGCTACTTTGCATATTTTTTTATTTTAGCTTGCAATACTAGACCTTCTGAATACTCTTTAACGTTTAATGTTTCTAAATTTTATTACACAAATGAAAGGTAATCCAAGTTTCATTATAAATTTGGAAGTGATTTAATTTGACTAAACAATATGAAGAAAAAATACCGCGTTTTCGTTTAAAAAAAATACATTACGAATTAAAATTTTTATAAGATTTAAAAATGCGTAATCAAAGCTGATCCTTTTGTATCTTCACGAAACGATAAGTCTTTCCTTTTTCTAAAAAAGTATTGCTTTATTGAATACTCTTGATAGTTCTTTGAAAGCTCAAAATTTTTTCATAGCTCATATAAAATCAATATTAGTTTTTTAATACAGTTATAAATTTGTAAAACGATTCTGAAATTGCTTTTATCATCGCTTGCTGAAACTTTATTTTAATTGTCTTACTTTGAAATAAGACCATTTTTCGTAAATTCTTTTTATAATAAATAATAGCTCATTACGATTTCTTTTGAGGTAAAAACTTTCCAATAACAATTACGTGTAAAATTTCAAAGCCTGTTCATTTTATTGCAACATTTTTAACTATATTTAAATTAAAATAATATTTTGCAATCTTCACAACTCTTTGTTTGCCGTCATAAAAAATTGGAGTCATATTAAGTGTCAGAAGAAAACTTCTAATTCAAGAAAAAAGAAAGAATCACAAGTATTCACATACTTCCCAGTCTTTTAATCTATTTGTATACAAGTAGATGAAGAAGATGTAATTACAAAATAGATTAAATTCAAATAGATTAAATCCAAATAGATTAATTACAAAAATGTTTCAATACAAATATACTTAAGGTAAGTGAATTTAATACAAATAGATTCACTACAAATAGATTACAAACCGATTAAGTACTAATAGATTAAATAAAATTAGATTAAATAAAAATAAATTAAATACAAATAGATTAAGTACAATAGATTAAATGCAAATATTTTAAATACAAATAGATTGCATACAGACAGATTGAATATAAATAGATTAAAAGCAAATAGATTAAAAACAAACAGATTAAAAACNTTGCATACAGACAGATTGAATATAAATAGATTAAAAACAAATAGATTAAAAACAAATAGATTAAAAACAAATAGATTAAAAACAAATAGATTAAAAACACATAGATTAAAAACAAATAGATTAAATACAAATATAATAAATATAATACAAATAGATAAATAAACAATACAAATAGATAAATAAACAATACAAATAGATTAAATATATACACATAATACAAATAGATACTAATAGATTAAATACAAATAGATTAAATATAAATAGATTAAATACAAATAGATTAAATACCAAAAGATTAAATAACAAAAGATTAAATAACAAAAGATTAAGTAACAACAGATTAAATACAAGTAGATTAAATACAAGTAGATTAAATGCAAATAGATTAAACACAAATATGCAAAATTTTACCTCGAATCGGAGTAACAGGTAAAATAGTTTCTTTCAAAGTAATTTTAACTGGTAATATTAACTGTATACTTTGAATACATACTGGTATAAACAAATAACTTTTGGAGTTATTTATCCCTACAGTATGTTACTTAAAATTTCTTCAAATGAAATCCTGGAGTTTAAATGATTATGTTTTTTCTTACATTTTCACATTTAACATAAGTCATTTAATAACCTTTTACAAATTTAAAGTGGGAGTGTTTTTTTTAATTCATTATCTAGTAATGAGTAATCATTTCAAAACATACATGAAGAAAATATGCATTTAGTTCAAGTTTTTATGTAAGCTTCATATTCATAGCATTTATAGTCAAAAATTTAAATCAACCACTCTAATTTAAAATCTTCATTTGCCGATTTATTAAAAAAAAAAACATTTCGTACATTCACCATTAAAAATTAAGATGTTTTAATGCATGAATTTAAACTCTGCCTGTTTTACATAATTAAAAAAAATGACGGCAGTATTTTTTATGTTTACCATAATCTTTATATTAATTAAATTTAATTTGGTTGTTAATGTGGAGAAAGTAGTTAGTCTTAATTAAACTAGAAAAATAGTTTTGACATGTAATTATCTCAGTGACAAACAGGCACTTTACGTGACAGAAAGATGTTACAGAACCTTCTTATTATATAGATTATTTCTATTTTTAGTGCGTTTCTTTTCCCTTGTCACCTGACTAAGATAGATAAAGTATCAGGGATTAGATATTTTAAGTAAAGTTTCTTTTTTTCATATTTGTTTCAAGAAAGGGAAAATTTGCCATTTAATTAAAATTCTTGTCAAATTTCATTAACAGTGAGTAAAAGAATATCTACAAATTTTTGTTCATAGCAGATTTTTTATACTCTGTACTTCGTTTCAGACAAAACTTTGCATAACCCATAGTATATCTAGAAGCATATACAAGGTGTTGCATAAAGACCACCTTAATATGTATTTTTTAGAGTCCTTATCAAAAATGAAAACATAAAAAGCAGAAGAAAAAAAGCTGAAGATAGCAAATAAATGGTTGGAAATTTAAAAAACGCTATCGAAATCTTACGAATTATCACAGAGGTCGACAGAGGCAATAGACATCAAAACAGGTTTCATTCGAAGTTCAAGTTTGGAGGTGTTTTTAATGGTTGTCATTCAATTAAATATGTCTTCTCTTTTACTCCCACCTTCCTGCACCCTAGTTGGATAGATTTTGAAAACATTTTTGACTTCCAATGTGTATACTGTTTTTGCTTTTATTTTTTAATGATTTAATTGGCTTAGTATAGTTTGAAGCTATCCAATTTGAAGTGGTAATGGAAGATTGTCCCATTTAAAGTAGTGAGTGTGAAAAGTTATGTTGGTTTGCCTTGCTTGAGGTGAGGTGCGTTCTATGTCAACCATAGTTGACTTTTGTGCGGGAGTTAATTTTTTGTTGAAGATCCAAGAAAAGTAAATTTTTCTTGATTCAATAAAATTATTTTTGTTAATTTCACTCTACCTGTGCATTTGATTATTATTAATAATTGATGGTTATTGTTATAACAATACCCAATTAGTGTACACAACAGATCAGATCGATGCGGAAACAGCAATAAATTGCACTCAACCTAAGAAAAGCAGTATATGAAATTCTGGCCTATTGTATACCGGAAAAGGACACTAAACCTTTAAAAACCAGCAATGTAGCGAATACTGAGGAATAGTACACACCCCTGCCTTTCTACTATACCGATTAGTCTAATTATTTTAGATAATAAACGGAGATTATTAAAAGCAAATACATCAGTTATAACTCATATTCAATTTACTGCTGCTTTTGCCAAATCCCTCATGAAGAAAAGAACCAATTTAAGATTAAGAAGTTAATCTCCACTAAAGAAATGAAGGAATTTTTTAAATAAAAATAAGAACCAGTGTTACGTTTGGAGTAGAAATTATGTTTCGAAATTTAGTTCGAAGTCAAACTAGTTTATGTCGCTAGTTACTAGTTAAGTACGAAATCGCCAATTCAAACAGAAATAGTGAGTTCCTACCGCTTCGAATGGGAACATCTGAATCTTTCCATTAGCTCTCAAAATGTTTTATTTTATTTAAACGTATACTTGAAATCGATGCAATTACGTAATTTGTTTGTGTTGAGGACCTCTACCCAATACATGATAGATCTCACCATTTAAACCAAAACAAATACGCTTATGAAAAAGTTCGGTATCTTTCTCAACTTATAAATAAAGTTATTAATAAGTTAATGACCAATAAGTTAATAAATTAATAAGTTAGTGACTCAGCTTATTCTGGTGCAGTTATTTTAAAGCACTTTCAATGAAGTTATTTTTGACTCTCTCAGTATAATAAATTCAGAAAAAAAAACGCAACTCATTTTAGTTTTTATATACAATTATCAGGGGTCTGTCCAGACATTTTGTGAAAGGTTCGTTTTCGTAAAAATGTGAAAAAATTACTCGTAATTTGTGAATATAAAATAAACGTTAAGTCACATTCTTTCAACCAGGGTCTACTTTTGCGAATTTGTGCAAATAGGGTCCGTTATTGCAAAAAAAACTTTTTCAAGGAGTTTTTAAATTGTAAAGACATACAAGATAATGCTCAACACTGTGAATATATAATTAAAAAAATTAAATTTTAAAAAATAAACAGCAATTGCAGCTACTAAATTAGCGATGCAACATATAAATATTTGGTATTTAGCCTATACTGCTGAAAGCAGAATATTCATGTCTGCCGAAGACAAAATTTAGTTCATTTACATCTGTCTTTCTCCCCCCCCCCCTTCCAGGGACGGGTTTANTGAGATTTTTTAGGTCATCAAGTCCGTTTTTATGAAAAGATATTTTGTGAAGGGTCCGTTAACGGACCCAAATTTCTTCTAAACAAATCCTTGATTATTGATCTTATGCAAAAATGCAAAAATTTATGTTTTCTAGGGTACCGTGACTAATATAGAATGTAGGGAGGTTAAATCTGATAGTCTCTATACCGAAACTGGTGAAGAGAAACTAGTTTGCGACTTGAAAAAGGGTTTTATTTGTGAAAACATTCATCAACCAGATGCAATCTGCATGGATTACAAAATAAGATACTTATGCACATGTGGTTAGTATACTTTAATTTCATAACATACACAATTTCTTTATCAGTGCATTTAATTAAATAATGTCTTTGCAAATCTACTTGTAAACAAATAATTACGATTAAAACGACAAAATTTAGCATTATGATAATTATGATGAAAAATGTCTATTTTCTGACATAAATGCATATAAGGCTATAACTGAAATTATATAAGGCAGTGAGTTAATGATTACTTACACAGCACATTTCAGGCAAGTAATAAATACTGAAAATGTATGCTTCTGTGATTATTTGTTGACAAACCATTTAATTGTAACAACAAAATTTGAATTTATGGTACATTGAGATCCCAATTTGTGCACCTCAAAAAAAAAAATTTCAACTTTTGATTAAAATGTTTTTGGAATTTTTTTAATAACATTATCTTATTTCATTGAAACCTGTATCCAAAATTAATTCAAACAATAAGTGTGATGTCATAATTAATTGGACTAGCAAGAAAGTTAGAATTGAAAAAAAATTATTTTTGGAAAAAAAAAAGTACGATTTCTTTTTTAATTATAGCCAACAATTGCACATAAAGCAACGATATTTATTTTTTATAGTACATCAGGATCGCAATTTTCGTGCATCGAAGCCAAATTATAAATTTCTGATATGACTAGTTTTTAGACTTTTCCAAACTTCAAATTTTTCTAAATGACGTTATCTCTTTTCACACATAAATTCATAGAATCCAACTAAAATTATTTTTTGCAATAAGTATAATACCACAATCACCAAACTGAAGAATAAATCTGAAATTGGAAAAAAATTCAACAATTTCAAATTCAGTTTTTTCATTTATTAAATGTATTATCGCTTATTAGTCTCATCTAGTGAAAAAACTGAAATTTTTTATTGTTTCAAGTAATTACTTTCTTTGGTATTTGCTAAAAATAATTCTGAAGTAATCCTTGTAACCAAGAAAATACTGTATCAATGCGAGTTACCAAACCATTACTGGATATCTGAAAAGCACAACAGTTTTTATGAAATCTACAATATTTAAGTTCTTTTTTAACTAAAATTGAGTGTTTCAACAGGGAATGAATTAAATACTATACTCAATCAAAATAAGATATCGCAAAGAATAAGGCACAAAAGAAATTGTTTTGATAAAATTATGTTTACAAATTTAACAAATATGGAAATTCAAAGAAATAAATAAGGAAAAACGCTGCTAAATTCGAAAAGAAAATTTCAAATCTTTAAACACTTCGAATTTTATGTTGCATACAAATAGTTTAAGATTGGTCATGTAAAATTACGATGAAAGGTAAATAAAAATTTTAGCAGTCAATTTAATATCATATTTTTGGTGAAATGTTTGTTTACAAAATATAAATACAAAATCGAATGTGGTTTCTGTTTACTTTAAAACAATATTTTTTTAAAATTTAAAACTGAAATTAGATCATAATGTTCAAAGTATTCCGGTTTTAAATTAAGGATTTCACTAAAGTATACACACATTTTGCAAAAATATTGAAGAATTCTTCTGCAATTCTCTTTCCTTTTAAGAAATAACCAAATTTAAAAATTTTCAGAAACTGTCTTTGAATTTCAGCATTATTATGAAATGCTTGATTCTAAGTAGAATTTAATTTGACACTTAATTTACGTTTAAGTAATAGCAAGCAATCTATTATAATCATTAAAGCTATTTTTAATCCTTAACTTTTGCGAAATATTTAAAGTAAACTGACACGAGAATGTACAAATTTTCTAAACAAGTTGTAGATTCTTATGAAGTATAGATTTTTAATGTTCATTAAATGTTGAAATTATAATTATTAATATCTAAATTTCCTGATGATTTTAAGAAACCAACTCAAATTATTCTTTTGAAATATATACTTCGAAATATATATATATATTTTTCTTTTTGAAAAATAGCTCAAAGTGCTTTAAAGTTTATTACTTTCCTGTTTTGTTTATTGTTTTATATTTGAAAATTCTAAATGCGTATGAAAGGCGAAATTCCGAGCGATGAACTATAGTTTTATTTTTTTAGAAGCATCCACTACAACTTTGATACCTATCTTTATAAAGACAACAACACCAGCCTATATTTGTAAGTAACACAAAATATTTAGCTTATATTTTTTCTTTTGCTTAAAGCTATTACCCATTATTGTTGAAACATAAGTCTATTATAACAAGTCTGAAATAATAAGCTTTATATAAAATATATTTAATATAGCCTTAAATTAGTTCAGAACACAAAAATTGTTTTTATATGATCTCTTTTAACGAAAAATATTACTTTACATTAAGAAAAAAAAAAGAAGGAATTCCGATCTCTTTTAATGAAAAATATTACTCTCCCATGAGAAAAAAGGGTAGAAATTCTGAGCAAACTATAATAAAAATGCGGGAATTCGAAAATAATTCTCTGAGTAAGAATTTCAAACTTTTCGTTTTCTAATTCTCAGTTAAATCGTTTTCTAATTTCTAACTGAATCATTTTCTAATTCCAGCAAAATAATTTTTAATTATTTTAATTAAATCTTTTCTTTCTCATTTTTAATGAAATATTAAAATTTAATATTTCCTTGAAGTTATTGATTTTACATAAATTAGGAAATATTATTCAGATACTTTTTTGAGTTATAAATCTCCAATTCAAATATTATCAATTACAAATTTCTAATTTCTATTTTTAAAATTTTTCTTTTCTTATTCTATTTCCAGTGAAACCGCTTCCTAATTTCATAATCAATCATTATACAATATTTTATTGTTTTTTTTTATTTCCAATCATATATTCCAATTTCCACTTAAAAAGTTTTTATTTCATACAAAATAAAAATAAAAAATATGTTATCAAGATATTCTTATTTAGTTTACAAACTATACTAGAGAAGTGATTTTTTTTTATTTTATGAAATAACAAATATTTAGTTTTTATTATGTTTGGGGTTTGAGGGAGAATAAAAATACAAAAAATTCATTTCCCAAATTCGTAATATTATTTTAGATCCATGCATTGATTTTGTTCCTCTTATAAATGGTCCAAAGCCATTACCTGATTCTAATATTCGAGCGTCTAGTAGTTCTACACCTAGATCTGGCCCACAAATGGCAAGAATTTCAGACGATGGTAAGAGAAAAATTTATTATTGTCATTATTATTGTAAGCATTATTTTGAAATGTTTAAGCATATTATTATGCATAAAAATATACACAACATTATTTTTAAACATATAGCATTAAGAATGCTTCAATTAAAGTATTACTATCGTAAACTGAGAAAAATATATGGTCAAATCTACCAGAATACGGTAAAGTTTAACTGTTTCAGGCTAAAAAGAACATCAAAAGTTTTGTTATTTTTATCGAAGCTCTATGGTTAAATTAATAAGAAAAATATTGTTTTATAATATGTGATTTTGGTAATACAATTTTGTAATTTTATCATGATACCTCACGGCTCGCGCTAATGATTTAAAATTATTAGCCAGTAAATTAGCCAAATATCGAAAGTCTTTGCCAAATGCAAATTTTAACAATTTCTTATGATAAATTTTTTTCCAGTGAAAACTTTTTACGATAGTTTGTTTGAGGCTTAGTATGTGAACCCAATTCTAATTGATTTTGAAGTTCATCTACCGAAAATTACTGTAATCGAATAAAAGATGCTGACTTGTTTTTAAAAAAAATCCTTTTGACGTAATTTTAAAGATCGTGTTAAATATTTTCTTTCCATGGGAAAAAAAAATCATTAGCCAATACTTTCACCAAATTTACGATTTTATCGCATTTAGCGAGGTGGCGAATGCTTAGCGCGAGCCCTGATACCTTAAAGCATGCCCTAAAAATTATTTATTCGGTTAAATTTACCTTTCAGTTTTGCATTTTTTATCTATAATTTCGAAAACTAGAATTTTCGGTAGACCATTACACTATAAACAGAAAAAATATCTGCATAAAATTTATGCATTGTTTAAATACCGTATATTATGGTTTTATTAAACAGAATTGTGTGTGTGTTTCTTAACCAGAACTGCAATTACTATATAGTACGGTAATTTTACCAGAATTTTTCCTCCGTGTCTAGTATAAGTTATTATTTTAATGCCATTGTAATTGTGTCAGTTAAAGCATTATTATTGCCCCATACAAAATATTAGATTTAAGATATTAAATTTGAGATTGTTTCTTAAAAAAGCATCAAAATCGTGTGGAAGAATCGGAATACTTTATTTAGTTCAGAAAATAATATCAGTATTTAAAGAATATTACTTTTTATTAATTCTTGTAGTATAACTTCTCATTCAGTTCATATTGTTACAAAGGTTTCAACGCTTCTACCAGTATTAGTTTAAGTAATTGTTCATATTGTATCTAGTGAGTTCAAAGCTACCCTACGGTGTAATGATAACCATACACCGAACTAATTCTGGAAGCGCCTGTGAAATTATTGAAGTGTTGTTCCGAGACTGATATATTTGTTCTAGAGAAATCAGATAGGAATTGTGTACTCGCTGCTGTAGCTGGTTGGAGTTATGAGAGAGAGTTATATATATGTGTGTGAATGTAATATATGTGTATTTAACCTTGTATTAGTTGTTCAGTAGTATTTCGACTTTTGGCATTAAATATCGTTGTCAGCTTTAATTGCGTTTATTAATTTAAATAACCTATTAATAAAAAAAACCTAATAATACTGATTTAATAAACCATGTCTTAATTGTTGAAGTGTTATAAAAAAAATATTTGTGTGAAGTAGACAAATAACGTTTTTAAGTACATTTACGAAAACATTAAGTCTAAAATTAAATAAGCCCACTATTATTCTAAAGGTAGATCACTAAAGATGTTTAAGAATTCGTAAAAATTCGTTGTTTTAATTTTCCTTAGACCAAAATTAGTGAGTATCATCATTAACTGAAAATCGGTTTGGTGACAACTACAATACAATAAAAATATAAAATTATCATTGTAAATCTTTATTATATACTGAACCCTTATTGTGTAATAATCCTTAGACTTAAAAGAGTTGGGTAATGTAATTAATGTCCATTTTTACCATACGACGAGGTTATTATTAATAATCACAGATTATCACTAAAAAGAACCGAGTTGACCGGAATATTAACCCGGCAGAGATGAGAATTCATTGCCCGTTTATTTCCGACATTGATGACTTTGTTAGGTTAACGATCAATGCCCACTATACGATGTTTATCTGGTATTTTCTGCTAATTCATCGAATTATCGTTAATATTAAATAATGAATGCTATATAAAATTAATTCATATTAAATCAGAGATAAAAATATGTCAGACAATATTAAAAAACGATTTTCACCACACTATTTATTTTGGAAAGGAAAAAAAAAATAATTTTCAGAACTGTCCAATGCATATCGAAAAAACATATAAAATTATTTTTTCAGACAGTCCTTTGTCAGCCTGGACTGCAGCCAGATCGAACGACAAACAATTTATAGAGATAGATTTGGATCAAATCAGAGCTGTCTATGGAATTATTACCCAGGGGAAAAAACTAAGCAAACAGTTTGTTACTTCATACCAACTAGTATATAGCTCAGATGGAAACTCTTATTCCTATTACCAAGACGAAAATGGAAAGAACAAAGTTCGTAAACGGCACTTGTTTTCAACGTAATTAACTTTGTACTCGAATTCAGTTAATAAAGTGTTTTTGGTTTTAGGTGTTCACTGCAAACTACGATGATGTAGGTGAAGTGAAGCATGTGTTTTCGTCTCCATTTGAAGCCAAGTTGGTTCGAATTGAGCCACTCTCTTGGGAGGGAAAAATTTCCCTCCGTATTGAACTTCTTGGATGTAGTGACGGTAAGTTACAATTACAGTTCAAATGAAACCAAAAAAAATTAAGGGTGTTCTCAAAATACTCACCTTTATGTATATTTTTCTCCAAAAAGCCTTTTTGTGGAAACTTTTGGTTTCTCAAAAAAAATTCGTGCTGATTTTTGAGGAAAATTAAAATATTTGGTTGAGCGTAGGCTTAACTTTTAAATTTAATTTAAATTTTTCTGCACATTTAATATTTTAAATAAGACTTAAATTCTATCCAAGTTTTTGTACACATAAGTGCCATTCTACTCTGAAAATTATCGATTTTTAGGCAACTGGAAAATTTCGTTCTTCTAGCAATTCTATGATTTTCTTCCTGAATTTATATCGCAATAATTGAAGTTAATGCCTAAGAATTGAAGCTTTTTTATTAAGAATATTGTGTAATAACCGAAATAGCTAAAATATCTAAACACGTGATACTTTGTGAATATGGTAGATTGAATGGAACAACCAAAGTGAGCTTTAAAAACTATTATCAAAGCTGTGCTAGACACTGCCGATCGAACGTTTGCAGTACATTTGGTAGTTTTCCAGCATGAAGTCAAAACCATATTTTGTACTTAATGCTTTTCCTCTTAAATGCTTTATTAAATCATCTGAATTTTCCGGTTAAATTTTTGAACGTACTGTGAACTACCCGGGCATAGCATATTCAAGAAATTTCTCCGAATCCTTTAATAAATAACAATGAGAAGTCTTTTTTGCATTTATTAAAATACTTGATCTTGCCTAATTAGGTTTTGAGGATTTTAAATCTGAAATTAATTTTGCTTCTAAAGCTACATTTTTTATTTAACAAAACAAATGTTTTGTCCATTTTCATCGAATTATTCAAATTTAAAAACGTTATATATAACATGAGATCTCGTAAATGTTTTGACAAGTTTCTAAGGGAGTTAAGGCACATCATCGGGACTAGAATTGCATCGAAACCCATGTCCAGAAATGTCGTTGTACGTTACTAGAGGTACTGTTTCATTGTATGTTTCTGAACAGGTCATAATAGGAAATCGTTTCTAACAGCGTACGGCGACATTTCCGAGTTTAGGTTCTTATGCAATTTTAATTCTTGATGATGTGCCATAACTTCCTAAGAAGATTTATTCAGCATTTATGTCACCTCCTGTTATATATAACGTATTCAAACTTTTGCATTTCGGCAAAAAATAGTCTAAAAATATCATTTAAAAAAATTTATAACTTTAGAAACAAAACTAATTTCAGGTTTGTAGGCAATATTAAGTATTAATGCAACAAAATAAAAGTTCCCCAGTGCCATTTATTGTTCTTCAGTGTAATTTAAAACCGCCCTGCAGTATAAACAGTTCATAATAGGTATATTATGAACTGTTTCTTCATGTACTTCTAAACAGGTCATAACAGAGAAGCGCCTCTGCCGCTTATGATGACATTTCTATGCAATTTTAATTCTAACGATGTGCCCTAAATCACTTAGAAGACTGCCTCAAAATTTACGCGAACTCCTGTTATATATAACATTCCTCAAAAAATAAACCAAAAATGTGTTTTCTCAGAAAAGCAAGAAACTGTAGCTTATAGAGAAAAAGCGATTGCAGTTCAGTGATACAGAATTATCTAGGATTTATTCAAAGTTCTCAAACAACAGAAAACAAGAAAAAATTTGTTCAGTGTTATTCATTTAAAAATAAGAATTAGTGATAAAATGAAAAGCTATTTATAAAATGTGTTGCTAGTGTTTTTCTAAAGTATATTCCATACTGATCATTTCCCGCTATACGATGTTNTCATACTTTGCCGTCTAATTTTAGCCATTCTATATAATGCCTAGGAATTCTATACAATGACGGATTTCATACTTTAACATATATAACATTCCTCAAAAAATAAACTAAAAATGTGTTTTCTCAGAAAAGCAAGAAACTGTAGCTTATAGAGAAAAAGCGATTACAGTTCAGTGATACAGAATTACCTAGGATTTATTCTAAGTTCTCAAACAACAGAAAACAAGGAAAAATTTGTTCAGTGTTATTCACTTAAAAATAAGAATTAGTGATAAAATGAAAAGCTATTTATAAAAACTGTTACGAGTGCTTACCTAAAGTATATTCCATACTATTTATTCTTTCATATTTTATATATCAATATCTGAAAACAATATAAATTAGTTTTAAAAAAATTAATCCTAAGATTTCTTTCAGATCGAATCTATTCAGATGTTTATTTCTTCCTTTCATTGTTGTTATTTCTATGTGGAAATAAAACATTAGCATTTTCTTTGTCGCTCAATTGAATATGTCTTTAAGAAATAAGGAAATATTCAATTTGCATGCAAATTTACACAGTCTAGCCTCACACGATAATGGAATGTTAATTTTTTTTTTTGAGTTCGTATGCAGTACAGAAATTGAATCAAAAACTTGCTTAACTAAAATATTCACATTTGTTTACAAAATAGGTAATTGTTTCTTTAACATTGTTACTTGTGTTAAAAAGAAAACAAAAGAATTTGCACAAAACAATTCCTAAAATAACTGTTCTAACTTTTTGTCCATAGAATGTTCATTAATCGTTAGTTTACAAATTTAAATGGTACACAGCTAATTAACGTATTCCTTTTATAAGTCTTTAATAATTCTTTTATTAATATAATTTCTTATATAATAGAATTTCTGCTAAAACCGAAGCATTTTTGCTTTTAATTTGATCTACTACGGAAAATACTCATTAAAGGAACAATAATTTTCGTTCGGTATTTGTAATATAATATGGTATAGCGATGAAGATACTTATAATAACGCTTGCATAAAATAACTTCCATGCTAAATCAACTTTTGAAATGAAGAAATTTATTTTTAGTTTCCATTTAAATATTTTTTTTTCTTTTCAGCCCTTGAACCTACTATACCCTTTGGAGAGATTGGAGGTATCATTCTCTTTTTGCAGTTTTGATTAATATCTTAAAGCAATTTAACAACTATAAGCTGTCACACTAATTATATTTCGCACTCAATTCGAAAATAACTCATAAAATCAACATATTGATCGGAAAAATTAGTTTCTTTTCTTAAACTAAATGATAAAATGGCCAAATTTGAAATTGTTTTGAGGAGCTGCGTTATTATTTTTGAAATATAGTTTTTTTTAATAGGAGTTTTTATACTTTATTTTAATGCCTTAAGAATGTTTTTCGAAGTTATGAAATAAGGCTTTATAGCGAATTATATATATTTTTTAATATAACTGGTGTGAGTTTTTAACAGTTATTTATTGTATTTCGGTTACTTTCACTATGAAATTAAATGTTCGTTTTTTTCTGAACTTTCTCGGTGCGTTCATCAGTTTAAAGCTAAAGACAAAATAGTTTTTTTAATGTTTTTCATCTTAATTAAACCATTTCATCATTTCATATTTCATCTTGATTAAAACCGTCAATTCAATTTCTAGTTTTTCGCAAACAGTTTTTCTTACCGTATGATAACTTTTCCTTTTACCAAATCATTTATTTATATCACCAATATCAAAGCATTATTATCAATTATTGCTCTAATATTCATAAAGGTGGGCCGCTATAATTTTGAGAGTTTTTATGCTTGAATATAAATTTTCAATGCGTAATACTTTTAAAGTTTAGACAAATTCAAACTTTTCTTCACAATAAAGCACTGGAGTCGTAATGGTTCAGAGGATAGAACACTTCTCTTCCAAAGAGGTCACCCTGGTTCGAATGCCAAGGATGATTGGTAAATATGAATTAGGCTCTCGGCTAGCACCGACCTTAGTGCTATAATAAAATACGTTCTTCTTAACTTTCACAGATAAAACTTCATTCTATCCGGTAAAATCTGTTGTATTTGCAGATTTACTTTGTAACTTTCACGGAGAAAATGTGATTTTGGTATGTTACAAAACCGTTGTGATTACAGATTTTCTTGCAATTTTTAAGGACAAAACTTGTCCTTGTATGATAAAAAAATTATTGAATCTATTTATTTTCGTCGAAAATCTTACAGTTTTGCATTACCAACCCAGCTGCCGGTTTAAAACCATGAATTTCATGGGATTTGTTGCAGTGTTTTTACTTATCTTTAGCTGGATCTCTGTATGCTAATAACAAAAATAACAATAAAAAAAAGAATGTATTTCGTAAAAATAAAAATTTATATTTCATAATTTGTAAGACTTCGATCACGTTGCATTTTTTGAGTTCATTAAAATTTTTAAAAATAGAGAAACAATCACTAATTTTAATACTTTTCATTTAAATTAAAAAGTCGTGCCAAATTGCAAAGTTTTTTTTAAAAAATATTTTTTTTCCAAATATTATTTGATAATTTAAAAATCCAGACGGTTTTAGTCAACAAAAGAGTTTTCTTAAGGTTAAATTAAAGCTTTGCTTTTTATTAAGGACTTTCAAACTTTTCTTCGTGTTCCTTAAGAGTTCCAAGGAACACCCATTAACTCGAGGTTATTTTTAAAAATGGAAAATTTTAGTATTGAAATTTATAATTAAAGAAAGTCATTAAACATAAAGCATTTTTAGACGGAATTGCAAAGCAAACGATAGAAAATTTCAAAAGACCACCCGTATTAAAACTTGTACCAAAAATAAACATTAACTAAATTAGAAGTCTTGCTGCAAAGGTTACTATCTTGACTACACAGACAGAGAAATAGCAACAAAACCATTGATCAGTTGCAAGTAAACTTATCCTTAATAGGTACTTCTCAAATGGTCGGAGCAATAACGTTGACAGCAGCCAATTCTGAATTCTATAATGTTATATTTACTAAATATACACTACTTATAAAATAGAGAGATTTCGCAAATTCACGTTAGCTTCCGTACGTAAGATTTAACGTAATCGAACTTGCGCGCTTCCAGTGCGCATGCGTCTGTTCTGTTGAAGTGCGCATGCGTCTGTCCTGTTGAAGTGCGCATGCGTCTGCGAAAAATATCAAACTTGAGTAAGTGAAAATAAGAGATTTCGAAAAAATCCGTAAGTGCAAAGCGCTAAATTAGGGGGATATCATTTTAACTTCGACTACAAAATCAAAACAAACATTAAAAATGGATGTAGACTATCTCTTTTAAGTTATTTCATGCGATTCAAGATGCTTTACTCTACGTAAAATAGCGCTTCTGTAATCTGAAGAATTTGGTAGATTATAAATTTTGATGAATTTAGTGATAAAAAAAGCAGCTTATTATTACTAATAATAATACTTAAAAATATATATATATATTTAACTTCTATTGATTATTTAACTAAATTGTATAGTTAAAATATAAATATAATTTATAATTTTAAAATCGCGAAAATATATTTAGTTTCTTATGGATCTAGTGCAATTAGACAACCATAATGTTAAACAAAAACCAATTAAATTATTTTTTTATTGAACGAACCAATTGTAAAATCACATGGTTCCTTTCCAAATCTCATCAATACATATCAAATTTGCATTCCAAATCCATGTTTTTAGTTCGATGGCATGCCTAAACTGAAAACAACATTTAACAGCTATAAACAGCGTGCTTGTAGCTTTGTCTTTCTAGCTTAAATCAAGCCAACATAACGTAAAGATACGTAGCATTAAAAATTAACGCTATCATGCGCAGTTACTGTGTGCTTTTAATTTCCATGCAACTCAAATGCGGGTTAGTTCCATCGAAAAGTTCTTCACGTAAGCAAATTTCTCCAAATATTTGTATCAGGAGTTCTCTTGTCTTGTGGATTGGGTCAAAAATTACAAGGTTACTCAGTTGAACATCAGTAGTCGTAAACTCGAAAAACTGTGTCGGCTGTTTAACGACGGTTATAAAACCGTCAGTGAAAAATTAACAAACAATAAAGTGGTCTTTTGAAATTAGAGAGTAGCAGTGAACCCAAATAATAAAATAACACTAAAATTAAATAAATAAATTTATTCCCTACATTTAATAAAGCCTTAAAGACCTTTAACTGGTAATTAAATCATTTCTCTATACACGTTTCCAATATCTACTAAAGGAAAATAGCCATTCTAAAACCTTGAAGTAAACAGACTCATGTCTTTTTAACAAGTTTTATTACTGGTTTCACTGCCATTGGGAATTGAGATCTACAATTTTCTGGAATTACACAGAATATTTTGGCAGCTTCATTAGTCAGGATTCGTAATTACACTCCGTTAAGTGGAAAACGAGGAAATGTCGACTGCCTGTCCTCTTTGGCGAAATAAGGAACACGGCATTTATACGAATGTATTGTTCGTAAACCTCCATTTTTCATTCTTTAATTGGACTAGGCAACCATTTGAATGCCTTCTTATTTAATTCTTCCATTATTCAATTTGCTAAAGTTTGAAAGGGATAGTTAAAACACTTAAAATATTTCCTGTCTACTAAATTAATTTTTGTTCATATAAGAATAAAAAATTTTGAAAATTGCAAAGTGGTTACTTCATTATTTTCAGTCCAGATAATAAGTTACAATTTTATGATAAATTAAGAATACAATGTTATTAAAAATACATAAACCTAATCCAATATTACCTGATTACTAGCATAACGAAAATGTAAAAAGTCTGGTATCGATCAATTATAATCTTATTTAATTATACCATTATTCAATTTGCAAAAGCTTGAAAGAAATAGTTAGAGCACTTAGAATATTTTCTGTCTACTAAATTAATTTTTATTCATACAAGAATTAAAAATGCTAAAAATTACATAGTGGTTACTTCATTATTTTCAACCCAGATATTAAGTTACAATGTTATTAAAATTAAGAATACAATTTTATTAAAAATAAAGAAACCTACTCCAATATTACCTGATTACTAGCATAACGAAAATGTAAAAAGTCTGGTATCGATCAATTATAATCTTATTTAATTATTCCTTTATTCAATTTGCAAAAGCTTGAACGAAATAGTTAGAGCACTTAAAATATTTCCTGTCTACTAAATTAATTTTTGTTCATACAAGAATAAAAAATGCTAAAAATTACATAGTGGTTACTTCATTATTTTCAGCCCAGATATTAAGTTACAATGTTACTAAAATTAAGAATACAATTTTATTAAAAATAAAGAAACCTACTCCAATATTACCTGATTACTAGCATAACGAAAATTTAAAAAGTCTGGTATCGATCAATTATAATCTTATTTAATTATTCCTTTATTCAATTTGCAAAAGCTTGAACGAAATAGTTAGAGCACTTAAAATATTTCCTGTCTACTAAATTAATTTTTGTTCATACAAGAATAAAAAATGCTAAAAATTACATAGTGGTTACTTCATTATTTTCAGCCCAGATATTAAGTTACAATGTTATTAAAATTAAGAATACAATTTTATTAAAAATAAAGAAACCTACTCCAATATTACCTGATTACTAGCATAACGAAAATTTAAAAAGTCTGGTATCGATCAATTATAATCTTATTTAATTATTCCTTTATTCAATTTGCAAAAGCTTGAACGAAATAGTTAGAGCACTTAAAATATTTCCTGTCTACTAAATTAATTTTTGTTCATACAAGAATAAAAAATGCTAAAAATTACATAGTGGTTACTTCATTATTTTCAGCCCAGATATTAAGTTACAATGTTACTAAAATTAAGAATACAATTTTATTAAAAATAAAGAAACCTACTCCAATATTACTTGATTACTAGCATAACGAAAATGCAAAAAGTCTGGTATCGATCAATTATATTCTTATTCAATTATTCCATTATTCAAATTGCAAAAGTTTGAAAGGGATAGTTAGAACACTTAAAATATTTCCTGCCTACTAAATCAGTTTTTGTTCATCCAAAAATTAAAAATGGTGAACCATTTAAAATTAAAATGTGGGTACTGCATTTTTCAGTCTAGATATTAGGTTGCAATGTTATTAAAACTAAGAATACAATGTTAATAAAAATAAAGAAACCTAATACAATATTACCCAATTACTAGCAAAACGAAATTGTAGAAAGGTCGTTCAATCATAATAATGGTGTTGATAATAAGGCTAACAATGTTAAAAACCAATAAAAATGCTAAAATTAAAAAGAATGGAAAAACTAATAATGTTAAAATTGATAATAATTTTCAGATTAATATTGTTAATAATAATAATATTCTTAATATTATTAATAGATAATATAATAGATATATAATTAATAGATAATATTCTTAAAATTTACAATAATGTCGTTAATTTTAATAGCAATAAGGTTAATAATAATGTTATAAATAATAAGGTTAATAACAATGTAATAAATAACAAAGTTGATAATAAAATTGTAAATAATAACGTTAGTAACAATATTAAAATTAATAATAATGATAATGCTAATAATAATGTTAATAATGGTAATGCTAAAAATAATGGTAATAATGGTAATGCTAATAATAATGTTAAGAATAAGGATGTTAATAATAATAATGTTAAAGTTAAGTAGATAATAGATCTCCAAAATTAGACTGACGCCCTTTAAAAATATATGCATGTAGCAGGAAAACGGTTAAAATTAAATCAGACTGGTGGCAAATTAATGTAACGGGAGGTAAATTTTACTGCTAGAGTTATTGATTTTAATCCGAAAAGTTCCTGATAGAAGGCCAGTGAAAATTTTTGAGTTGGAATCTGATCTGCAATGAACAGCATCATTTTGTAGTCTTTCTCTGTTGTCTGTCTCCACTTGCTGTTGATGAAACACTTACTAAATAATTTTAGAAAGTGGTGATAATATATCTCGAATTTCCTACAAAGTACACGGCAAATCACATGCTATTTTTCTCCATTCATTTTTCAATTAATGATATTTCGAAATGTTGGTAATTCTTGGGACATTAGAAAAGTTTGGTTGAACATTAATAATAAACCAGCTGATTGTACTGCATACATTGCTTAATGTTCATCCATTTTTATAAATGTATGCATTTAACTTATCTAAATCGATTCATACTAATTTAGATATCCTATTTTTAGAAATCTATTTGATTAAGTATTTAATTAACTATAATTCAGATCAACGTGTTAAATAAACTCAACTGTTCAAACGTCATGTTTGGAGATCGGTGGTTCTGAGCCATCATTCCCAGTTCTAATGCGTTTATTTTATACAATACATTGTATTATGCAAATAACCAGTGTTGAGCAGCCGACTCTTTTTTGGGTTTGCGCCTAACAATGTTCAACTTCGTAGCCCTGTAGTTTTTAATATTACCAAGAAGTCAGTATAAGCCTTGTAACTTTTAACACTGAATCAAGAATTGGGATAAACTAACCTCCCGTTACATTTGTTGATGGGATTGGATTAACTGGCGTTTACGTTACATAAAGTAAAACCACGAAAATCTCCCAATCTTTACCCTATGGTCACGGGAGCGAACGCATTATCTGCTTAAGACTAAGGATATTTTACATCGGCACAGCGGTGGGTAAGAGCGGGAGCATAATTTTATCTACCAGCCATCCCTGGTTTTCGAATCTGGATCATCTCATTGGGGGGGGGGGGTTGACCTCTCTATTCCCTGAGCCACAGCTGCTCCCAATTCATTTATTTGAATTACTAAAAATATATCATTCATATATCTGATTACGTTAATGATTTGTTTGAAGACATGGTAACTGCCTTTAAAATACATATTTTTAAATCATTTTCAAAATATGCACCTTATAGTAGTCGCACCTTGTTATTTTAAATAGTAAAAAATGCAAACAACAATCGAAATATGCCAAATAATTAGCGAGGAAGAAGAGAAGAAAAACATCAAAATTCGTTTGATGTTTCTGCGGATGAATCTTGTAAGAATTTCTAATAATCAACTCCTCCCTGCTTTTTCCAATAATCAAACAGGTTCTGATACTTAAATCGCGTTTTTATTAATGTTTTGTTGGATCTAATCAGATCTTTATCTTTGTTTAAATTTTAATTCCAAACCCTAATCCATAAACTTAACTTTATATTTGAAAAAGATTTTAAAATGTTATATGAAGAGTGGTCAATATGGACCACCCTGTATACTTCTGCTTATGTAACTTCATGACAAAATGTACAGTGCTACATCGACAATTGAATTACTGCAAAACATGCATTTTGTATACATTCATTTTAATCGCCTGCATTTTAAAATTAATTTGTACAGATTATTTCTGTAATTGTGTCTGTGAAAGGGGATATACACGAAAAAAATGCTTCTAAAACAAGCTTACTTCTTTCCTTTTTTATATTGAATTCTCAATTTTATTTTATGTATTCATTTTTTTAATTTTCGATTTTCTCATTCATATATTTTCAAATTCATATATTTTCAAATTCATATATTTTCGAATTCATATATTTTCAAATTCATATATTTTCAAATTCATATATTTTCAAATTCATATATTTTCAAATTTATATATTTTCAAATTTATATATTTTAAGCTGTAATAATTGTTTTGTTCTTTATTAATTGTTTTCATTTATTCTTTTAGTAACAGAGTCATCTCGTCCTACTATACCACCAACAAAACCAAAAGGTACTATTTATTATAGTTGCGTAGAAAAAAAATTAACTTACTTTGAATCTAATTATTTAATTCTAAATATGTACTTCTGCAAAAGAAATTAATTTTCCAAAACGATCATGCTAATATTCCTTAAGAGTCTATTGAAATTTTTAATTTTAAAAATTACAGCAACGATCAAACAATTATCATCCATGGAGTTGTAAGTAAGCTGAATGTAAAGCACCTTACTTGCAAGTGAGAAAAAAACTTCCCAAATTTTCATTCATAGGTGCGTTAAGTTTCCCAACTAAATATTTCTTAATCTATCTGCTATAAGAGCCATGTAAAGTATCTTTGTCTTTGCCTAAGGAAATTTTTCAGCATTACCTAAATTGATTTTCATGAGTTTAAACAATATAAATTTTAAACGAAACAAAACTATCCAAAATCACTAACAGCATTACTATATTACTATAAAGTGAAAAAAAATACTCAACAAATTTAAAATTTTAAATATGTATGTAGTACTGCATAAGGTCCTTCCTCTGGAGCCACAGCAACATTTCTACACGGTCCAACTAAAATAATGTTATTTTTTTCGCTGTCTAATAAATCAAGTTACAACAATCACACATTAGCTGTCACAATCAATCATCAATCTCTTTAAAAATAATAATACAAAGAATCAAATAGTTTGAAACATTATTATTACAATTAAGGATATTATATTTTTCGATATCTAAGCAGTCTAGTTATCAATACAATCTGATCTCAGTTAATGGAATAACAGGAACCAACTTTTGAACTTCAACGTTACGGAGAATGCTTATGTACAGTACCCCAAAGAAAACGGACAGCCCTGAATTACTTTTGATCTAATGATCGGATTTTCACGTTCTAGAACTCATTCATATTAGTTCATGGGGGTAACCTCAAATATGCTAATTAAGAGGTACAGACGATATTTTAAGTTGAGAAACTAAACACAAAAAATTACTTTTTCTGAATGAAAATGATTTTTTTCGACGGAATCAGATTTCTGGCTTCCAATATACAGGGGGGGAATATGGTCCCCATACCTTGGTCAGGATAACGATCCAAAGCTTAGACCCCTTAATGTTAATTTTACTTTTTGCGTATTTCGCTGTGTCTCGAGAACTTCTTAAGCGAATTTTAAAAAAACTTGCACCGAATTATGAAATTCGTTTATCCTAAGATAATTTCATGCGAAAAATAATTTTGGTAAATATTTATTATGTTTCATTATTTCATTTACTAATAGTTGAAAAAATTATAAGATATAGAATTTTTTGAAACATTTTAAGGAACGTAATTTTACTTGGAAAATACAAAATTTGAGCGAAATCGGGCGAGTAGTTTCTGAGAAATCAAATTTTGAAAAAGTCGTATACATAAAATTCAATTGCTCAGGAACTATTCAACCGATTTCGATCAAATTTTGGATTTCGGCATGCAAAATTAAATAATTTCAAATGATGTAAAAAAAATTTTGCTTACAACTCAAATTTTTTTCGACTATTATTAAATAAAGTAATAAAAAATTATAAATATCTACTAAAAAAATTTTAACACAAGAAATTTGACACAAAAAAGTCTCAAGATAATGAGTAAAATGCGCAAAAAGTTAAATTGACTCTAAGGGCTCGGAGTTTGGATCTTTCTCCTGTTCATTCAGAAAAAGTACGTTTATGCGTCTGATTTCACGACTTAAAATATCGTCTGCACCAATTAATTAGCATATTTGAAGTCACCCTCTCAAACCATTAAAAATGAGTCCTAGAACGTAAAGAGCCGATCATTAGATCAAAAGTCATTCAGGGTGGTCCACTTTTTATTTTGTGCATTGTATTGCGGAAAAAACTTGTTACAGCTAATGATTCTACCTAGTCAATCTGCAGATTAGTGATTCAGAAAATGTATTAGAAAGTGTCAAGAACTAACATAATTTTAGTTATTCTAATTAAATATTCCATGTAATATAAATATTCTAAATAATGTAAAATAGATAATCTAATAAGACCCTCGTACTTAGATTATATTGTTACACATCTATACTTTTTTTTTATTTGCAGAATGTACAGATCCTATTGGTTTGGAAAGCGGGGCTCTCTCGGATATCCAATTTTCAGCTTCTTCAAATTTTGGCCCTAAGTTTTCTCCAGAACTTGCTAGATTAGGATCAGATACCGTTTGGATGTCGGGAGTATTGGATGAAAATCAGTATATACAAGTAACGTTTCTTTTTTTTCTCTAATAATTTTTAAAAATAAGAGCTTATGAAATTTGAGTAAAATGCATGAAATAAAGATCACAATATGATGAAATATAAAGTACTCGCAATCTATAATTGCTATTTCTACGAGTATCAGGCATGCGAATTGCACGGCGAAAAGAAAACAGCAGAGATAAAATTCCGTTATTTTTTCACTATTTCTGGTGGGCTTCGCTCAAGGGGAGTTAAATGTTGGAAAATATTTTTTCAATCTTTCTGTTTAAACATAAGATATTTGGCTGAATTAAATCCCCACGTAAGTAAAATAAGTAAATCTAATTATTAGTGATGATTATATATTATAAAAGCTCAATGAAGAAGTCTTGGACTGTTTCGGTTTTTTGTTTTTTTTCCTTTCAACAAAAAATAATCTAAGATGTGGAAAAAGGTCAAACAACTCGTTATAAACAATTCGCTATTGTTTTGAGTGCAGTTCGCAACCCTGCAATTTATGAGTATGGGTTTTACTAATTCGAAGTGGATTAAATTGCATTTCTTTTTATTAAGATGAAATATGAAAAAGGATTATCATGTGTGACACAATTTTCTGGGGAAAAACTACTTATATCTGATTTATTTACTTATTATATTTATATTTATTATGATACAGTTACTTAATACCACAGTTGCATATTACATGGATGTTGATAAACAATCATAACAGTTATATACATGTAATTATGGATAATTATTTTGTTAAATAATAAATATTCACAGTGCGTTTATTGGCTTATGTACTGACAGCATTTAAATTAAACATTGCTTGGCAGCTGCGTCAGTACATAAGAATTATTTCATTTCACAAATGCACTTAGGGTCCTAGATATGCAAAATTGTTAATAAATTTATATTTTGAGAAATGGAATTTAACTACTGCTTTTCTCTATCAACCACTTTCTTTACCAATTTTTTTGGAGAAAAAAAATGCAAAAAAATCTGCATCTTTCTTTATTTTATCAATAAAAACAAAGAACTAAAACAAAATCTAACACATAAATTTTAAGTCGAAATTTTAATTTATTTTATGTTCAAAAAACATTTAATTTACCATCAGTTTACTATCTCGAGTAAATGAAAAGAGTCAAATATTAGTCTTTGTATTATAGATTTTGAAACAAGGGACAACGCAAAATACTTCCCAAACGTCAGGTATTTCGAAACAATTAAAAAATCATATTTATATTTATGCTTTAAAAGTAAATTTGTTGATTGCATTCTTACATATAACTTCAAGTTCAAAAAATGTGTTTATCGAGTTTGCATTTATTTTGATTATGATTCTCAAAAAAATTCACAATTACTCTTAAAAAAGCATATTCATAGAAAAAAAAACACTATAGTTTCCTTTTAATTACTTAACACATTACTAAGGAAGATAAATTATAATTATTTTTATTTTTTGCATCATCGTTCATACATATATTACTACTAAGTAAGATTAATTACAATCAATTAGACTTTTTTTCCTAACATACTAATCTTGTTTTTGTATTGATCTAGATCGATTTCATAGATGAAGCCAACATAACTGGATTAAAGACGAGAGGAAGAGAAGACATTCCGCAATGGGTTACCTCTTTTATAGTCGAGCACAGTAATGATGGCTCCATTTGGCGTAAAGTCAAAGATGAAGATGGAAAAGAAAAAGTAATTATTTTAAAGAGAAACTAGTTTAATATTTTACTTTATAAGAACTTTTTTTTAAATTTCGATTCAAAAAGATTATTTTAAAAATAGTATTATCTAGAAAGATTTGATTTAAAAGCTATTCGTACGTAAAATCAAAAAAAATTTAAAACATTTAAGAACATTTTTTATGGGTTTTTCACAAAAAAACAATAAGCAAAATATTGCGTGTAACTTTTAAAAAATTGATTTTATATGAACTCGGCGAATTTTCCAGATATTCTGTTCATTTGATATAAAATTTATCTTAAAATGTGTTGCATGAATTTTTTATAAAATTTTGAAAAGTTTATGGTTCATTTGAATTTATAATTGTAGTTATAAATTATATTGGGGACGCCATATATTATTGTTGTTATTTATGTTCCTATAGTTTCATTACATTTTTCAAAAGCCCCACAATTATTTGTCGGCCCAAAAAAATAATAAATAAAATATTCCCTGTAACTTAATAAAATCGAGTTTATATAAACTCGGCTAATTTTCTAGGTATTCTGTTCATTTAATGTAAAATCTATCTTAAAATGTGTTGCAAGAATTTTTTTATAAAATTTTCCAAAGAGTTGAAAAGTTTGTGATTTATTTGAATTTATAATTGTATTTATAAATTATTTTAGAGTTGTCATGTATTATTGCTGTTATTTATGTTTTTATTGCTTTATTATTGTTATTCAAAGGCCGCAAAAAATAATAAATAAAATATTTGCCTGTAAGTTAATAAAATCGAGATTTTATAAACGTGGCTATATATAATTTCCCAGGTATTCTGTTCGTTTTATCTAAAGATTATCTTAAAATGAGTTGCATGAATTTTTTATAAAATTTTGATTATGAAATTTGTTTCTTAAAATTAAAGAATAGATAAAAAAAACGGTAGTTTACTTGAATTTATAATTTTAGTTATAAATTATTTTGGTGTTGTCATATATGTTTGTTATTTATGCTCTGATAGTTTTATTAATGTTATTCAAAAGTCACTGACTTTTCATTTTTCTTTTTAATTTTATAAGAAATTCTTGTAACACACTTTAAGATATATTATATATAAAATGAACATAATATCAGGAAAATTAGCCGAAAATATATAAACTAGATTTTTAGAAGTAAAAAACAATATTTAATTTATTACTTCTTCATGCAGACCCATAGAAAAGTTGTTTCTTAAAAATTTTGTAAATTATTTCATTTCGTACTTTTCCTCTTAGAATTCATTATTTCTTTGGAAAAAAACTGAACCTTATTTTTTCCCCAGAAGCATGTTTCAAAAGCATAACTATAAACAAAATACGCACGTGATTTCAGGTAACTTTAGAAATGCTAATTTGGTGGCGTAGCACTGGTCCTAATGCCATTCACGTAGATGACTGAAGATATAAAAAATAATTAAACATTAAAGAGCGGGTGATAAAATCTTAAACAGGATCATAAACAATTTCATTTATAAAAAAAGCTGATGTTAAACTAATGCAAGAGAAATAATTTTTCAAACATTTCACCCGAACGGAATACTTAATATTTTTATTATCATTTATAAATAATTAAATTCCTTAGTTTACACCAAATTAGAACTGTATTATAATTCCATATTCCAATTTCATAATTTATCGGTGAACCGATTAATCTGAGGCTGAGAAATTACTTAAGCGAATGTTTTACTTGGGCAAAAAAACACCAGCGTCTTCTAAATTTGAAAACCTGAAGTAAGAGGTAAAGGTTTCTGTGAGACATTTTAGCTATGAAAGCATTTAAAAGCTCTTTCTTTATGATCACTTAAGGATTTTAACTCTTAAATGTGGATAATTTTTAAATAAGGATTTAAAATTAAGAAAACCCTGGATAAATGAGCTATTTTTTCAAAGGTTAAAAGGATCAAATAATAAAATAAACGAGATAAAACAAAAAAAAATCAACTTTAAAATTAAAAACGGTAAAGAATGCAGTAAAAGCAAAATTAAACTAAACATTCTGAGAAATATTTTTTTAATCTACCAATTAGTAAATTATTCAAAAATTAAATGTTTTTAAAGTTTTTTTAACCATAAGACTTTTCTTAAGGACATTGACATTTCTATTTTGAATTATACTCAAAATTTTAGAAAATCTAGTGAACTTAATATTACAGTAAACCTATATATATATAACCTTAATATTACCGTAAACCTATATATATATAACCTTAATATTACAGTAAACCCATATATATATATAACCTTAATATTACAGTAAACCTATATATATGTGTGACATTAGGTCACAGCCTAATTTTCTAACTATCCTGTTTTTTTAATCAAAATACTAATTCTTTTGACTTAATTTATAATTTTGTAATACAATTTTTTTATTTCATCATCTTTCTTTTGCCATTTAAGCGGTAGCGCAATTTGGACATTCTCCCCCTAAAATTCCTTACCAGCTCCTTGCAGAGCCCCTGTCTTACTAGAACATTCCACCCTTTTTCGTTTCTGAGAATTCGCACTGGTTGTCGGCATCTTTCATCTCCGCGTGTATGTTGTGTTTCTCAACCGTAACTTTTAACGTATAATCAATTTTTCGTCTCAACTCGTAATTTTTAGATAATTTAACTTTAACTTGCACAACATGTACTACAACTTCAACCATTAAGTTTTTGTCTCTTATAAAAAGAGCGCGCGAAAGATGACGATCGCATTCGAAATTCGAGAGTATCATACTCCACGTCGCGCTGTTGCGTGTTTTANTTTTTCCCCAGAAGCATGTTTCAAAAGCATAACTATAAACAAAATACGCACGTGATTTCAGGTAACTTTAGAAATGCTAATTTGGTGGCGTAGCACTGGTCCTAATGCCATTCACGTAGATGACTGAAGATATAAAAAATAATTAAACATTAAAGAGCGGGTGATAAAATCTTAAACAGGATCATAAACAATTTCATTTATAAAAAAAGCTGATGTTAAACTAATGCAAGAGAAATAATTTTTCAAACATTTCACCCGAACGGAATACTTAATATTTTTATTATCATTTATAAATAATTAAATTCCTTAGTTTACACCAAATTAGAACTGTATTATAATTCCATATTCCAATTTCATAATTTATCGGTGAACCGATTAATCTGAGGCTGAGAAATTACTTAAGCGAATGTTTTACTTGGGCAAAAAAACACCAGCGTCTTCTAAATTTGAAAACCTGAAGTAAGAGGTAAAGGTTTCTGTGAGACATTTTAGCTATGAAAGCATTTAAAAGCTCTTTCTTTATGATCACTTAAGGATTTTAACTCTTAAATGTGGATAATTTTTAAATAAGGATTTAAAATTAAGAAAACCCTGGATAAATGAGCTATTTTTTCAAAGGTTAAAAGGATCAAATAATAAAATAAACGAGATAAAACAAAAAAAAATCAACTTTAAAATTAAAAACGGTAAAGAATGCAGTAAAAGCAAAATTAAACTAAACATTCTGAGAAATATTTTTTTAATCTACCAATTAGTAAATTATTCAAAAATTAAATGTTTTTAAAGTTTTTTTAACCATAAGACTTTTCTTAAGGACATTGACATTTCTATTTTGAATTATACTCAAAATTTTAGAAAATCTAGTGAACTTAATATTACAGTAAACCTATATATATATAACCTTAATATTACCGTAAACCTATATATATATAACCTTAATATTACAGTAAACCCATATATATATATAACCTTAATATTACAGTAAACCCATATATATATATAACCTTAATATTACAGTAAACCTATATATATAAAACCTTAATATTGCAGTAAACCTATCAAGAGCCACAGTGGCTCAGGGGATAGTGTGTTCGCCTTCCAATGGTTTGAATGGGTCGAATCCCAGAGATGGTTGGTCGATACGAATTTCGCATCTGGCTTGCACCAACCACAATTCTGACGTGAAATATCCTCAGTAGTAGACGGATCATGGGTTAAAGTCCCCTTGCCATCAGGATAACCGTGGGAGATTCTCGTGGTCCTCCTCTCCATGAAACGCAAATGCGGGTTAGTTCTATCGAAAAAGTCATCCACGAAGACGCAATTTCTCCCAATACTTGATCCAGGAGTTCTCTTGTCTTCTGGATTGGGTTCAAAATTACAAGGCTACGTATTTGAACATTAGTAGTCGTAAACCTAAAAATTGGGATGACTATTCAACGACGGTTATAACATAAAATAAAAAGTAAACCTATCTAGTAATCATTCAACAATCTAGAGCATGGAAAAAAGAAATTGTAACCCACGAACAACGTATTTGGAAGTTAAGAACAATGTTTAGCAAGCTATTATAAGAGTAAAATTTATTAAAGATGAAACTTCGTTAAAACTTATTAGTTTTGACATTATTTTTCTTCAGAAATGCTTTAAATGCTCAAGAAAAATTACTATTTCCTCAAGATTCAAACAATCTTCTCATACCATTCATTTTACCCAGTCCTCAAGCTATATTTGCATATTGCAAAAGTCTAAAATCGTTTAAATTCTCCAAGATTTTTAACCTTCATTAAAAACGAATAAATAAAAAAACATTTTTAGATTTTATACATTACGACATTTTCTACCTCTCATAAATTATTCATGAATATTTAAATTCAAACTATGATAATATTCAAATAAGCTCTTTTTTTCTTAACTGAGTTTTAAATAAGTCATTTCTAAAGAAAACTTATAAAATTTCCAACTTAATTATATTGTTTGAAAAGCAATTTCATTTTTCATCCCTTTAAATTGATAATGTAAAATTTTTTTAGGAGTTTCCTGCTAATTTTGATCCTGTTTCTGTTGTTACGAATGAATTTTCGTCGATTATACGTGCACGCTATTTAAGAATTGTGCCCAAAACCTGGAAAAACTGGATCAGTATGCAAATAGAAATATTAGGATGTTATAATCCATTGCGTAAGTAGAGAAAATTTTGTAATTTATATTCAATATTTAATTCGGTAAATTTCTATTTTTAATAAACTTTTTTGTGTGATATAAAGCAAAATAAGTTTGCTAATTATACTCCGTAAAAACCGTCTTTAATGCACTGGAAAAAAATGGATACTCAAAATTAACTAAATGTTTTTTTTTCTTTTTTTTTTCATGATTCCGTTTCATAGGTGATGCTACATTTTGAAATACTGTTGAAATTATTTGTTTGAGGATGCGATTTTCAACAAAATCATTAAACTTAAATTTACATTCAAAGTTTTAAAATTTGTACTTAAATATCGCAGATCAAATTTTCAATTGCTAAACGAGACACTAAAAACATTCAGGCGCTTTTGAATATACTTGCCTTTTTTTTCTTGATGGATTTAGATTTTTAACCCTTAACATATGAGTGGTAGCATTAGAAATGCATTTTACCATTACTGTTTCACTCATCCACAGTGGTTTTTCCTGTCCAGTTTTCTTTCTTGTTTTTATTCTCTCTCAGCTTTTAAGGTTTTAATAGTTTTCTCACCCATATTATCCATTTTTTGATGGCAACTTAACGCTTTAAACAACAAGTCACTTTTGCTTCCTTTCATTAACGTTTGGCAAGTCTTGAAAATGGGCTCCTATTTTTCAGTGCTTGAAACATGTCGACGGCTATTTCTAATAAGTATATTTTTGAAGCGAAAGAAGTTTTTATCATGTAACGTCTCACCACTTCAGTTTGTTGGGATTATTTATTTTTTGTAATTTAAAAAATAAATGAGTTTCTAAACTATTTTACACCAATGTACTCTTTATAGAACAGTGCACATAAAAAGCAAGCACTAATAATAATTTTTGATCTAATGATCGTATTTCCTAATAATATGAATCAATTTTAATGGTTCTAGCTGATAATATTGTGAATGTAGACACTAAAAACATACCTCCCCATAATATGGTCCCCATACTTTGGTCAAGTAAGTGATCCAAATTTTGGACCCCTAATTCTAATTTTACTTTTTACGTATTCCACCATATCTCGAGAACTTTTTAAGTGACTCAAGAAATTTTTGCGTTCAGTTATAAAATTCGTTTGTCCAATGACAATTTCATACAACAAAAAAAAACGCTTGGTAAATATTTATTATTTTTTATTATTTAAATATAGTCGTAAAAGGTTTGAATTGTAAAGTATTAAATTTCAGACATTTTAAAGAAAGTCATTTTGCTTGGCAAAATGCTAAGTTTGAGCGAAATTGGTTTAATAGTTCCTCAAAAATCAAATTTAAAATGTACGACTTTTTTAAAATTTACTTTCTCAGGAACTATTAGATCGATTTCGCTCAAATTTTCTATTTTGCCATGTAAAATTACGTTCTTTAAAATTATGTCAAAAATTGTATACCATAATTTAAAATTTTTTCGACTTTATTAAATAATAAAAAATAATACATATTTAAAGTTTTTTTTGCATGGAAATGTCAATGGACAAAAAAAATTTATAACTGTGTGCAAAACTTTTTCGATTCACTTTAGAAGTTCTTGAGCTATTGGTGAAATACAAAAAAAGTAAAATTAACACTAAGGGGTTACATACTTTGGACAACTCTCTTGAACAAACTAGTTAGACTATATTTCCCAGATCGCGATTACCCCTATATTTTGGGGCTAGAAATCCAAAATCATAAAAAAATGGTAGATTTATTCAGAGAAAATACGTTTTTGTGTCTAATTTCGTAACTTAAAGTATCGTCTACGCGAACTATTTAGCATATTTAAGGTCACCCCTTCGAACCATAGTCCTAGAATGTGAATATCCAATTATTAAATCAAAAGTTAAAAGTTTTTCTTTTATTTTGCTCACTGTATATCTATGCGTATTGACTGATTTTTTTTTCATTAATACCTTTTAATAAAAATACTGTGTATTAATTCAGCTTGTAGAGAACCGATGGGATTGGATGAAGGATACGTAAATATTCATCAGATATCATCTTCATCTAAAATGTCCGAACTATATTCAGCCTATAACGGACGTTTATCTTCTGAAAACTCATGGGTTCCAGCAAAGTATGACCATGATCAATTCATTCAGGTAGGGATCCTCTCTTTACAACTTAACAAAATATTTTTTTAGCTCACATTTCCTACTTCGCTATTCATGTTGTGTACTAAGTAATACTATCTTCGATATCAAAATTAGATGCCCATTAGAGGTCAAAAACGTGAAAATGGAGAATAAAACGTTATCAAATTCAGGCAGTTCACTATTGGGGAAAGAGAGATGTATAGTATTAAAGTCAATTTGATGGCCTTATGAATTTTTAGCTTTCTCATTTCACCGCCCATCAATCTCCTCTAGTAATCATGCAGGTTTTGATATTTTTACTACCATCTTCTTCAATAATGACTCGTCAGATTTTAATTAAAAAAAATATCCTCTCTTCAATATTAATATGAGACCAATAATATCTTGTTTCAAATTTTTAGAAAGATTCTAGAACAATTCATTTAACATATGCAAAAATAATTGTAAAATTTTAATATATGTAAAATTCAAAACTTTGTATAAAAATAATTTTATTTTCTAAGAAGTAAATTTTTAGTAAGAATAACTTTAAAATAAAAAACCTATTTTTTATATATTTTCATAATAATTGCATTTATTTATTATGATATCTGATATTAAAATTAAACAGTTTGATTTTAAAAATTATGCTTGCATACACGTCTACAAATGTAAAAAGCAAAAACACTTAACCTAAATTGGTTAAATTTTTTCTATTGCTTCATTCAAGGCCACTTTCGTCAAATCACTTTTTATTAATTCTTTATTGAAGTTCACAAATTTGTTCTATAAAAATAAAATCAATTACAATTATTATTTATATATGACTATTAATATATATTTAGATTTAAAAAATATAATTCGTTGTTGGGAATGAACAGTGCTCAAAATGAAACACGAAACTAAACTGCTGTTTGTAGAAAATGCAACACCATGAAAGAATCATCAGAATCAAATGAAATTTAATGCAGAAACGACTTGTACTGATACAAATAAATGATGAAATTTTCAAAANGGAAGCTCTGAAGCCTCTCTCCGCTATGAACAGGCTGCTCGTGCACATTTGAAGCTTATTTATCAAAATTATCTGAATTTCACAATTTCTAGAAATTATTATTAAAAATTGTATTTAATAAACTCAGAAATCCTTATCGTAATGTAATGATTTTTCGATCTTAACTACTTTGTCGAATAATTTTCAATGACCACTTCTGAGCCCATTTGAATAATTAACATAAAACTAAAAACATTTATATCCATAAAAGCACCGTTTCCAATGCGCATGAATAGCCAGTTCAAAATAGGGAGGATCCCCTAGCGGTGTACAATAACATTTTGGAAATCGATTGTTGTGTCCTTTAAAATTACTGTGTCCTCTGCTCTATATTGATCAATTCCTTTGATGTGGCTTACCTTTCCTCCAAGTTAATTGCCGCTGTATTACCATGTATACAATAGATAGTTATGTCAATATAATATAAATTTATGTGCATAGTATTGCAATATCTTGATTTCAAATATATGAGTGCATACCTGCCAACTCTTCCGGATTTTCCGGAAGTTTTTATTTTCATATTTAAAGTGGTAGTAATTATATACTATTTTTTCTTTTGTAATATTATTTTTTAAAAGATATTGATCACCTATATTCTTACAAAAATTAAGCACATATATTAATATTCGTTACTATCATGGTTGTCAACATAAGTTTTTTCAAATACAACGTATTTGTTTGCTCAAAATTGAAGTTTTAATTCCATTTTAATACCTCTGGGGAAAATTATAATGGAAGGGATTAAAAGTTGGCAGGTATGTGAGTGTTTTAAAAAGTTTTATCCTAAAACATTTTAAACATTAAAATTTTCATTTATGAAATGATGGAAAACCACTGAAAATATTTCCGTTATATCTTTTATTAATAGTTATTATGTTTTCTAATTTTAGGTTGATTTATTAGAGCCAGTCAAAATTACAGGAATAGTTACAAAAGGTGACCCGGCTATAAATCAGTGGGTGACAACGTATTTTGTAGGATATAGTAACGATAGCACGGATTGGAATAAAGTGCAAGATCTAAATGGGAAATTCAAAGTGAGAATGATTATTTGTCTTTCTTTTTATCAAAAATGGTATTGTAGATATAAATTAAATAAAGTTTAATTTTCTTGTCCGACTTAGCATTCATTACATGGCCTAATATTATAGCATTACATACAAATTCTCCTATTTTTGTTTACTCTTAATTATCCACTAATTAGGCTAAATAATACAGTGTTAAAGAACGCACACTTAAAACTCACAAAAATTTCATTGACGAAACTGTTTCCTGATAAATGCCCCGTCAAACACTTCGTCAAATTGCGGAAGTTAAGATCTTAACTCTTTGAGGATACGAATGTAGTTATAATCAAAAAGCTAGATGCAACGTATCGATTAAAATAATTGATTAAAAAAGTGAAATGTTTAAAAAAAAACTGCGTACTCACTCATTGCTATAGAGATCGATAAGGTAGTGTACTAACCCCTGCACTGTCCAACTAATGAATAATTATGGTTTTTATTCTTACCAATAATTATGCACTGAGATGAGACACGAGTGAAAAAGCAGTTCGGACAAAGAATTAGGAGAGCGTTTTATCATAATTCATATTATTTCATGAGCCGGCCAGTTGGTCGAGCGGTTAGCGTGCCTGCCTGCGGAGCCAGAGGCTGCTGGTTCGAATCCCGCTCTGGGCACGGATGTTTCTTTCTCTCTCTTTGTGTTCTATGCCCTTTCTCCTTTGTGTGTGTGATTGTGTGAATGTGACCCGCCCTATAGACGGGTTTGTGGTTGTGTGACGTGGGCGATGCTGCTCCACCGCCATGGCTTCGCCACAGGTGCCCACTGGGTTACGAGAAGAGGGTAGCAGTTCTGGCACTTTCTGAGGCCAATGGACAATAGTTCCAAGTGCCCGCCATTAAAAAAAATAGTATTTCATGAGGTTTTCGTGAGGAATTCACCTTAATTCAATTGACAGAAAAAAATTCACTACAAAGATAGTCATAGATAAAGAACTGCCGAAAATTCGCATTTCATAACTTTCATAGGGATGTCTTTCTAAACGAAATACACCATAAAATGTGAAATAAAATTAATCCATAACGTCATTTTTGTCTATAAATGGAATCTATATCAATTTGTATCAAAGTCAAAATACTAATCAAGCTATTGTGGCAATCTCTTGATTAGTTTTTTTAGTTACTCCGTGATACAGCTCTTAATGTATATTTTTAGTCTTCTTTTCACAAAGGAAGCCAAAAAAAAGTTTACACGACATTAGGGATCGTATATTAATATTTAAGCGAGTTAAAAAAAAACACTGTCGAAATCTAACAAATTATTTCTATTACATCAGGCAATTTAACCAGTTTTAATGATTTTCATTGTATCTTCCTCATTACCAATAAAAACAGTTTTGATGACATTTCTTCCTTTCCTAAGTAATAATTTGAAACACGAAGTATGTATATCTTTTTTTAATCATTTTTGATCATTTTTAATCATTTTTTTAATCATTTTTGACTTGCAATGGATACCGGCGCACGTGAATATTGAGGGTAACGAGTGTGCGGACTCCTTGGCTAAGGAAGGCAGAGGTGCCGACCAACCTTGCAACACCATCACGCTTGCAGATGCAAATGTAGTTGCAAGACGCAGACTTCTGCCCCATTCCTTCAGGAAACCCCTCATTACTGACTTTGATTGTTCCAGAATCTTAACATCAACAATTACAAGACTAAGAACAAACCACTTTAAAGGGATGAAAATTCTTCTCGACAAAATAAGAACTTATATTCCCTGCAAGAACTGCAACGATATCCAACTTACCCCAGATCACATTCTCGAGTGCCCAGCCCTTACCCCATAAGTTTTACAACTCGGTATGGTGCCACTGGCTTCAGAACTTCGTGAGATCCTCTGCAGTAATGATGTATCGGAGCTTGCGGGTGCAGTTTTGAAGGCATACGAGGACATTTCATTGTCCATGGAAACGATTAAAAAAAATCATTTTTGACTAGGATTCTATTACTAAAGATATTGGGACTCCATTACCTATTGCTAAGGATTAAGTCTAGTCATTACAGATAACTCTATATTTCGTGTTAGTATTTTGTATTAGTATTATTTTAATACTTACTAAATTGAAAATGTATATATATATTTTGTTTTACAGGAATTCAATGGAAACAGTAATCCAGATTCTGCTGTAATAAACATATTCCCCATTCCAACTATCAGCCGATACATCCGACTTATACCAAATAAAAGGCATCACTGGACAAGTGTTAAGTTAGAGCTCCTTGGTTGTTCCCACGAACAAGGTAAGGATAAATTATTTAGACAGGGTTGTAAACTTTTTTTTTCCAAATGGCAGGCACTGAACTTTATTCTTCGCCTAAGAAGATGCCGGAATTGTTACTCATTTTACGTTACCCAGTGGGCACCTGTGAACCAAAGTCACGGAGGCGAGCAACATTACCCACGCCACACTGCCACAAACCCGTTCATATGGTGGGCCGCATTCATACATCACACACAACAGAGGACAACACAAGAGAGAAACATTCATGCCCAGAGCGAGATTCGAACCCGCAGTCAGGCGCGCTTACCATTCAGCCACCTGGCTGGCAGGGTTGTAAACTTGGAGGGTGAGATATCTACTAACAAAATTATTAAAAAATATCCTTTTCTGTTATTCGAAAATATTGATTTAATTTAATACCAATAAATATAAAGTTGAAATCATTACAATTAAAGTTGAAATCATTACAATTACTTTAGTTTTGCATTGAAACTAACTTTATTTTAAGCTTTACAATATTTAGTTGTTTTTTATTTATTTATTTATTTTTGCGCAACTAAATACTCACAAATTGCCTTAGCATTTCGATAAATTAAGTTTTTGCCTTATCTTTTTCAAAGTCTGCCGTTTCTGTGCATTCATTCCTCTAAATTAACCTCTAGTCAATTAAATCTATGCTAATAAAACAAAAAAATTGCCATTTCGTGTCTTTTTTTTAATAACACTAGAATGGTTTGTGCAAACAGCCTGGAATATGAACAGTGGGTAGAAGATGAAACTTCAGACCCCAAAACAAAAATCGGTAAGGAAGTTAGAAAAATGATATATCTTAATGATTCACACCTAGCCATTGATAAAAATTAAGCTTCAAACGATTCTGTTTTATCAAATAAATTAAAGATAACATCAGTGATGTTTGCTAATTTATAGCTTATATTAATAAAAAAGGGTTTGCTGCTCATTCTTTTATATGTAATTAATTTTATTTGGTATTCCAGATAAACTCAATGATTAACGTGAACGTGGTAGCATAGACGGACTACGTTTCCAAATTAGTGTTCCTAATTATGCTAATTTGAATAAATGCTTACTTCATTGATGCTTATATAATTTTTTTAATAGGCACTACTGATATTATTGTAATTTGTGTAGTTTTATAAGGTACCAAGTATACTAATTTAAGTATAATGAGTACCCATTGGAACTGCATCAATACTAAACAGCTTTAATATAAATACTATAGAAGAAGATTTTTTTGGAATCTCGAATAGGATAAGTGCCAGCGAAAATTGCTTGATTGAGATACATTTTACCTTCATGAATTTGTTTTAAACAGCAGGGTCAATGATATTTAAGGCAGTCAATCTTTATTTTGATTTTTATAGAAACATATTTTACTTTATATTGCAACAAAATAAAGCCACGGGTAAGGACGAAAAATAGTAAGAAATAAAACGTATTGTAATTACTTTAGCATTTTTGATAATTGTGTAAGTTACATGTTTTTCATTTCTGAGCACGATTTTGCAGTGATACTTAACTTTTATTTACCTCGTACGCGGAACAGTTATTCAACTAATACTAAAAAAAACTAGTTTTACTAACGTTATCAGGTTACCTCGTATCGTAAATTTATACATACACAGTACCTGGTCAAATTATCAGACGCACTATAAGATTTTATGCAAAATATTAATTATCAGGTGATACTATACAGCTTTTTTGCTTTTACGCGGCTGAAACCGGTTTGCACTTATTTAAGCTCGTGCATCAATCGGTTAATATTGTAATGCAATACGTCAAAAATAAATACAAATAGGAAGTATATAAAAAATCTCCTGAATAAAAATCCATTACATGTTTGTTTAAATAAAAAAGTATTGCAAATAAACTCGTGCAAAACATGTAATTATTTAAAAAAACAATAGTGTGTCTAATTATTTGGTTTAATTATTGTAATATACTACTACAATACCTGATATAATAAATATTCTATGTTTATAGAATGTATCATCTAATTTATCTAATCGTCAAATTTTTATTTTATATTGTCTATCTTAACCAAATGATACACGAACGTAAACAAGTGCAAACCGGTTTCAATCGCAGAAAAACGATAATGCTGTATAGTATCACTTGATTATTAAGATTTTACATAGAACCTTACAGTACGTCTAATAATTTGGCCTGAGACTGTATATGCATGTTTATGTGTACATCGAAGAGCCATTACATTGTGACCATCCATTACATAACATGTAGGACCACCTTTAGCCGTCAAAACTGCTAGCACCCGTCGTGGCATTGATTCCACAAGGTGCTGATAGGTAGTCTGAGGTATCTGGTACCAAGCGTTCACCAACTGGTGCTACAATTCCCTCACATTGCGAGGGGGTGGCATGACAGCACGAATTTGGTTTTCCAAGCAGGAACACAAATGCTCTATTGGATTAAGGTCAGGTGATTTTGGGGGCCAAGACATGACTTGAAAGTCACTGGAATGTTCCTCGAACCAATCCATGACGATTCGACCCTTATGACATGGTGCATTATCCTGTTGGTAAACACCATCCCCGGCAGAAAAAACTGTTGCCAGGACTGGGTGAACCTGGTCTGCAACTATGTTCAAGTAGCTTACAGACGTCAGGGATTGTTCTATGAGGATTATGGGTCCTAATGTGCCCCATGAAAACATTGTTCCTGGGCGAGAAACCATGAAAGCCTGGGCGAGCCCATTGTTAAAGATGGAGGGTGGTCATAGTATAATGGCTCTTCGGTGTATGTATATGAATGTATATTGAATATGATCTTTTGCCAAAATTAAGAGATTATACTATTTTTTTTTGCAGCCTGCCGAGAGCCCATGGGATTAGAAAATGGTCTTGTAACTGATGGTCAAATCACAGCTTCGTCTTCTTACGACTATAAAACTACTCCAAGTCATGCACGAATAAATGATAAATCTGGATGGCAACCGGATATATTTGACAAGAATCCCTACATTCTGGTTCGAAAATAAATTCAAAAGCATTTCTGATAATTTATTACATTATAATTTGCAAACAAAATTTAATAACTCCTTCATCTCGCTGTATCTGACAGTAATAATTATTGTATTTTTGTTTTGTTCTTTTTAGCTGATATTTCTTTTTTAAAAAAAAGATGTCATTTTAAAAATAAAATATGCAATTGTTATAATTTTTTTGTTAACCCAATTTGTTAATATATTACTCGTTATCGAAACGAGATTAATGAATACTTGGATTGTGAAAATAATCAACTTTTTTCGGAGTAAAAATTTCAGAAAAAAAAACCTTAAAAAAACCTCATTTTAGAGGTTTTTTAAAGAATATTTAAGGGTTTTTGAAGGCAATCAAACGCTAGAATTTTCCTATTTCCTAAAGCTAGAAATATCCTCGACCTTAAAAAAAACATCAGTGTAGGGTATACCGGGCAATGGTTTTTTAAGGTCAAATGCCATTGCCCGATATACCCTACACTGATATTTTTTAAGGTCAAGGGCCACTGCCCGGTATATATTCCAAACACTGATGTTTCTTCTAATCTATCGTCAGTGAGCATTAAAATATCGAATAAATGTAATTATATCCCCGAATAAATTAATATCAAATCGGGTGTAATAAATATTTCGGACATTCACCAAAGCGACTATGTGATTGTCAACATTCACCGGTGAAAGTCAACAACCACCGATTTCGGTCATTCACAGTAACAGGCACATCATTTACATAATAACCTCATCAGGGCGTTTATTTCATACTTTGCCAAAAAACATCAGGCATTATATATAATGTCTAGGCATTATATATTAGTTAATTTTGGTATGTGAGGTATTTGATTACAATTTTAAACTTCTATTGTTTTCTTTCTTGTGTAATTAACTTTTATTCAAGACTAGACAAGACAAGAAGACAAGACGAGACAGGCAAGAAGATTTAAGATAAAAGATCTTAGACAAGAAGATTTAACTTTTATTCATTAATTAATATTTATAACAAGTTAAATCATCCATTGTATTTAAATGCTCTGTAAACACACTGTTCTTAATTTATATTTTTAAAATATTAACTAAAAATGAAAATAAAAAACATGCACTTTTAATTAATAGTTAGGTAAGGCACACAAGCGTTTTAAATTAATAGTTAGGTAAGTTTGAATAAAACAAAAGGACGAATCTTAGTCACTGATGCATAAACTTAAAAGCATCAGACCCAGTTTAATTGCCATTGATTGATTATTTACACTAATGCAAGGTGTTTTCACCTATTACCATCCATTGCCTTTGAATGTCATACAAAATTCAAACTTATTTTGATGCTTAAAAATCTTCTCCCCTGTAAAATCTCCTCCTGTGTATAACTTTGATAATGAATACTTAGATTCAACTTATATTTTTTGTCGCTTTTTTTACTAAAGTTAAATGCATATATATCAAGAACAGTGCTTATAAAACACTCTGTATAGCTTTGAAAATATTTATCGTAATCAAATATCTTAATTTGCGTGATTTCTAGATTGATCTGATGGAGCCGAGAAATGTAAGCGCCATTGTAACCAAGGGAATAGCATCTAGTAATCAGTGGACAACAAAATACCGCGTGCTATCCAGTCAAGATGGTGAAAAGTTTGTTCCAATTGTTGATGATTATGGAAATGTAGAAGTAAGTGTAGTTAAGCACTAGATCTTTTTTTTTTAAATTTATTATTTTCTTATACTTGGCGTTTCGCAAAGAATTCCCAGGATGTGTATTTTTAAAATCCTTGTCTAATGAAATCACCCCATTGATGTCGCAAAATTAGTCTTTAGTAGAGAAAAAAACGTTTTTGCAATCTGTAAATCATGCTAGAGGAAGGAAAGAGTAATTAGCAAGAAAACAGGTTTGATTGGAAGAGGAAACCGATTATTCGAAGCATTACATCCACTTTTCTCTGCCATAATTTTTCATACTTAGATAGAATTCTTGTTGGGCTTTTTTCCTCGCTAAAAGATTAGCTTCCGACCCCAGTGTGTGTACTTTTTATTTTTATTTTCGTTATCAATTCTGAAAGTGCAATTCTAAGGCTGATCTTTAAGGAACATCCTACATGTGAAAAGTAATTGAACGCTGTATATCTTTGAATTTTTACAAAAAGAAGGTTTTAGTAGCACATTAATAAGTAATTCAGAGTGTTTACTACAATATTAAGTTACAATATTCTTGAACAGACAAGTCATTTCATAAAAACATGCAACGATTGGGTTGACCATGATCTCTACGATGAAGTTTTTCTACCTCAAATCACAGTTAGTTGAAATACATAAGTTTTTCATAATGGTGCGTTAACACCTGATTCGATTATTGGTTTGTTTTCTCGCCTCAATGGCCATTGTTTTTCCTGATTTATATGCTAATTTATAATTTTACGTAATTAAAAAAGAGAAATTAATGACAAAAGGAAGTTTTATTTTAAGTATTACTAAAAAAAATCATTTATTTAAGTTTACTACCGGGCTTTCATGGATTTTTGAAATAAATTAATATAAATGTAACATAAACAACAATTAATATGAATAGTTATTAAAAACAATAAAATATAGAGAAAGAACATCTGCTCTTTGAACAACGACATTGTAAAACTACGACATTGTTGTACCTGTTTCAAAGCGTTGTTCAAATTCGCAATTTTCAACTAATCACGAAAGGCAAGATTAGGCCTTAGTAAAGACGACACGATAAAATAGATTATTAAAGATTGTAGTAAAGAGATAAGAAAGTCTTTAGCAAAGAGATATGATAAAATAGACTATTTTTAGTGAATGCAATTCCGATATTTGGGGTACAATGCAAAGAAAATGGAAACTCTATCTCACTGGCAATGGAACTTAATCTCAAAATTCATTCATTGCTGTTAATATTTTGTAACAAACATGTAATTCCACGTTCCATGACAGGATTCAAACCTGTGACCATGTGTCCTACTTGAATGCTCATCCTTAACAGTGCCAGTAACAGTGCCTTAACAGCTCAGTAATAGTAAGCGAATCATTTTTGAAATCAAATTATAAATCCTTAACAGCAAGGTCTTTTTTAATCCTCTATTGTAAATTTCTCAAACTGTTTATTTTAAATTCATAGCTACTGGTTCTACTGTGTGTCCTATCTAAATAAAACCAACTTGATTTTGTACCATAAATGGGTGCGAAGAAAATCGATGAGGACATATTTACAAAGAGTTGCGCACTTTCTGCTTCACTTGGACATGAAAAAAACATCGAATAAGTAAAAAAGTGTCCCACCTAAGTAAAGCCTCTTTGGATTATACCTAACATATCCATCATGATTATTGATAACTAATAAATAAAGTTGCGTGCTATTTACAAAACCTCGAGGGACATTAATGTGTATTATCATAGGTTTCTATTATGGCAGTCTTCAATTTTGCCATAAAATGAATGCTTTTATTATTTATTTTTCTTTTTAGCATAAACACTCCTATTGGGTGTAGCTCACCTCACATTTTTATGAGAGAATAGGTCTGGTAAAAAGGTAAACTATCCATGGCCTGCATGATATTATCACCCTATTAATGATCATTGCGAAAGCTTTGCAACGCAAATGAAGGCATTCCAACTTAAACCCCATTTCTCTCTGCAAATGTCAATAAATGGATTTCTACAATTTGTCGGTTATCGTCTGCCTCTATACAGTATAGGGGAGAGGTTAGGTTAAGTTTACCACCATAGCTTAAGCCTTCTCATACAATTAATGAGTCTTTACCCTGATATATCTAGAGAAGATATCCTCTTCCTTTCTCATGCTATTGTAATAACACACGAAACTATATAATTCATATTTTTTTCTACTTTCCTTTGCTTGTTGGAGCAGGCTTTCCACATGGGCTACTGCCAACTTTTTTTATATTAAAAGTTTCTTGCAGAGTATATAAAACTAAGCAATAGATAAACAAAAATAAAAAGATAAATTTCTCCAAATGAAAAGAAGTGTGGAGGCTCATAAAATCTGCGGGGAAGTCTTCGGCTCTGGTTGCCAACTTCAAGAATTGTTTCCTCAAGACCTCATGAGGGCTACCAATTACCAAAATAAACTAGAAGCTAATTAAATGGAATTTGAAGAAAGTAGTAGTTTCTTAAGTGGTGATTTTTGGATAATAGAGTGTATGTCATAAATGGCCTGTCCTTTCTCGACCTTAATCCCCAAAAATTCTAATAGTTTATCCTCAATTAGGGTACAAGGAAACAGTTTTAGTTAGTTGCCATACTAAAAGAAAACACAAATATTTTTAATTCAAAATAGAAAAAACTTCTTTGAAAAAAATGCGCTAAAAAGCAGCAGAAATTTCATAAAAAAGTAGCAATAAAGAAAAAGAAAATGAAGGAAATATAAATGAAAATATGACCACCGAAGCCGACGTCTTCAGGGGGTACCGGCCCCGGTAGTCATAGAAACAAAACCATTTCTAATGGAGGGAGAAGCAAATGCTTAAATTAACTCCCTCAGTACTTTTGCATAGAAGTCCAGGAAAAAATGCAATATAAATAACAAATTAAGAAAAGAAACTCAAACAAAATCATCAGAAAAATAAAACTCACATATTCACAGGTCAGACATCAATTTTTCAAGCAAGCCGAATGAAAAGAAAAAACTAAAAACCTAAAGAAAACAACGCCCTCTATTACAATGCGCAAATGAAGAAAAAAATGTGAAAAATGTCAAGAGAAAGAAATACGTAATAAATTAACTGAGGCTGCTCAGTTAAGACTTAAATTGCGCCCTGTTAAAAGAAAAAATATAAAAACCTAGAATTCTTCAATCATTTTTTTAATTAAAAAATTAACATTACAAAAATTAAAAGGAAAATCATTATTACTCAAATTATTTAAAAAACAATTCACAGCTTCCTGAAAACTTTCAACATTATTGCAAATACTTTTGATTCTAACCAATTGTGAAAAAACTAAGTTTTTAAATATTTTATTACATAAATTAGTATTAAAGTTGCAGAAAAAAATAACTTTAAATTTAAAAGCTTTTCTTTTATCAAAGACACCAATTTTAATAAAGCTGTTAACAATATCAATTTTAAAATCTAAATATTCAACATTAAAACAATCCTTATTACTTTTCTTCAGGACTAAATCTCCAGGATAAATACTATAAATAAAATTATAATTATCACAATTAAACAAAATCAAATCATCAATATATCTAAAAGCATTAAATTCACTATGCTCAAGAAATTTAGCTTCAAAAAAGTGCAAAAAAATATTGGCAAAAGCCCCAGAAAAGGAATTACCTTGTG